TATTCGCATCATCAAACGCAGGTGAAAATTATCAACATCTTACAATCTCGCTCTCCCTCGAGAGTTATCTACCTGTTCGTATGTTTTCATACGAGTCGATTCGGTCGGAAAACCTTTGCAACGACCTTACGGAGGACCTCTTCGCGTGGCTTCTCGTCATGAAAAGGCCTTCATGGTTGATCGACATGGCCGCGTCAAGATATTCAGCATTGATTGTTTCAAGCCAGCACACATCGTTGACAGTGCCCTACCTGCTAATCTGGGACCCAATGCTAGACCTATCAAACCTACTAGAGGGGTCCCAATTTCATCCTCGGACCCAAAGCTAGATACATCAGAGACCTCATTCTCAATTTCCAGTCAACAGCACACGTCATCTTCAATATCTATGCATGAAACTTCAGTCTCACTTCCAGATCAGCAGGCCACTCTGCCCTTGAATTCGGATGAGATTGCTGGCTCACGGGGTAGGCACGAGACTAACATCTCGCGTTCCGGTCGCCGTGTAAGCCTACCTGTACACTTTCGCGACTAATCTCTCAATCAACAACGGATACGGTATAGGACTTTATCCTCATACTGCGTGCATGCTACACCAATCTATTTTTCTGTGATTTTTTTATCCCGAACCCACGTCTACCTAATCGCCCTGTTGGTACCGTCAGCTTGAGTCAATCTTAAAAAAAGCTGACCTGATCAGCCACGCTCCTTTCAGTGCACTCAGTCGATCATTTGGTTCCGAATAGATCTAGCATACGTATTGTTTTGAACTTAGTCGTTATGGTCGTTTCTGGCTCTTTCGCCCAATCCGGTTCCGTCCTACCTCTGCGGCGTTTTCTGGTACGAACCCGCACGAGCGCACTCTTCGGACTCGTGATACGAACCACACTGGTGTGGCACGCTAAGCTGAGCGGTAAACATGGCCCATAGTCTCTGAATGGAGGAGACTAAAAAGAATCGAATTGTTAGAGTTTATGTTGGTTTACATAATATAAAGTGAAGGGACATTGATGTTATGCTTCGTTGGTACTTCGCCTATTGTCTTCTAAACGCTGTAGCTACAGATGTCGTGATCGGGCTCTTTTTCACTATAATTATTCAAATATATAAATATATATATATATAGTTACCAAAAATTTTTTACTACAATCTCGCATGAACGGCTGAAATAATTATTTCGACATGAGTGCAGCAATGAGAAACATGTTCCAAGCTCAACGTTCTTAAAAACACTTAAAATACTTATTCTTATCAGTGCGTTTATTATAGATAATTAGAAGTTGCTGTGAAAACTAGCAAATATTGATGGCAGACACAGCTAAAGCTATAAATCAATCTGTTCAAAACAGCGTTTCGAAATAGGTACTGCCTGAACACTTTCATCATAGGTGATGTGCTGCTAGATATCTTCAGCTGTATGAGTCTTTATGAGATTATATAGTGAGTCCCATTAGCCTCAGCATTCGCAGGTTTTAACATACACAAAGGGTAAAGCAAGAGTCTCCGATACAAAGCGAAATGCACCAACCAAATCACCGTGGATGGAGATGATTCGGAGGACGTAAAACCCTCTACACATATAGGCAGCAAAATTAGTGAGCACAGTGGATCTGATGCATATTTGAAGGCACGCATTGGCAAAATAAGAGCAGCACTTCCACAACTGAAGAACAATCGGAACTCAAAACAACTGTTAAGCAACACCAAAGTCACAGTTTTCATTACAAATGTCAAGACAGTTTTACTATGTGGGGATGAAACTTGGAGAACCATAAAAGACAGCACTCAGAAAACACAGGTGTTTGTTAAGAGATATCTACGTAGGAGAGTCGAAACAACCTATTGTTGAAGAGAATAAACCGGATTCCGGCTGAGGAAGAAATCTGGTAAAAGCACTGGGGGTAAATAGGACACACGTTTAGGTAAGCACTATGCTACAACACAAGGTAAGTCATAACTTTTAAGCCTCCATATCAGCGGAAAAGAGGAAGACCGAAGAACACATTACTCCGAGAAATGGAGACAAACCTGAGAAGAATAACCAACGAATGGACAGAACTAGAACGGAAGGGTAAGTACTGAGTCTGTTAAATAATGGTGGTCAGTGGCCTATGACCCATCGGGGCAAAAGATGTAAGTAATTAAGTAAAGTGAGTTCTACTTGTCTTATTATTGCGGAGACCATAAATTTTATCAAGGGTAAGTATAACCGTAAATTGATCTCCGTGGTAACGATATGGAATTCATGTCAATGTTTTAGCGAATTCAACAATGACAGTGCAAAGGTATTACTTTTAACATGCATATTACTCACATTTATGTGTTTTTTGGCCACTGAGTTGTCAAAGTACGATAATATGTGAATGTGATATCTTTGTGATCACCAGTGGTATCAAATGTCTGTTAAAACAACTAACATAACAGCCGAACTATTTCCCTCAGTTAGTGGTTACATTCATAGGCAGAAAATAGACATTCTGCTGACCCCAGCCGAAGATTAATCTACTATGTGATTAGTGAAAAACGAATGTACCACATATAAAAAGTAAAATCTGAGGGGTGTGTTCAAAGTATCAACTAAGATTTTACTCCTATGGGACTGCTTTCACAACTTTCCGAAAGCAGACTGTTGGGCTCGCTCTCACAAGCCTCCAGGGTCTTCCAAGAAGTCGGGGAGTTTCCACACAGGCAAGGTTCCTTTGAATTTCTAGAGTGTTAATGTAGTAGAGGATGATTGGATGATGGTGTAATATTGCTGTTTGCGGACTGGATGATTTTAATGATGCCTCCATCACATCAGTGGTACGTAACAGTGACTTAATTTGGAAGTTTTGGACAGTTCGTGATCATGATGGAGAATGATAATCCGCGTGATGGTATTAAGGAGATCAGTAATTTCGTTTCTTTTCGAATAAGGCGTTTGCTCGACATGATTTGGCTGATCTACAGAACCCTACTGGCGGACTCAGTAAGTTTCCCTACAGTGCTGTTTTGAAATTGGACGAAAATAGCATGCAACTTTTAGAAAATCTAGGATCGAAAGTGTTGTCGGAAAAGACATTCGTCGAATGTTCTCTCATGCACATAAATTCTAATATGATATTTACCTACTGTTCGAATCTCCGCATACAACGATTGCCTATTTTTAGGAGTTTGCGGTTCGGAAAAATCACTAGTAAACGTTCAGGGTGTAATGCACCTGCTGAAATTGCACGGTAACGCCTTCGCTATTGATAGGAAACTAGCGAGTGTATCTGTCAGGTCGTGCTCGTCAAAGTTAGCCTCCGCATAGCAAAATCAGACTGATATTTTCGGGCAAGAATAGGATGAGCAGCAAGATATGAAGGGAGGCAGGAGTCCCAACCCTTAATGCAACATACATAAATGTGCGAAAATATGGAGAAAAAAGTAATATTATGTTACATAAAACTATAAAGATGTATAATTTTATGACAGAATAGGCTCAATCAAGACTAGTTGTTTCAGGGATTTACTTGCCGATACACTGCTCACTCGCACAAGTGGAACTAGCATACCGATGAACACCTTCAGACAGAAACCAGATCAATACATAAATAAACCGCTGGGATTAATGCGGGTCAGACGATGTACAATTCTGTAACATATTCGAAACCTCACTCTAACAATGTCTAGTTTCGATTCTGTATTTCTGTTTGCTGTCTATTGATTTCTCTATTAAATGTTAGTGCATTCTGTGAGCTTACTGAGTCGTCGACTCACCTTTTTTTCTTGTTTTTTCCTCTTTCAGATGACCTCACAGCCTGCCCCACAGATATCCCTAACACACAAGGAACCTCTTGGCTAAACGAAGACGGAGCAAAGGCTTAAGTTACAATGCTTATCAATATAAAGACTCAGGCCAGCAAAGATTGCTTTTCCAATTTCTCAAACGATCCCTAATGTCTCCTCAGAGCGCGATCTCGGTTTAATAACCACAAAACGCCTCCACACCAGTCCAGACTATGTGGGGGACGCAGCCAAGACAAATGCGAATCTTCACTTTATGCGAAGACAACTTGGTGCTATCACCGCGCAATTAATTTTAACCCTGCTTAAGACGTACGCGCGCTCACACCTGGAGGTTCACATTGTCATCGCACCAACTCTGCTTAAAAGAGACATAAATCTCTTGGATCTAGTGCAGAGACGAGCAGCAAACAAATGGGTGATAGGGTTCAGAAATAAACCCTAAGACGACAGACTCCAGCTCTTGGGATTATTCCCACTGAGCTACAGGAGAATCAGAGGTGATCTGATTTTGGCGTGCACCATATTAAACACGCCAAACCATCACAATATGAGCATCTTACCGATGCATCACCACCACTCCCCTCGAGGCAATCCTCGAAAGATTGCACATCGAAGAGCAAATACTCAGATTCGTGCACACTTTTTCTCACTTGCGAGTCAGTCGCAACTTGGAATGCTCTCTCAGCCGAGGTAGTTTCAGCCCCTCAGTGTACTGCTTTAAGAAGAGACTTGATAATCACATACATACGGACTCTCATCTCCCTCTTGGACAAGCTGTGCCTGACGCATATCTCGAGACCTGCTAGTTGTTACCATTGCCATCTACTCAGATCACTCAATTAATCTATCTTGCCTATTATCTTTGTTTCCTCTGCCTTGCTTTTACTTCGGTCCTCTCTCACAATATTCACTACCAATTAATAAACTAAATTCATCTATATATTACTCAGTTCTGAAATTTTATTCATATTATTATTTTAATTTTATCCTTATTACTAACTGATCTCCGGTTTGGTAATGTGACGGCTGCTAGTATCCAGAAACCCTACTGCCCTGAAACAAACGTTTCATTCAAATCCCGAGACATACAAACTCACAACCAACTGCCAACTGACTAGAATTAAACAGTCGAGTGGCTAGAACTCCATCAATTGGACATTACCGAACACCTGGAACCGTAACGAAAGAACAAGAATCGAGCGTGAAGAAATCAAATTGGTTTACACTAGCTCTTGAAAAAGATATTGGATATTGAACTTCCCAAGGCTTTGTGGGATTTCTAATTTTCGTCTTAGTAATTGTACCTTGAGCTAATGACGGCTGATCCGCATAACTCTCATTCTAAAGATGATGAGGATAAACTGATAGAAAATTACCAGAGCATAGGTATTTATTAATAACCTACTAAGTTTTTTCAGTCAGAAATGATGTTGAACCTGACGAAAATGCTATTAAAGCTAAGGAGCAAGCTATACTAGAACTTGGAAATTTACTTGCTGCAAAGAAAGATGCTAAAGGTCAGTGAGTTAGCCTAGCTCAATGTTGAGCGCTTTATCTGCCGTTCCATATATAAGGCAGATTTCATTGCAACTAGTATCCACATAGCTTTAACGTAATAATATGTTAATATTTGGTGACTTATTATTCACAGAAACTATTACTCGATGTTCATTCATTTTCCATATGAAGGCATGGGTGGTATTGAAAAATTATCTATTACTCTGCCGAGTAATGGCCTGTAATCACCCTATTCTAATGTGAATAGTTTCGAAGATAAATCTAGGCAATATAATTGAGAGTGATTTAACGGAAGTCGTGGACAGATGAAGAAATACAACTCTTTTTATATAAACATAGAAAGTTATCTGCATGTACAATAGCGTTTTTATCGTTCACCAAATGCCCCACTGGAATTAGATGATACAACGAGTATTGTAGTGTATCCTAGTTGGATTATATGTCTCGTAACCCTTCTCCTTGGAAAAAGGAAGTTAGGTATTTCAAGGAATGGTTTTATACTGCGTATTTCTGCTTCGGGCTTTTTCAACGTGACATAAGTTAACCCCGTTTTCCCGGAAAATTAGGTTAACTTACTGTAAAATAGCTTTTAAGTGTGATCTATTAGACAATTTAATTCATCAGATTAATATCAGTTTCATGGACCAAAATAATTTGCATATATCTCCTGTTTCAGTCTCTACCTTACAAATTTGTCTCACCTTTATTTCTTGATGTATATTTTAGGACTAGCCGATCTCATTTTAGTAACTCGACCATTTCTAAAGCTTATCAGCAAAGCAAAAGCTGGTCGTATTGTCAGAACTCTGGTTGACTTGTTTTTGGATCTTGAAGGAGGGACTGGTCGAGAGGTTGACCTCTGTCGTGAATGCGTCGAATGGGCTAACCAAGAAAAGCGAGTTTTTCTTCGTCAAGCATTAGAAACTCGTCTTATGGGTCTTTATTATGACAATGGCAGTTATGAAGAAGCTTTAAAATTGGGTAATTTACGAAGTTTCTTTCCATTTACATTTTAAAAAATTTCCCTTGAAGAAAGCGAAAACAAAAATTAGTGCAGGATAATATGAATTCATTTTATTTCGCCAGGTTCTTATCAACTACATACAACCTATAATATTTTAAGAACCAAAGAGAGATTCCTGTGAGAAACGAATATATGTATTATGATGTAGCGAGGTTTCCATAACAGTTAATAAGGTCATAAAAATTTCGTGTAAAGATGAGACTTCCAGAAAGCTGAACTAACAATGCTATTCACACAATTTTGATGTCCTTATTAACTGTATCGGAAACTTTGCTACATCATAATACGCATATTCGTCTCTAATATGATAATTTTGGTTTTAAAATACTTTAAGTTGTAAGCCGTTGATAAGAGCCATGCGAAGTAAAGTGAATTCATATTATTCCCCACCAATCTTTTTTACACGTTATTTAACGTGTTATAATTTTACGACCAAATAGTATTGTTAGCTCATACAAAAAACCTGGCTCAACGCCTATTGTATAAAGCTTTCGTAGTCTAATCACTTGTTTATCGACCAGGTGATGAGTTTTAGTGTGATTCTGTTTTCAAATCTGTACAACAAATTGATAAATCTGATACTTAGTTTTCTTGTATCCATGCAGAAAACAAACCAATCTCTTAAAAATAGAAATAGACATTATCATCTGTGTTAAATATTTCAGTTCTTTTGCAAATACATTTCCAATTTTGCATTAGGCTCAAATTTACTACGTGAGCTTAAAAAACTTGATGATAAAGCTCTTTTGGTTGAGGTTCAACTCATGGAGAGTCGAGTTTATTATCGATTGGGTAATCTTCAACGGGCTCGTGCTGCGCTTACTTCTGCTAGAACTACAGCCAATGGTATATATTGTCCACCACGTTTACAAGCCAACCTTGATCTACTTTCCGGTAAGTGGTTTTACGTGTTTACTTTTTGGATGAATACCATTTTAAGTTTCAGAAAAACGATTCATAATAAAAACCCCAATAATCTATGTCGCTCTCATCAATAACTCGTAATCTTCCGAAAGTTATTTCTTTCGTAGTTTAAACATGAATTTACTAACTACGTTTTACTATGTCTATACGGAATTTATGATAACGACCATGTTCAAATCTGTGCAGATTTATTAGTTGCGTGAGACTGTAGAAATGTGGCAAAACTAACTCTCGTAAAAAAATTATTCCCCTCGTCCAGTCAACCCGACGTTCAAATGCCTGTTAGTGCTTGCTATTTTTTTCAATGTGTTCAAAATAAACTCACGTGACCTGCACAGTTTTGAACTAGTAGTATTCGTAGTAGTAGTAGTCGTATAGCGAAAGATAGCTGAGAAACTTGTAAGTGCATCACAGGGTTGTGAAGATTGTTAAGTTACACATTTGAAATCATTAATCGATTATAGTTAGACCACCATTAAAAACCTAGATGCACTGGATGACCGTTTCGTCCTGGTATTGGACACGTCAGCAGTGCGCGTCCACGACTCCTGCACCTCGCAAGATTCGAACCTAGGACCTTAGGTTTTGCGCGCAAACGCCTAACCTCTGGACCACTGAGCTGATGAGTCCCAAAGCAGGACGAAACGGTCGTCCGTGCTTCCAGGTTTCTAATGGTGGTCTAACATAATTTCAAATGTATAATGTTGGGATTATTAAAATGTTCAGTTTACTATCTTTTATTTGGATGATGTGGACAAGGCATTATCTCAACCATTAGAAATACTATATTTACAACTCTAGTTGTAATTCTGTAGTATTGCGATTATTATCTATCCACAGCAAAGCTTGAATAAATGGACTTTTTTTCTTGATTGTGATTTGATGAATGATGCAATCAACAGATAAAATGCAATGAGACTATGTGATAAAGTGATTGTTGTGTACAATACCATGTTATGACTACAATCCTCAGAGTAAACTAATATCAAAGACATAACCGGCTAAAAGAATAGATTATTGTATAATAAAATAACAGTTATGTACAAATTATTAACTAACAAAATCAACAGTTAGGCATTGTAAGTGATTGGGGAGATACCGGTCATGTAGGTCATTCGCTCTTCAGTGAACAAACACTTGACTGTTAGGCTTAATACGTATTAACCTCTCTTATTTCCTCAGTGTTTCGTTGCCGAAATGCGGACTCCGTAAGAATGGGCTAAAACAAACTTTCATTGAACTTTGCCGTGATACAGTAATTATATATATATATATATATATATATATATATATATATATATATATATATATATATATATATATATATATATATGACTCATTTTTATGTATCGAATTCGTATATTTTATTTTTAATTTTCAACTATTAGGAATTCTACACGCTGCCGATGAACGTGATTTCAAAACTGCGTTTTCTTACTTTTATGAAGCATTCGAAGGTTTCGATTCAATTAGTTCCAAACGAGCTATTGATGCTCTTAAATACATGTTATTATCAAAAATTATGTTAAATAGGTTTGTCATATTTTTTGTTGACTTTTAAAACTATTCATACATTTTTTGTAATGAATTGTATTTCCTCGTTGTTGTTCACGCGTGCATTCTGAACAGGTTCCCCCGATAGTGTCATTTGGCTGCTGTATTTTTACTAAAGTCGGATAATAGCGGAATTCGGGATGCACATTTCGCCCCGCTTGGGTCTCATCATCTGTACGTATCTGGATCCCAGTGTTAATCCTCACACAGACCCGGGCCTAGTACAGTTAGAGAAGTGGTCTCCTAAAAAAACCACTAACTTCGACTTGTGTAATCAAACAGTATCCCAACATACTCATAAATTCGATTATTTTTAATGCGCATAAATATTTAGGTACCAATGTTTATGTTTTAAATAAATTATGACCATACAATAAAATATTTGTAAAGGGAATTGATTCTGGTTACTCGTAAGTAGTATATTTGTAATGCAAAAGTTTCCTAACTACATCCAATTTATAAAGATTGTAGAATTTTCAAAGTTTAAATTGCGAGCTGATCTTAGCTAGACTACCATTGGAAACCTGAAAGCATTGGGTAGTCGTTTCGCCGAAGTATGAAACTCCTAATCAGTGCTTATCCACGACCCTGCAAGCGCGGGAATGGAACCTAGGGTATCCAGTCTCGGATGTGAACACTTAACTGCAAGACCACGGAGTTGGCATTAACAACCTTGTTGCTCATTATTTAATACAGTACTGACAGAAAATAATGGTCATGAGGAATTTAGATTAGAATTTACGAGAAGACAAGAAATGGATGCGTCTGTGCCATTTCCATGTCACTCAAAGACTGTAACCATCGGTTTCGGTTGTCTCGTGAACCCCACCTAAGTAGCGTACACCTACTGACATGGCTCACTCCAGTTTTCAATGATTTCATGACTTTGTTCCATGTTTTGGTGTGACCGTCGCTAGCTTTCAGCCTACCCTTACATCAGACAATCTCGTTCGTCGAATTAGCCGATGGTTAGTTAGGCACATGTATTAATGATAAATAAAATCAGTTTTACCTTTTTAATTCTGTTTCACAAAGTATATTATACCTTTTATATTCCATATAAAAGTTATGAATATCAACAGTTTTTAAACTGTTTTTAGAGGGTTGAATGACTAGGCGAAATTTTGTTTTTTTGTTAAATTAATTTAATTATTAATCATTCAATTACTCTTTAAAAAAAACATTTTATTCTTCAGTGCTGATGAAATTCCTAGTATTCTTACAAGTAAATTAGCTTTGAAATATACAAGTCGTGATATTGATGCTATGCGAGAGGTTGGAGTTGCTGCGAAAGAACGATCATTAGGTGACTTTCTACTGGTAATGTTTTAACTCTCTTTATTTTACATTGCTATATCGATTATTTTATGAAACGTTGTTTTTCTCATGCTTTATGTCAATGAGTTCATCTGTGGTACTATTATATTGTAAGAGGTTAGTGAAGAATGTCTCATAGTTTACAGCATGAGTTGACTTAAGATAACCTTTGTTTCATCTCATTATAAGACTCCTCAACAGTGTACATCAGTCGTTCAATATTACGAATTGGTTTAATTTAAAAATGTTAACCATCGGTTGCCGAATTCGTAGTCTAAAGGTTGAGCACTTGTTAAGAGATCTGAAGGTTGTATGTTGAACCTCTGGTTGGGGTCTTGGATGCGCCTTGTGGATTTGTCCAATAATTCGATGGAACAGCTATCCAGCACTTCACATTTCCCCAGTGGTTATCAAGTTATTTACTTTTCTTAGAAGAATATTAGTAATTTTTAGTTTAGTTAGTTAGTTACGCCTGTTACCCCCAATGGAGCGTAGGCCGCCTTCTCCAACCTTCACTGTCCTGGATCTCCCTGGTCTCCCACACTGTTCGAGCATCCCGTGTACCTAAAAGAATCGTTTCTCTGGTTGTCAGAGGGGGCCTTGGCTTCGTGGCTTCCGAAGAAACTTGGCTTTCATCATGAAACATCATAACTCTTCTGAATGTAGATCTTCTAACTCCCAGGGCAGAGTTTAAATTGATTTTTCTGGTTGGCGTTTCTTTAGTGAGTTAGTTTTCTACGTGATAGGGTCGCCAACCCCAATCCCAACCCTCCTCCTTTATCCGGGTTTGGGACCGGCAGTAGCCTCAAATTTGCTCCGGGCGGAGTTGTTAGTAATTTTTAGCCGTAAATTAATCAGTCCAAATCAAGTATTTTAATTGTAAGTTAATGTTCTTAGTTTTTAGACATACTTTTCATTTATCAATATTAGTGATACTTACTGGTTTCCTCAATGTAAAACGGTTTAACTTGAAGATGAGTTTAGTTACAGTAGATTAGACTGCTATCTAAATGATTTTCATTTCTTAACCCTACTGGGAGAGATGCTGATTCTAGTGATGATGATGATCCCAATGCATATTTACATAATTACTATGCATAGTTAAACATATTCCTAATATATGTATATTTATGAATTACTTATTTTAGCTTCAAGAGAAATATAAAACGGAATTATCGAATGATCCAGTAATTAGTAGACATCTGCATTCATTTTATGATACATTATTTGGTCAAAATCTTCTCAAACTTATTGAACCATATTCACGTGTTCAAATTGATCATATTGCCAAATTGATTAATATTCCTTTGGTAAGAACAATTATTATTATTGTTATTATTATTATTATTATTATTATTATTATTATTATTATTATTATGTAGTCTTAGACAGACAGATACAACGCAGAACTTCGTACGTAAGTACATCAGTTCAGGTTGCCATACCACATCATCACAGAGACTGAAAAGTCGGACGAAGATAATGTCATATCTAGCAGCATGTCTATGACAAAATTGAACAAAAATGGGGAAAGTGGACATCCCTGACGGACACCACTTGAAGTAGAGAATTCAGATGACAGTTCGCCATAAGCTCTCACCCGACCAGAAGTTTGAGTGTAGAGAGCTTGTATAAGGTTAATGAACTTCTTTGGTACACCTTTTAATGACAGACTCTGCCACAGAACCTCACGATCCACAGAGTCGAATGCCGCCTTAATATCCAGGAACACGACTATTGTCGGACGTCGAAATGTGTGTCTGTGTTCCAGGACCCGTCGTAGTGTGAATATGTAGTCTATACAGCCACGTCCAGGTCTGAAACCAGCTTGGTTTTCTCGAGTCTGCTCTTCACGAGCACTAGTTAGACGTCTAAGTATAATCGAGGCTAACAATTTAGAAACTATATTAGTTAGACTTATTCCCCTGTGATTGTCACAAGGAGACTTTTGTCCTTTCTTATAAATTGGCACAATCAGGAATTGAGACCAGTCAGATGGGATTCTGTCCAGTTCCCAAATTCTACCTAAGATTTCAGTCAATCTAGCTGCTAAGATTGGACCACCACCCTTAAAATTCTCAGGAGTCAATCTATCGGGTCCTGCTGCTCTCCCTCGCTTCGAATTTCCTATAGCCTTTTCAACTTCATAAAGGTTCGGACGGCTTACGTCAACTTGCCATTCAGGATGACTGTAGATCGTGGGTAACCGAAGTGAGGCTGAGGGCCAGTTGAACTGGTCCCTCAAGTGTTCTGCCCATCGATCCAATCCCCTGGATTGAGAATAAATAATAGTCCCATCCTTTTCCAAGATAGTCTCACTTACAGTAGGATTCCTAATACCAGTTTCCTTGATAAGTCGGAAAAGTTGTCTACTGTTGCCTATCGCGGCTACCTTTTCCATCGCTTTTGCTTTCGCCAACCACTAGTGTTCACAATCGTTGCGTAGGCTTTTTATCAGCCTACGTCTACTGAGATCCACCGGCTTCATTCTAGCCTTATGGTTAACCTTACTAGCAGATATCAAAAAGGGTGTGGAAACAGCAGTGATATCATTCCAACCTGCTTCCGGATGGGAATCGCTTACATGGTTGCCTAACTCTCTTTCTAGTTGCTCCTGAAATATATTTTTAGCCTTATTATCATTATGTAAAACCCTAAGATGCTTTCTTACGGTGTCTTTCCTACGTCCAGTAAGCCTCAAACAAATACGCGCTCGCATTAGGGCACGCTCCGTTGGGAGTAACAGGCGTAAAATCGTCGTTTCAAACATCCACTTGCGATACAAGTAGGCATCTAAATGTCTTCTCTTACATGTCTTATGGTTTTAAACACAGTCTGCTGCATTACTCAAACGATGAAAGTCCTGTGTTATAGAAAAAAGCCAATTTACTATGAAAGTTTTTCATTGTTTCTGATAAGTTCGTCACTTAGTATGCTTGAGGCTATTACGAGTTTATCTTAGTCGATAAACGCGAACGAGACTTTTACCAGCTTCCAGGGAGGCTACCTTGAATCCGAGGCTGAAGTGAAAAGGCTTTGTAAGCGTATAAAGTATATTCTACAAACACCCAGCAATCACAGTACAATCAAGCATACAACTCTCGTTTATTTATACAACATAGGAACGTCCTTGAGACAGTTAAGAAAATAGCATACTAAAATACACAACAGCCAATCACAGCCACGGATTTTCCTGGTGGGAATTGAAATCTCAAGGTCATCTGATCAGCCCATGCTGGCAAAACGTGAAAACCAAAATACGGCATTATCAAGCGAATTTTTTGGGGATCTAACATCCCCAACAGTTTCTTTATTTCTTTACCATCAATTTGTTCTCTCATTTTCTTAGTAGACATTTTATTCATTTCGACTTATTTTAAATTTTCAGGAAACTGTAGAAAAGAAACTTTCACAAATGATTTTGGACAATGAACATAATGGTAAATTCGTTTTATTGTTTTACTTACTTTTGTATTTATATAAAATAAATCTAACTTCCTATTGTTAAACTGAACCACTAAGTTCCTACGGTGGGTTGATAATTATTAGTTCAGTTTGATTTTTTATTAGTGAAATACTGTCATCAAGATGTGATTATGACTACTATTGTTTAATACCATCAAAATCAACACTAAGTTCTTAATGCTAAATCGTAAAATTTATTTATTTCTAATACAAAGCGGTGCTGCATAAAATGTCGTTAAGCTGTACGATCTCTAGGAACCCCAACTTGGGAATTGTCTTGGTGTGACAGATGTCAATTCTCTACAGTTGTTTTTCGGAGGTATTATGTCGTAAATGGATTATGTCTCCTCCCCTTTCAACCCAGCAACAGTGTCAATAACTAATAAGCCATGTAAAAGTTTCTGAAACAATATTCGTGAAACCTGGCCAAGTTATTGCACATGGTGTTTTAAGATGGTAACGTCAGTGGCGCTTCGTCCAGTCATTTACTGCCGGACTCTAGCATTACTAACGTGATGTTATCGCTGCAACAATATTCTAGTAAGTAATTCACAATGCACTTGAATAAACACAACCAAATTATAAGCGAATATTTGACAAGGTCAAAAGACGTGAGAATGGAAACTCGAGCAGCAAAAGTTGATTAGTTTGTTCAAAAGCTAAGACAAGCCATGTAAGTGTACACACTACAACTGACTCAACCTATCACCTTTCCTTCTTGAGAAATAAGTCTGGGCTTTCTTTTTCGGATTCAGCTACAGAACATTGAGGTGTAGAGTACATCAAGTTTAGTATGAATTTAACACTTATTTAATATTTGCTGTTATTGTTTTTATTATTATTATTATTATTATTATTATTATTATTATTATTATTATTATTATAGGAATCCTAGATCAGGGCTCTGGTGTTTTAGTACTCAGAGAACCAGAATGTGAAGGCAAAGATTATCCTTTAGCATTATCTGCTGTCCAATCTCTTGGTGGTATTGTTGATATGTTATTTCAAAAGACCACTAAATTAAAATGATATTTTGCATATCTGGTTTAATGTTTTCATTTTCTAAGAAAAAAAAATACAGTTTGTTTACTTGAAACCAATTTTTTCTTAACTCGAATGCTAGATGTGGTTAATTCGAAAACAGCTTTATGTTGTCTAAGAAATTCATCTTAAACTTGTCTAATTATCATCAATGAGTTAGATTGATAGGGGTGTAATACAATATACTATTTAGTTCTTCAGAATTTCGGGGGATATAACTTGGATTTTACTTCAGTCACAGCCAACGTAAAGTTTTAACACAGTGAAAGGGGGGTTAAAAAAAGTCAATTCTAAAAATACCACATCTCACTTGACACACAAAGTTTCGTTACTGGTGGCAAGGTTCAAGGTACGTAGTAGACCTAACATGTTACAAACTACTCGCAACAAGCTCGTTTATGGCCAACTTCTACCAATTGTTCGTTGATTACTAAAGTCACACTCCTAGGTCATCAAGGCAACTCGTAACTTAGTTTCCTTTTTAGATACTTCGAGAAGACTGTGCAGCAGTTCGCTCCGTCCTACCCTATAGGTGTGAAACATAGCCATTAAGAATAAAGGATGTTCGTTATTTACTAATATTCGATCACTGGTGTTTCAGAAGAATTTATCGTATATCCTGGGACCTGAATAGGCAGTACTTGGTTGACGAGAAGGGTATTACGTAAGAATAGCAGATCAGTTGGTGAAGTAGCGAATGTTCATCAGTTGGGGTGCTTGGGACATATGATGCGTATGCCCATCACCGGCTACAAATCCATGAAGACACTGACGACTGAACTGGGCCACGTTAACAGTTGTCGACTACCTGGTTGGGGTCCGTAAGATAAAATAACCAATGGTTAGAGACTTTGAATGACTGTTCAAAATCGTTCACAATGGCGCAGAATCACTTATTCTTTTATTCTCCCAAATTCTAATCTAAATTCCTCATGACCTTCCTCCTCTGGCTACTGATCGATTTTACTGCACTGATCCCGACCAGGTAATCTTACCAGAAACTAAAAGCAATGCAACTGCTTCCGATTTTCGGGCTTAAGTTTCATCTTAATTAGTCAGGACCCATCTATATGATAAAATCCAGTTTATTCTTTAGTGAGAGTAATCCGTTCGTTAGTGTTTATGATTACATTTCGGATAACAAAGTCTTGATACAAAATTTGTCCAATAACTAGAAATCTTCATTTGATTGGTGTTATTATGGGCAAACCCGAATAGAAAATTTCAAAATTTTCATGATGGTGTATTTGTTATTCGTCCTCGTGTTTTTCCGTATGATACATTGTACTACTTGACAACATTCAGTAGTTTGAATTATATCGTTGATGTTCTTAATTTATAGGCTTTTTGTGCCAACTTCAATACAAAGCAGTGAACATGACAAACTGATATGCATTTATTGACAGATAAACGCTTTTGACACAAGAGATCATTCATTATTCCTGAGATTTTCATTTCCCACTCTAAAGACAGGTTCCATACTTCAAGTCCCTCATCAAGGCTCTAAAATAATATTTACATTTGAGAGTTAAGCATAAAATCAACACCAAATAAATGATGACCATTTGAGTGAATACGGTTTTCTCTAAAACAGTCATCAGCTAATAGCTCGATAGATGTATAAAAATGCAACAGACTTAAGGGTAATTTTATGAAATTATTTAATGATAAAAATCTGTTCAGTTTGTAAATGTCAATACTCAAACAAGCGGCCTGATATCTTCTATTGATGAGGATGCAGAAATTTCAATCTAAAAGATTCTCTCGATAAATATGTAAAGAGTAAATACAGTATAGATAATATTCTAACTAAATGACAGAGAATCTTTATTTAAAATGGAAATATAGTGATTACTAAATCTAACAAGAATTCAGAAGCAAACATCATAGAAAGAGCAACGTATACTGAAAAATTAATGGACACAGTATTCAGTGTTCATCGAAAATTTTGAAAATACCACACAGAAAAGACCAAATGGCAATTAACTCAGTCATTAAATAAACTGAAACAAACAAGTATCAACTCTCAGCACTTATATGCAACACAAGAAATCCAGTGATATTGTGACACCAAATCTGTATGGTGTGTCAACAGTATACAAAGATTGATTACCACTTCATCTAGTAATAGATATGGTTAGTTCACTTCATTATACAAATTTCCAGCTGGATTTAGAAGGCTAGTACACAATGAAGCAGCTATACGTCGTAGTGTAAGATAATTTTGAATTGCACGATAAAATTTTAAAAAATGAAGGTGGATAATTAATTTTTGATGTTACTTAATGTTTGGTCTCTTTATTCACGAAAAAATTAGTACAGTTAAAACGTAGAACTCCATGCGTACGTACATTAGTTCAGGTCGCCATACCAAATTAGTACGGAGACGCAACTATCAATTCAAATCTCATAGTAGTAGATGTAGTAGAAGTATTTATTAGCAGTAATCGGAGAGATTAGTGTTCGAAGATATGATTCGAGAACTAGAATCTAGTGAAATAAACTTAAAAAGAGAAAGGTGATGAGGGATTCACTTCACTAAATCCGTATGTATATTTCCTGAGCTTTGTTTTATTACAATACTAGCAAAGTTTAGTTCACAAAGCTAACATTATTAGCTCGAATGATACCTTCAAAGCATAACTAAAACTTAGCCATGATCTCCTGAATAGAGGCATATATCGATTACTGTTCCTAATGAAACCTATGTTCATAAGTGAACCTAAAATAAGATTGCCGATAGCACTGAAGCTTATCTTAGTAAAAACTATACTTCTGAAGTGATACAGCCTGCGAAACAGTGATACAATGAGTAAGAAAAGCTATAGGACGAATATTTAAAACAATTAATAGTAAGTTCATGAGATTAGGATAAAATACACAGTACTGTTGATATTGTGCATTTACTAGTTCAATCGTTTGTGTGGCATGAGTCATACTGAACGTACAATCAGATAAATACATCATCTTACTTCTGATCATCAATCCTCTTGTTGATCAAAATACAAAACAGAACAATAAGAAAGTTAGTTTAGGCCAATTTCGTTACTGGCCACTAAAGAGATATTAAGTTAGCTTTCAAAATAATCCAAGGGGATTCCATTGAACTTGCTTCATATTTTTAAACTGTGTCTTTTACCTACATCAGAAGTCACAAGTTTAAAGATTCATAAACCTTAGTTTTGTGTGTAAAGTTTGCTCAACCACTTAAATTACCATGACCTTCGCCCTACTGAATATATTTTTCAATCCTAATCAGTTTTTAAGTTATAACCTGATTTTACATGATCTAACTAACTGTATTATCAATCTGATGACCTAATTTTCTTTAAACCCATTTTATAAAGTTCACAATGAGCACAAAACATTAATATATTTCATCAATTAATTTTTATTATTACGTAACAATTTTTTAAGACTAACCGATTACATAAATTTATCTCTAAATCTTACATTTACTTTTTGAAATCATGAATCCATCACTGTTAGGCCACCACTAGAAACCTGAAAAGAATGGACGGTCGTTTCGTCCTGGTATGGTACTCATCAGCAGTGAGCATCCACGACTCCTGCAACTCGCAGGGTTCGAACCTAGAACATCAGGCCTTGCGCGTGAACGTCTATTCCTTTCCAAAGAAGAAAATGATAGCTAACTTTTATCCCATGGATTTTTACCTCGTATTGCTTTTAAAACTATTACATAACCTAAGCTCTTGGTGATATTCTGATCACGTTGCCAAATGCTGTAACCTCTTTTTACTCAATACTTGAAAACATTATTTGTATTCAAAAAACAACAACTTTTAAGTTATCAATACTATTATATTCAATACTCGAGACCTTCTGACAATCTTGACCAGATTACGCAACATCACTTCATTTTTATTGTCTTCCACTTGAGAAAAGTTTGACAGTCGTTGGTAATTTTGAGGAACTCCTTTATTTTACCATAGACTTACCTTACCTACCTACGCTTGTTAGCCCCATTGGAGCATAGACCGCCAACCAGTATTACCATAAATACATGAAAGAATAATTATATAAATACGTTTGTACAGCTCCAGAAAATGATTGCTTAAAATGTATCTATTCATTAGAGAGTAATAGCGATTGTTGTTTTTGATTAAAATCATGAAACAATCAATATTAGACCAGCATTAGAAACCTGGAAGGCACTGGACGGCCGTGTCGTCTTAGTATGGGACTGCTTCAATGGTGGTCTAACAATGATTGACTCATGATTTCAATGAAATGTATCTAGTGAAACTATTACACAATATTTCATGCAGACCAATTTCGCCATACTAATGGCAAGATAGTTCTACCGTATGGGGCGGAAACTTGGAGAACTACCAAAGCCATAATCCAGAAGATACAAGTATTCATTAACAATTGTCTACACAAAATACTTCAGATCCGTCGGCCAGATAATATCAACAACGACCTACTACGGGACAGAACAAACCAGATCCGAATGAAAAAAGAGATCAGGAAGAAACGTTGGAAATAGATAGGACACACATTGAGGAAAGAACTCAACTGCGTCACAAGACATGCCCTCACTTGTAATCCTCAAGGTCAAAGGAAAAGAGGAAGTCCACAAAACACATTACGCCGAGAAATGAACACAGGCATGAAAGGAGTGGACACCGTTTGGACAGCACTTTAAAGAAAGGCTCAGAGAATACAGGTCAGTGGCCTATGCTTCATTAGGGGTAACAGATGTAAGTACGTAAATAAATTTTGCTACTACTACGTAGTACAGTTCCAAGAAAAAGAAAACCAAATCATTGAAAAGAAATGTTTAATTTCATTTATTATTAGAAATTTTTTTGATAAGAAAATAGAAATATACAAATGATTGAAAGCATTATATATATATATATATATATATATATATATATATATATATATATATATGCACCATGATCGCAAATTCACAATTCTCCATGATCATCTTGATTACGTAACAAGTGTATGTGTGACGGGAGAGAAAATAATCTTGATTACATAATAAAACAATGTGTGAGGAAAGAGAAAAGAAAAGAAAGGAAAAGAAGGAGAAACAAAGAAACTACAACCAGCACAAATAAATAATCAATATACAGAAGAATTTGCAACCAAAATGAAAGTGAACTGACTGAGCAATTACAATCAGATATACACAAAATTATATATGCATCTGCAAAAAGCAGGCGCATTGTCAAGTTGTATTATGATTTTTATTATTAGTATTATTATTATCATTATTATTATTTACAAGTTGAAGAGCCAAATTTCGTTTTCGACGTTTAGCAAGACGCCGTTTTTGATTACGCGTTAATTGTACACGAACATTTTCAGACAATTGATTAATATGTTTAGAGTTAATGAATGTTGTAGCATTATTTGTATTTGTACAGGAAATTTTGTTCATGTGATTATTTGTACTAGTACTACTGCTACTATTACTACAACAACTACTACTATTGTTATTGTTAGTATTATCGTATGCTGTGTGATTTAAAGTCACTTGTAATACAGTTCGTTCATTATTATTATTATTACCATTAGTTTCATTATCTGTTCGGCGCTTTTTGTTACAATAATTTGATTCGACAACATTATCCGGATTCACTTTCATTTTTAATGATAATTTTCGATTGATCCGATTATGATTATTATGATTATTGGTCAACATTAATTCTGACAAATTTTCTGTCAACGATAACCATGATTGATCAATGATAGAAACATGTCGCATGAAAACACGATCAGTTTGTGCCGATCGATCATTCGATTGTAATTGATAATCAGTGTTTGTGACCGCCTCGATGAATAGCAAACATGACGGTGGATTAGTTAAAGAAAATTTGTATAATTGTGATTCTGGATGAATTAATAATTCTTGATGAATGGAATGCGTTGTTGATTTAGTTTGTATATAAATAGGATGTTGTGATTGTTTTACTAACGGTTCCGTGTCACTTTTGGACATTTTTGATAATTCTGAAAGAATTACAACCTAGACAGATAGATAAATGATAAGGTAGAAACGTTAAATAAAAATTAAATTCACGTAGTAAACAATCCTATTGTGGTGTGAGCTACTTATAAGTAGTGTATGGCGTGAGTGTCAACGTAATGTCTGGCAGCAGAAAATGGGGAAAGATCAAGAAAGGAAGAGTTAGAACACAATGGAATTTGTATGAAACGCATGAATAGTGACAATGGATTGATGTTTTGCAACAGGAACAGTCCAGTTCGATATGATGAACTGATATTTTGCAAAGTAACGATTTACGATATGGTTTTCCGATTTTACTGAGTAACTCTGTAATTTTCGTTAAATACGATTCGGTTGCCCCAACTATGTTCTCGTTCACTACACTATTACTAAGTGAAGGATTCACCATACCCCATGCTTAAGTTATTATTTTGTTTAAAATTGTGATTTATACATGATGGTTGAAGATCGAGAAAAAATATTCAACGTTCCAAGTTGTGTTTTCAAAGAATTAATTAGTAATTTCAGTGATGAGGCTTTGTGGATAATAGGTTTGGTTTCCAATGCGTTTCTAATAACCGCAGACTAAATCTATACTGTAACTTGGATACAAGAAAAAAGGCGTGAAGTATGAGATGAACGCGCCACTGCAAACGACTTTGAGGTATGTCGTTCGAGGTTTCTAACTATCGATGATTTTCGTCTCGCGGACGGCGAACCAGGTAGTCAACACCTACCGACATGACTCAGTCCACTTGTCAGTGATTTCATGCATTTCTGCCATGTTTCGGTTTGGCCGCCCATAACTTTCTTCTAACCTATGCCTACATCGCAAAACATAGCTCGATGAGGCAGTCGGAGGTTAGGCATACGTAACACATGTCCCAACCACCTCAACTGATGAAGTTTCAATACTTCATCTACTGATCTGCCATCCCCACCTAGTACTCATTTTCAAACTGTATCATTGCTTACTCGGTTGTCCCACGATATACGAGCGATGCTTCGAAGACATCTATAATCGAATATTAATAACCTACGAATGTCTTTTACTCTTACTGGCCATGTTTCGCAAACATATAGTAGGACAGGGCGAACTGCTGCGCAGTAGATTCCACCTTTGGTTAGCAGACGGATCTGCTATCTGTACGCAAGATTTGATTTCCAATCCGTTTCTAATAACCCCAGACTAAATCTATACTGTAACTTGGATACAAGAAAAAAAGGCGTGAAATACGAGGCTTTACCGGAATGTCAGTTTATGTGTAGAAAAATGGGGTTATTTATGGTGTTACTCATGAGATTGGGCTAAATATCCAGTTACAATCGCGGCACGTGATTCTGTATTTTCCAGGCGTTTCTGTGAAGTTTCTATCCAATGCTGATTGAACAAAACGTCTTCTAGTGTTTCCGTGCCTTTAAAGACTTTTCCAAGGAACATTTTGAGACTGCCCAACGGTGGAGACTTGAATGTTTATAGTTTATATCACACAAACTGACAGTTCACTCTCGAAAGAAAATTGTATCGTTGTAGCGTTATAAAACATATTAGCAGTGCACATACAACAATCTAACTTGACACCGAAACCCAGAACTTATTAAATTTCACAACGAACACTGAATTAGCATCGAATGGTTATGCAATTCCAAATTCATCTAACATTATTAGCAACGATCGATCGGTTCCCATTGAACAAAACAGAAAATTTACTTATCAATTATTTACATCTTTATAAATAAGGTAATCAATAAACATGGTCAATTAAGGTTAACTAGTTAGTTACTAACAAATTCAAAACGTACTTGATTAACTGGGGTGCATATATATATATATATATATATATATATATATATATATATTTGTCCTAGAGTTAGCATTATATACTTTTTAGAAAAAATCAATGTGTTTGTTTGCCGACAGCAGGAATATAATGTGAATAGACAACTGATTAATTGTTTCACAACTAACTAACTAACTAACTAACTAACCATTCGAATCTAGGTAAATAAATTTCCAGTGCAGTGCACTAAAACACTTTCAATAAACAAATAAATATTTTTCATTTTGAATTTCTGTCCAGTCCTGTTTTCACTTGTGTGTTGTGTTGAACTGAATCAATTCGGAGTGAACATTGAATAGACAGATAGTATTTCCTCTTAGCCTCATAATTCCATTATGATTAATAAATATTTACAAATTATTGATTGATATTGTGTAAGTAAACCAATCGAATTATTTTTCAACAACAAAGGAAAATATACCCTTTTCACATATATATATATATATATATATATATATATATATACATATATATTTACCTGATCTTGAAAACCGGACAAAAGAAATGCTTGTATAATTTTCTCAACATTTGTACCACACGAATGCATGTAATCTTTTAATTTTGTACTTTGAGCAATTTGTTTTAGCTGAGCACGTACACGTATAGCTGTTTCTAGACGAGATCGATTGATAAAATTTGCACGACACCATTGAAGTTTGGAATTACGTTTGGATAATTTTGATTTTGGCATCGTAGGTTGTGTAGAAGAAGATGAACAAGTGCCTCTGTTTGATTGTAAATGATTTTTCATATTATGAATTGTGGTTTTTTCCAGACGAGCATCTTTAGTTGCTTTAATAAATCCACGATAAACTAACAATAGGCTGATAAGATCACCAGATGGATGACGAAATCGAGACTGCACCTATATATATATACAAACAAATAGATTATAGGTTAAGGAGGTAGGCAAAATGGTATAGTATAGTATAAAGAAATATGATGGTTAATCTTCAACCTAATTGTGCATCGAAATATTGATTTAATTTGTAATGTACAAATTTTCTATACATCGTTTTCAGCATTTATGTCAAGCTCATCGATACTGTCATGTTTTTTAGACTAAAAGTAAGCGGAATAAGAAATTAAAAACTATGGAATCCAAGTGTTTGAGTTCAACAAGTTGATTGGTTTGCATTTAATTAGCTTATTACAGAATTATAAAGATTATTGAGTTTCATATGAATCCATCATTGTTAGACCACCATTAGAAATCTCGAAGCAGTGGACGGTCGTTTTGTCCCAGTATGGTACTCATCAGCCGCGATCGATTCATCGTTTCAATGAAACTCAACGATCATATATATTGAAAATCATAAAAATGTGCTTACGATTGACTAGATTAGTGCGAAGCCGGGATCAGTAGAGTTCAACTCTTTTGGGTGTAGGCACTAACTACCGAAGACAATGGGTGAGCTTGCGCAACATCAGGGATTGGTTAAATTAAGACATTAACACTGTTGGATGCCAGCCCAGTTGTCTGAAAGCTGAGCGTCTACGCGCAAGACTGAAGGTTGTGGGTTCGAGTCCTGTGAGTGGTGATCGTGGCTGTCCATTGCCGATGAGTCTCATACTAAGACGAATATATCATCTAGTGACATTGTGCTTAGGAGTTTGACATCAGGCTAGACGATGAGTGCGGTCTTTTGGGAAGTCCGCAAACTAAATTTATAAAAATCCTTGTATCGTCCTTCATATTTTTCGCTGTACAGCGAAAACAGCTAGTATCGATTGATGATGAATGATTGACTTAACAAGAGGGAAAAGAAGTTTCTTGATACTAATAATAATAAGTAAGGAATAACAAAACTTCAACAAACTTACATCTGAAAATTCATTGCGTTTTTCAACTGGCACATAAAACACCGGACAAACATAAAGCATACTTATAATACTCAACATTTCAATGAGACAACCTAAATAAGCAGCAGAAATCAATGTTCTCGAAAATCTTGGCTCCAATGGGAAAGCTGACATCAATCGGCCAAGAACTGTAAGCTTTAGAGAGAGAAAAATGTAGAAAAACAAATCGAAATACTTAGCAATTTGCCAGTAACAAACTAATAAACATCGCAAAGCATATAACAATAATTTTGAAGTAAACCAAGCTGGGAAACTAATGTTAATAGCTTTAAATTTTTCCATTCTTTTTAAATAATAGACTTAACTAATAATCGTGAAAGTTGATAAGAGGATTTATTTAAAAAAAAGTAAGTATTTGCATATGTTTCATCTTGTTAATGTTACGGTCTGCAATTTTAATCAATCGCTTTTCGTACACATTCATCCTGATCGACTTGATATTTTATGAGTTTTTGTTAAAGTCAGATAGTGCCTAGCAGTGTAATATAGAATGAGCTCTTTAGTTTATCATCTGTGACTGAACACAGCTGGGTATGTCAGTGTTTACACAGGGACTTGAACATAATATGTTCCGTTTTGTCAATGTCGATGTAAAACGTGACGCAAATATGTGTTGTTGTTACATTTTAAACTAGCACACCGATAAGTAGAATTAAAAATGTCAGTGATATTTGAGCGAAAACAATACCCAAATTTTCATTATACCACTGGAGTTCAATCCTGTTGGGTGCAGGCAATTAACTAGAAAGGACAATAGGTGAGGTTGCGTAATACCTCCGACTGGTCAAATTCAAACAATAACACCGTTGGACGCTGGCTAGTAGTTAAGCGTTTGCGCGTGAGATCGAACGCCCTGGGTTCGACTCCCGCATGCGAGGATCGTGGATGTGCACTGCTCATGGGTTCCATACTAAGACGAAACAACCGTCCAGTGCTTCCAGGTTTCTAATAGTAGTATAACAATGATCGATTCACCATTTCAGTGAATATACGAATTCGCTGTATTATTGTTATACATGAGAAACATAATTTAAACAGAATAAACGAAATGGTACGACAAAAAGTGTGAAATGACACTGAACTCAAACTTTGGAGTAAGATAATAAAAAAAGTCGATGAAAATTACATTTCAGCTACTAATCACATCGGAATCGTGAATCGATCAATGTTAGACGATCAGTAAAAACATAGGGGCACTGGACAGACTTTTTTTTGCTAGTATTGGACTAATCAGCAGTGCGTAATCCATGACTGCTGTTATCGCGGAACTCGAATCCAGGACCTTCGGTTTTGCGTGCGAACGCTTAACTGTTAGACCCCTGAGCCGGCATCTAACAGTGTTAATGTTTAACTTTGATCAATCTAAGGATTCAGTGCAACCACACCTAACAATGATTGATTGATTGTTGATTCCAAGTAAAACATAAGATTGGTAAGATTAAAATTAGAACGAAGATGAACTTTCATAATCAGTTAAACAAAATACAAATAGTTACATAACAGTAAGAGTATTAATTGAAATCGGATGTAAATATAAGTGATAAGAGAATATTAATCAGGTTACGTAAGATTAGAATTAAAGATTAAAATGTCAATAAATCGAATTTCAGAAGGGTTCAAAGCAAGGTGAAGAGAGGTTTTGAAACATGTAACTATAGAAGGACAGGAAAGACTAAGAAGCTGTGCAAACATTTTCTGTATACAAAGAATCGATTTATTGATGTGTATTCTTATGACTTTTGCCATATGTGTAAAAGTTGGATTCTGGAACGAAATGGTAAATTAGGAACAATTTTAAACACTAACCGTTTTATCTATGTGAGGACCGGTATCAACTAGATGCAGCAAGATAACGTTTCCTATTAATTTTCTTTTGTCCTCTTGGTCAATCATGAGGAGTGATGTACCGAAATACGATTATAAATTTGTCTAGTTGTGCACCCAATATAACTAACTAGCTCCACAAGAGCAGTTGAAATGGCAGATTCAAATAGAGGTAGAGAAACTAGACAATTGACCTTTATTTCGTGAACTGACTATTGGCTGACTGACGAACATAGGACATAATCTTTCTGAACTAAATATATGTGTTATAAAGCTTTCTGCAGACGTCCAGTTACTAGTTCATTGGCTACATCAACTTTGAATTGCCATTTTTCAAAAAAATAGGCTTTTTTCGTACAATAAGTGACTTTCCTTTGGGTTTAGTTTCATTCATATGTTTCACACTAAGAACTTTAATGGATAGTTGTGTTTGTTTAGTAAAATCTTGGATAAGATTCAATTCTTTTTCAAGGCTATCGTCAGATCAAATAATTTTGGCTCTGTAGCATTTAATTAAGCATCTCTTATGTTGTAGTGGAACAGTGTTCGAAAAGTCTGTATATTGGCTTTGTGTAATCGGTTTACGATAAAAACTTCTTCTGCTATTATTTTGGTCTTTTATTATCTACTGAGCCATGTAAGTAAGTATAGACTACCCTGTTTGGTGTCCACGAAATGATAGTAACCGATGGTTAGAGACCTTGGATGACATGGCTCAAAATCGTTTGCGATGGTGCAGGTGCGTCCATTCTACGTGTTCTCACAAATTCTGAATTTTTAATGAACTATTTTCTCTTTTTAAATTTATTTCACTGGATTATACTTCTCGAATCATATCTTCTCCATTACCGATAATTATTTTACAAATACTACCACTACGGGGTTTGAATTGACGATTGTGTCTCTATGCTAATGTAGTATAGCAACTTGAAATGATGTACGTACGTATCAATTTCTACGTTGTTGCGGATTAAATGTATGAATAATTAACCAATGATCAGACTAAACTCAAGATTATCAAATAACTTACAGAAAGTGAATATGGAATCTTTACAGAATCATTTAATTTATCTGAATCTGCGCTAGAAATTGCCTCTTGGATAGATTTGGAGGGTAGTGGTTCTGATTTATCATTGTTAGCCACTTCAACAGCACCTAATTGAAGAAGTAATTTAATTCCAGCTTCAATGGAGGATGGTTTAGGCGCAGATAACCATGGAAACTGGGAAGGATTCTAAGTGGGGAAAAAAAGGACATCCGATTAATAAAGGTATAAATAAAGTATCAGAGGAATCCAACGCCGAAATAATGATAATAATAATAATAATAATAATAACAAACGAAACCTACTTGAACCCTGACCTAGTAACATGAATTTCCAATGTATGACAAAGAATTTTATTAGCACACAGAATGTTCTTATAATGTAGGAGATTGAAAGAATCATTCACGTTGCTGCGGAAATGAAAGTATGCAACCTTGTGGTGCTTGAAATATGTGAAGCACAACAAACGCAGGTTGGATAAAAAAAGACTAGCTTCAGGAGAGAGATGTTGTTTTGCTCCGGTCATGAAGAAGAAAATGCCTCACACACAAGGAGTTACACTGATAAGATTAGAATCTCATCGACCCAGGATGATGAAAACCTCCCGTCAAAACAAGAAAGAGATTAGATTAAATATCAATGAGGACGTCAAAAGATGAGGCGTTGGAGTCAATCGTCAAGAAATGTCCAACGAAGGATCTGATCATTCTAATAGATGTAAACGCCAAAGTGAGAATGGACAAAACTAAACATGAAAACATCATGAGACGACAATATGGTTTGAAACTGATTAGCAGCAGTAAACATTCACTTACTCTCTATTCCATTTAAAATCACAATCCTGATTGGGATTCTTCTCGACTACTTGTTTTTTTTTTCTAAAGATTTAAACTAAATAAACTTATTCACTACGTACCTGACTACGAGCGAAGACAAATAATTCCACCCAGTTATCAAAGTAGGTGGAATAAATTTGAACCTAAGAAGATTTAGTAGGCGCAAGTCGAACACTTACCTCTTTCTTGCCTACACTACTATTACAGATAACATGAAAAAAACAATTAATTTAACACTGGTAAATACTTTTACCAGATTCTAATGTTGTTCATTTGTTTTTCAAGTAGCATTTGAAAAAAAACATGAACATAAGTGATTGGCGAAAGAGACACGAAGCGTAATCCTCTTTCAATGTATTTTTATTATAAAAAAAGGAAAAATCGATGAACACAATGCAAAGCTTAAAATGGTATGCATCTTAGACAATTAAAATACGCATAACTTAATCAAAGTAAAATCTTAGGCATAGGTAGGTGTGTGTGTGTGTGTGTGAAGAGAGGAAAGAGGTTTAATTTCAAACAGGTTAAATATGGCTAAATCGAAAATTTCTTTGAAAATGCTTTGAGGTCACCATGTATCTATCTTCGTTTTCTTTTTTTCCGCATGTACAAAATATCACCATACAAAAAAAGTTATTTGATTGTTAAAAATTGGAGGGAATATGTAACGATTCGATAAAAGATGTAAATTACCAATAATTTAATTAAAAAACGAAAATTACGTAAATTACTATTTAGTGGAAAGAATATGCCGACAATATAGTTCTGTTCGGTGAAGACGCTGACAAAATGCAGTCTTCTGACTAGCCTAAGCAACGTCACTTATAACGTAGACGAGATATCCGCTTGCTAACCAAACGACGAGTGTATTACAACGCAGCAATTCGCTCTGTCCTACTTTATGGCTGTGAAACATGACCAGTAAGAGTTGAGGATATTCGTAGGCTATTAGTATTCTACCATAGGTGTCTTCGAAGCACTGCTCGTATATCCTTAGACAATCGGTTAAGCAATGTAGATGTTAAGAAAAGGGTACTACATAAAGATAACAAATCAATTGATGAAGTAGTGGATCGTCATCAGTTGAGGTGGTTGGGTCATGTGTTACGAATGCTCAACCACCGACTGCCTCCAAGATCCATGTTTTGTGGTGTAGGAGTGGGCTGGAAGTAAGCTAGGGGCGGCCGAACCGAAACATAGCATAAATCCATGAAGTCATTGACAACTAGACCGAGCCATATTAGTAGGTGTACACTACTTGGTTTCAGTCAGCGAAACGATAGTAATCTAATCTTTTACAATTTCACTAGCTTATACTTCTTGACTAAATCTTCGAACCAATTACCGCTACTACTATGAGCTTTGAACTGACAATTACATCTCTTTCTGCAAATGTGGTATGGCAACCTGAACCTGATTTACGTACGTACGTATCAACTTCGACGTTGTAGCTGGATGACCGATAAGTGGTGCAGATACAAGCATTTCAAGTGTACAAATGATGATAATAATTGCTTACAGATTTTCTTAAGAATTTGCATGTGTGCATTTTATGTGTGTACAGAGTAAAAAGAAAAGTCTTAATGTGTAATGAAGTTATGAAGTAAATAATCAATAGAAAAAAATGCAAATAATGTGAAATATTATACGTTGAATAAATTCAAAAATGCAGATTGTTAATATTATCAATAATACGAATCAGAAACAATAAAACTAAACAGACAGACATACAACTAACTTAATTACATATGACCGATGTGCTCAGATCAAAGACAAATGATTAATGCGATTCAGTGTTTTTAATGAAAAGGTCATGTCGGAAAAATAAAAAAGTGTTAAGATTCATGTGGATTTTTCATTTTGGTGGGTGGGGACAAGTGTCTTTTACCAGAATTCTGATCACATCTACCATACATATTTAGCAAATGAAAATGTACACAGGTTGAAAGTTTTTTTCTAGTGTTTTGTATATGATAATTTTTTCACTATAGAATTATGAAGAATCATAAAATGATGATTTATTAATGATTGTTAGACCACCATTGGAAACTTCGAAGCACTTGACGGTCGTTTTGTCCTAGTATAGGATTCATCAGCCGTATGCATCCACGACTCCTGCTATTCGCAGGATTCGAACCTAGGATGATGGTGATTCTGCCTATTCAGCTGTCTACATGAGTAACCGAAATAGCATGATAGTTCTTTAATTGTATTAGCAGTAGTATACAATTGAGAGGGAAAAGTCCCAAAACAATAGCTTAGAAGTAAGAGCATTAGGCTTTTAATCATTAGGTGAAGAGTTAAAATCCATCAATCCCATTTAGTTTGGAAAACTAGGTAATTTTATTACCTCTTGTAAGCAAACAGCTTTGCTGAACAAATGAGTAATGGAAATAATGAAAAGGGAAAGAATTTTTAGTCGTTAAAAATTCGACAGCTCTATCCCCCAAATCTTCGTGTGCTGATGACAATTACTTTTCTGTAACTGATTTTAATGTAACCACCTACATGGTATTTACCACTTTAAGTGTATATGTGATTGGGGACATAGACAAATTAAGGCAGGTGGGTTTTTCTATAGTTGATCTAACAACTTAGCAAACAACATCACATTTTCAATGAGAGAGGGGTTTGTTCAAGGTTATCAAAACAGGCATCAGAATCAGGTGAGATAGCAAATTAGTGGGTATATCAAGCTATATAAAGGAATTCTTTGTAACGAATGTATCCGATTCACAAATCAAATAAATCGAAGTATATCTCAGAGTGTTTCAATAACTTTATTAATTATTGAATTGCTTGAGTATTTGTTATCTCTATTCTGATCTAAGCGCTAAATCACTAAAAGAGCTTGTGAAAGATGCATGACACGGTGTCACTTTTCTGGCATTCACCCTCTTCTGCTCCAGTTACATCAGTCAATTACAATGCAGAACTTTGTACGTACGTACATCAGTTCGAATACCATACCACATTAGCACAGAGACGCAATTGTCAATTCAAATCCCCTAGTAGTATAGTTAGTAGCAATAATGGCGGTAATCGAAAACCTTATGCATCTGCGCCATTGCAAACGATTTTGAGATAAGTCAATAAAAATCTCTAACAATAACTTATTATCGTCTCGCTGACCCCAAACCAGGTAGTCAACACTTACCAATATGACTTAATCCACTGGTCAGTGACTTCATGGATTTTCGCCGTGTTTTGGTCTGGCCGCCCTTAGCTTTCTTCCAACCTACTCCTACCCATAAAACACAGCTCGTTGAGGCAGTCAGTTGTTGGACATTCACAACACATGTCTCAACCACCCTAACTGATGAAGTTTCACTACTTCATCTATTGACTTGCCATCCTTACCTAGGACCCCTTTTCAAACAACAGCATTGCTTACTTGGTTGTCCCACGACATACGAGCAACGCTTCGGAGACACCTATGATCGAATACTAGTAACGTACGAATATCTTTGACTCTAACTGGCCATGTCTCACAACCATAAAGTAGCACGGAGCGAACTGATGCGTAGTACATTCGTTCTTTGGTTGGTAGACGGATATCTCTCCTACGCCAAAACAGATGCAAGTTAGCAAAAGCCAATCGAGCCTTCTGTATCCGTGCTGAGATTTCATCAGTCATAATGCCATCAGCACCGATGAAACTCCCCAGATAAGTGAAGTGGGAGTCTCACCCATTACCCCTCTACTAATAAGTGCTGAACCTCTACCCTTATCATTACTGGATCTGAAGTTGAAAAACTATTATAAGAAGTTAGTTCGTAATAAGGACCATAAAGAAGGCGTATTTACGATTTATTAACTAAACAATGTACAAAGTCGTGACAGTATCAACAGTATACTTCACAGAAAACATGACATCATAAAAAACAATGAGATTTTTGAGGAAACACCTTTAACAACCTTTGTCTCATCAGTAAATGTAAGTTGAACAAGTAAGCAACAACAACAAAAAATTCCAAAGACTATCCCCTTAATATGTATTGTCAACACCACATGCATACAATAACTGTTTGTATTCAATGCATAAACAATTACGAATGATTACATAATTTACAACAGATCACCTACCTTTATATTCATAGATATGAGATTTAGCAGAATTCCATTCAGTGGAGCTTGTAAAATTTGCGGTCTAGGTTGTAAGGGCATATTTTTATATTCTAAATCAGTATACAAACGAAGACAAACACCGGCTGCTTCACGTCCAGCACGTCCGGAACGCTGCCATGCTTGTCCTTTGGAAATCCATTGAACACGAAAACATTCAAATCCGGTTTTAGGATCCCAGTCTCTATTAGATTGATTAACAAGAAAAATGACTCACTAATATATTTTAGTATACAGGTACATATATTGAATGAAAAGATGATTATCGATGACTATATATATATATATATATATATATATATATATATATATATATATATATATATATATATATATATATATATATATATATATACTCCTCTTGCTTTAATAGGTACAGGTGTCTGTGTACTTGACTTTAGGTCATATTCCAAGTGTGGAGGCTAACAATGTACTGCCCGGTTAGGATTAGTACTTGGGACTTAGTATTTATAGAATAGACAAATTGTAGTTAACAGAGAAATCAAGAACTCATGTTTCATCCTAGTTGGAACTCGTCAGCTGGATGTGCTTGGATTTTAGTTTGGATATTCACAATGGGACTCAAACCAAGTACATTCTGCTTTAAATGACCAATGTATTATATTTACTAAGCTAAGTTGTGTAAAAGGATATGATGTTTTTGTAGATTAGTAGAGAGGATTTGAATTATCCTGTTTTCAGTCAAGATAATAAGAAACATGAGGATCATGTAAATCCTCTTTCATAATGAATTAAGAGTTGGACACTCAAACCACTGAGCCACATTGTATAGTATAGATTGATGCATGCAATGCGGAAGAATGGGAAAAAAATGACCATCCTATAAAAAAACGCCTACCCACACAACACATAATTAGGGAAAATATCAACCTAACTTATCAGCAAAACCAAAATTAAAATCAGCCAACTGAAAATTCTACCATATATGAAAAACATTTAAGACATTGCAACCAGTTTACTGAAGCTGTTTGAAATAGCTGCAGTAAACAAATCAGCACAATCACTTCAATTACTATTATACAAATCAAGGGATAAAATTACAAAAGTAGAGAAACCAAACATCAACAAACTAAACTGTTTCAAACGTGTAAAGCACTACATCGGACAAAGTGGACGTCCTCTTCAATTTCGCCTACCAGTTGACAGTCAAACGTCATTACAAATTTTCACTTACATACATGTGGACAATTATGGATGTTCATTCGATTGGAACAATGCTGAAATACTGGATAGAAGGAATACAACAAATACACTAGTAAAATTCTAGAAGCTCGGCACTTAAGTAGATCAGCAATCAACATACACATACACACTAACCCAATTAATCAGAAAAAATTAAAGGAGGATGTAATCAAAATAAAGAGGCAGACTATGACAGGTTAAGGGTCGATAACAACCAATCAAGACCAAGGTCAACAGGACAAGCTACGAGTCATGCGTGGAGAAATTCGAATACTTCACTTCTACCTGAAGTTTGTGCTGATGATCTTATCCAGAAGGATGATGAAAGCTCCATAACCAACCCATCGATCTGAGAGAACCAAGCTTCGTTATAATCATCCATTTAAGCTATAAATTTTCTCCAACATCTCAATAAGAGAGTATTTCGAGAGAGAGAGAGAGAGAGAGTATACTTTCACCACTCTTGATCGTACTAAGGCATTTGAGAGATCTGTCACTGGTACAGTTATAGCTCAATGGTTGATATACTTGGTTACTACTAACACATTAGTCATACAGTAGTACTATTTGTTAACTAATGAACAGTCGGCAATGCCATTTGAGGCCGACCTGTGGATAGGGTTGAGCAAGCTCACAGCACCCTTCTGAAGGCGAAAAATAGAAGTAATTTCATTGGTCTCAATTCAGAGACCGTCGCAGAAATTACATTGCAAAGAACAGGTATTATTATATACGTATGGGCCGATTTAGTTAGTTTTATTTACTTTTAGAATAAAAATTTGTTACCTATTTCTACTTAGAGATACTACCTCTAACTCAGGTCTCACACGGTTGAAAAAGTAGTTACCCGACATGAGACAAGGGGTAATACGAGTATTGGAGCCAATTTTCATCAAGCCGGGCTGCATCTCTTACTATCCCATGCCATACGATGTATATACCAGAAGTTATATTGCTATATAGAGCTGAAAGTTTCCTATAAGACCAGAGGTTCGTTGTGAACATGTGGACAGTTTGGCAATACTTTAGCTAATAGTCTATATACAAATTTGGTTTACAGGTTGATCGATTTCATTAATACTGGTGGTTGTCTTGCAACATTCCCGAGGGTCATTGACATTGAGGTGCTGTATGGCATATCACCAATACAAATTATAATGAGTTTGACAGTCATGTAAGAGGGACAGGTCAAATTGGCCTTTTTATGCTATACATATTGGTTTACGCGATCATGGATCAGAAATAATCATAATATATGTACTGGTGTATATAAGTGATGTGAATGGTCCACCAGGGTGTCAGATACCTGTGTAGTTGCGCCACAGGATTCAGCCGTGTACTATTCACGTTGTAATGTTAACAGGTGGGCAGTCTCCTTACTTTTCCTGAAAACCAACATTAAAAGTACCCTTTCCAATTGAGGGTGAACTTATATAATAAATTATTAATCTATTTCTACTTAATTGTATTAGTATTAATTAAATGTTTGTGTAAACTAAAAAAAATGTGACAGAGTATCACGTTCTTGGGTTAATGATTAAATCATAAAAACTATGAGAAAATGTAACATAATCACTTGTTGAGAATTTCATCATTGAAAACAAATGAACACAAGTATGAACTAAAACATTATCTTTATTAGAAATCATACTAACACGTCAATATTTTAATTTTAAAAACAATTAAATATAGTAGAATACAAAAATTTCAATTCCGATAATCAGACTGTTTTTTGGTGTCACGTCGTCGCCCTAAACGCCCTGATGCAGCCAAGACTATCAGGAATCTGCACTCCCTTACTCTTATACGAGCCTGGGTTTGAGATCGCTATCCTGGAAATTCTGCTCATTAGCGTGTGCTGTTTACGGAAATGGAATGATGGATACAGAGGGTCTGAACCAATGTTATGCATGGACTTCAGGATCTCGGAGGTACCGATGGTGTTTGAATCTATCACTGAAGTGTATCTTCAAACACTAGGAAAAAGATCAACCTCTAAGAAAATCAACTGGTTCGATTTAGGAGGCCAGGCAGTAGCCAACACAAATACGAAAATCAATAATTTTGGAAATAAGGAAGGAAGACATACAGCGAAGTTAACTTTCTTCCGAACAGTTGGAATACTTTATGCTTGAATGCTTAATTCAAGGGAGATAGAGCAGCAGAGATACTAAAGAACAGTCTATCCAGATCCCTGAGGAAAACGTTTCCATAAGTAAAGCTACGAACTGTTTTATCCAGCAAGAAACCCATTCAGGGCAGTGTCAAGGATGGAATGCCACTTTGGGCCATCTCAGTGTGTATTGAAGAGCAAGTTACATTGGCTGTTCAAAGCGTGTACTTGATAAAGTAACATTCAGGCACTGTCCTGTATGGCTATCTAAAGAAGAATGCAAATCCATCAACAGCCTAATGCTTGAACATATCGTCAACTCAGGTAAAAACCCACCGTGCAAATCACCTTTCAAGATCCTCTATAAGGTGAAAGAAACCGGCTCAAGAGGTTTGAATGAAGCATCTGTGAACATGTCAATTACCGTGCTGTCGTAAATTGTTAATGTCAGTTCCTGAGGTGGGTAAATTTTGTTGAAAGCATACACATTGTACGACAATGAAGGATCCACTGTGACTACTAGTAGTTGGAAAAGCAGTTAAAAAAAATACAGTCTCATTCACAAAATTATATATGAATATTATATATATATATATATATATATATATATATATATATATATATATATTTCAACTTGAAAAATGCCTTACTTTATTTTTGCACGCCCACAATCTATCACATAACGTATACCTGGGATGGTAATGGATGTCTCCGCTAAATTTGTACTGACAATCACTTTACGCACATTCTAGGATTAAATAATAGACAGAAAAATGAAAACATATTAAAAAATACGGTTTTTATGTGTTTTATTGATGTTAACCGGATGGAAAATAGGTTTCAATAAGCATCTGATGTACCTGAATGAAGAAACTACAAGGATATTTTGTTGTCCTAGTACAGAGCCTCCAACAGTGCATATCCACAATTCAACGTCCAAGAACTGAACCAAGGACCTGCGACCTCACAAATTTACTGAATTACTTATGCCTGTTACACCCAATGAAGCATAGGCCGCCGGCCAGTATTCTCCAACCTACCCTGTCCTGGAGCTTCCTTTCTAATTCTGTTCAATTGTTGTTCATTCTTCTCATATCTGTCTCGGAGTAATGTGTTCTTTGAGTTCCTTTTTTTGACTTTGAAGATTCCAAATGACGGCTTGTCTTGTGACGCGGTTGAATGCTTTCCTCAATGTGTGTCTTACACACTTCCAGTGCTTCTTCCTAAGCTGGAATCTTGTTTGTTCTCTCCGACAGGTTGTTGCTGAAGGTGTCTGGCCAACGGATCCGAAGTATTTTGCGGACCTCACGAGTGGAGTATTAATTTTATTATTAGTAGGTTGGAGGGAAATAAACCATTTTTATATGGTGAAATGTATACGTAGAAAAATTTATGAACAACCTAGAATAATAAACGAACTTAATTACCACCTATAGACGAAACTATAATTAAGACATCACATACTAATCCAAGTGAAAATACCTTTGAGTCAGACTAAAAGAATAAGCTTCAGTTTAGTTATCTAAACATCTCACTTAATAGCGATTCATTATTGTTTAGGTCAAACCGAATCGCTTAAGAGATACGTGTAATCACACGGTTAACCATAGTATAAAAAAACACTTCTAAATTGTTGGTGGCTACAGTAAGAAAAATAATCTGATGTATATCTGATATAATCGTTTGATCTCTTTAATCAATAAGCCATTCAGTTAAATAACGTATAACACATCCAAGATGAAATATAATACATCACAATCTCAAGTAGGACGGTAAGCGATGAAAACTAAAGATTGTAACAATATTCATTGACGATAAGTCGTTGATTTAACCCAATAACCAATCATACAGACAATCTAATTAGTATACTATAATCTAAAATTTGGTTGTCCTTTTGAACTCTACAATCACAAGCATGAACTACTGATTACTAGTCGGTCAGTCAGTTAGTCAGTTACAACGCAGAACTTCGTACGTACGTACATCAGATGAACTTCTCATACCAAATTAGCACAGAGATGCAATAGTCGATGTAAATCCCATGGTAGTAGAGGTAGTAGAAGCATTAGTGGTAATGGAGAAGAATAAGGTTCAAGAATATTATTCAAGAGGCATAATACAGTAAAATAAACTTATGAAGAGGAAGATAAAGGTGATGAGGCATTGGGAAGATTAGAATTTGAAATAACACAAACGATGGATGCATCTGAGCGAATGCAAACAATTTTGAGCCATGTAATTCAAGGTCTGTAACCATCGGTTACAATTGTCTCGCGGACCCCAGCCAAGTAGTCTACATCCACTAACATGGCTCAGTCCAGTTGTCAGGGTATTCATGGATTTGTGTAATGTTTTGGTGTGGCTGACCCTAGCCTTCTTCAAGCCTATCCCTACATCGCAAAACATCGCTCATCAAGGCAGTCAGTGGTTGGTTGTGCATACGTAACACATGTATCAACCAACTTGACTGATGACTACTTCACCAACAAACCTGCCATCCTTATCTTGCTAAGTCGATTGTCCAAGGACATACGAGCAATGCTTCGAAGACACCTATGATCGAATACTAGTAGCCAAAGCATATCCTTTACTTTTACTGGCTATGTTACACTAATTTCTAGTTTCATTTAAACAACTTGTAAATACATTACAGTACCATCTCATTGTAAATTTGTACAAATGTTAATGATCATTATTAACTGACAACAAATGATCAATAGTCCTGATTTTAAAATTAGATAATTGGAAGAAGAATCCATGAGGAACCTTGGATATGAGTTACCTGCTAGTTAGAATAATTCATCAAAGTTTAATCACTGAACTGATCCTTTTCTAAACCAACTCTGTTACATAATCACTGAACCATTTCAAAAATTATGCTTGATCAAAAACAATTCAACATGTTTACTTTTCGAAGTCTTTTACACTTTAAAGCAATAAACGTTATAACACTGTTTCTTTAAAATACCGAAATTCATCTTACAGTGGAGGAGATTTGTGGCTCAGTTAGGTTATTGTGATGGAGTTTCGTTCGCTGAGCTGCATCTTTTGGTTGTGGAGCTTTAATTGTTCTTCTGAACAACATCATCAGCACAAACTTCACAGTAGAAGTGAAGTATTGGAATTTATCCACGAATGCCTCTATCTTGATTGGTTGTTATTGACCTTAACCCTGTCGCTGTCTGAACCTTTATTTTGATTGTATCCCCCCTTTGATCCTATGTTTGTCTAGGATTTTTCTGGTTGATTGATTAATTGGATCGATTTCAGTGTGTTTGTTGATTGACTTGAGTGCCAAGCTCTGGTGTTCTTTGTACTCTCTCTATCCAGTATTTCAACATTGTTCCAATCGAATGTATGTCCATAGTTGTCCATATGTATTGATATAAGGGAAGAAATGTCAAGGCGTTTGACTGTTAATTAATAATTACGCAGACGAAGCTGCAGAGGACGTCCACTTTGTATGATGTAGTGTTTTTCACAATCTGAGCAGTCTCTTTTGTAGATGGTATTTCGTTTTCCTTCTTAAAGGTTTAAGGTCAATAACAGCCAATCATGATCCAGAACGACAGAACAATCTACGAATCATGCATGGGGAAATTCGGATATTTCATTTCTACCGTGAAGTTTGTGCTACTGATGATGTTGTTGTTGTTGTTCAAAAGAACAATAAAAAGCTCCACAATAAAACTATCCAACTCACAGAATGAAAACACTATCACAATTACATCTTATATTGAATAAAAATCATTATTTTTTTTTATAGTATAAACTACACTACACTACTTACATGATCAGAAAAATTTAATGCTTTCAATTGTTGCACTTGTGGTAATGATGAAAATAATGGAAATACTACAAGTTCATTAGTTTTAGTTGAATTTATTTGATGATTTCTATTGGTTGAATGATGCAGTTGTTTGATTAGTGAACAACATCGCATAATTTCTTCTTCACCAGTTAGAAAAATTAAAATACCACGATTTAATGGGGAATTTTTTGAATTATGAATCTATAGAAATATATAAATAGATTTATGAAAAATGAGTAATAAGTACAAATGAATAGAATAGACGTTATAGAAATATAAATATATATACTACTAACAATAATGATAATACACAAAGTTAATTAAACTCACACATGTTAATGAATTATGTTGTTCTCAAACATAACATTTGCCAAGCATTACTCCAATATACAAACGTATTTTTGTAAACATAAATGGAAATAAACATTCAACTAACCTATGTACTTTATAAGTTGATGGATAACAGTGAAATAGATTATTTTTCTAGTTAACGTTAGAAAAGACAGCATTTCTACAAATGAACAACATCTGGAACTCGAAACATCTAATTCACAATTTTCAATATAGTTATATTGTACGGGACGGAAACTTGGTAAACTACGAAAGCTATCATCCAGTCAGTCAGTTCAGTCAGTTGCAACGTAGAACTACGTACGTATGTGCATAAGTTCATGTTGCCATACCACATTAGCACAGAGACGCAAATGTCAAATCAAATCCCATAGTGATAAAGATAGTAGAGGTATTAGTGGTAATGAAGAAGACTAGGGTTATTCAAGAAGTATAATTCAGTGAGATAAGGTTAGAAAGACAAATGTAGAGGTGCTGACGAATCCAGAATATTAGGATTTGAGAGAGCTCAAAGAATGGATGCACTTGCGCCATTGCAAACGATTTTAAGCCACGTCGTTCAAGGTTTCTAACCATTGGTGACTTTCGTCTGGCGGACCCCAACCAGGTAGTCTACATCTACCAACATGGCTTAGTCCACTAGTCAGTGACTTCATGGATTTCTGCCATGTTTTGGTTTGGCGACCCCTAGCTTTCTTCCAACCTACTCCTACACCACAAAACATAGCTCGTTGAGGCAGTCGGTGGTTAGCCATACGTAACACATGTCCCAACCACCTCAACTGATGAAGCTATCATCCACAAGATACAAGTGTTTATTAGCAGTTGTCTATGCATGATATGTCAGATCTGTTGGCCAAACACAATCAGCAACAACCTACAGTGGGAGAGAACAAACTATCTTGCAGCTGAGGAACATATCAGGAAGAAGCGCTGGCAGTGGATAGGACACACATTACAGAAAGCACCCAACTGCGTTACAAGACAAGCCCTCAAATGGGACCCTCAAGATCAAAGGAAAAGAGGTGAACCAAGAAACACATTACGCCGAGTAATGGAGACAGATATGAGGAGAGTCAACAGCGATTGGACATAACTGGAAAAAGGGCCCCGGAAAGAGTTGGTTGAAGAATGCTAGTCAGCAACCTATGCTCTACGAGTAGTAACAAATGTATGTAAGTAAGATTACGCATTTGTGCATTTGGCTTTCAGCACATTAGGGTGTGTGGACTAAAGAATATAACCTACTGGGAAAACCGAACTAAGTGGAGAAGTATTCGAATATATGAAGTGTTGTAACTGTTAAGCCGCCAAAACATTTTAATTGACGATGTTCAGGAAGATTTACATGTTAGGTATATTAACTGTGACTGTTAAGACTGAGATGTCTTAAATGGATAAAATGCACCTATCTTGACTATAGTATCCGTATTTAAATAACATGAAGACACCTCTGGGAAGAAAATTAACCAATGAAGAATAATATTGTATTGAGCTTACAAAATTGTATGTATGTGAATAACTGTGACATGTTAGTCACGTTCACACACTATTCTCGCTGAGGTGTTGGCTGAAGTATAAAAGGAGGTGGGAGAAAATACATAATAGCTTTAAATTGTTGAGCTGTAAGTCCGAACCGCACTCTATGTACTTCGCCTTTGGTGACTGACAGGCTGTGTGAGTAAAGACAGATCGTACCCAGGCTCACATCCCTTATAAGATCAAAAAGCTTAAAATAAGGCACACTACTGAACGACGCCAATAGCTGCACCTACTCAAAGTTTCAGGCCACATGTCTTTGTCAAAACCGTAATCCTACATATACCCGTAATTTGTGTGTGTGTGTGTAATTAAAAGTCGGTTTGGTAATTAAACCTTCCTACTTATTTTAGTCTAATAATTTGAATGGTGGTTTGGTGTACCATACGAAGTGCATATCGTAACTAAACCGGTCCCCAAATTATGACAATGACTCTGATAGTGACTCGCTTAAAGACAAGTACAGGAGTAGGTACTTAGTCACAGAGTTGAAACAATACATCAACAGTTAGACAGTACTGAGAAAATTAGCAATGTACTTACCCGTAAACAAACAGAAGCTGCATGCGCCACATAATCTAATAAAGATTGTGAAACATTGAGGATTTTTATAGGATGTTGTCGACCTTCTATATACACAACTTGAGTACGATCTTGGCCAAGGAAATTTAAGAAAGGTGTTGGATCAATTGTAGCTGACATAACAATGATCTAGAGAAAAAAAAGCCAAGTGAACATGAAACACATTTTGTCAGTGATACTTGGAAACCATCTTATCAAGGACTATGAAACGTTTTATAATCAAATATATATTATAGAGGAAACTACCACCTCACATAAAATAATGATGATTAAAATATACTGGCCAATTCAACAAATACGTAAACTGAGCTCATTAAACCTTTGTTTTGCAATATTTAGAGTACGTCAATATTACCGATTTTAAAATGATCCCTATTTGTAGAAGTATGCTTGTTTCAGTAGTTATGAGGTATGGGAAGGACTTGATTGTGACCGATTTGGTTACGTGTGTTGTTACGTGGTATGAGGACGGATGTCACTTCTCCGTTGCTTACAACGTGGACGTGTATTTCTCGAGAAGTTAGATTAGAGTTCGTTGTGGTGGTGTTTCGTTCTCTGAGCTACAAATTTTCTCCACCATTAGAGTTCGTCTTACCGACCTAGGAGCGTGACTGCAGAGTTCAAAGGACAACTGCGAGAGGCCGGTCACGCATGGTCTTTCCATGGGAAGTTTCTATCTCCGCTCTTCAAATGGCCTTACCATTGGAAATCCGTGGGGTAAGGTAAGATGTGATATTTTTAGAATCGACCGACTTTAACCACTCACTTCCTTGAGAGAAGGCAGCATCGTTGCAGATGATGATTATCCGCAGGAAACACCTTACTACACACACCCCTAGACAGTCCGCAGTATGATTTCGCCCTCAGACCTTGAGTTGCTGCTTTTAGCCTCACCGTTCTCTAATCGACCTGTCTGGCATGGTAGAACCCACGTCAAGGTATCAGCTACGGTCGGGATACTTCTTACATATCCATATCTATTGTTCAAAACATCCTTGGAAGTAAACAGATGTTAGGTGTTTAGGTCAGCGCGCTGTTTTGCGCATAGTTGTTTTTATATGATCATTTAGCACTTTGACAAAGAAAAATAAATCGTATACGACTAAGTCTAGTGAGTTGGAAGTTAATTCTAATGTTGCAATCAAATCATAAACTAGAATCTTATGAACAATCACTATTGAATATACAAACACAATGATGTGATGCAGTAGTTATTATCCGTCAGTATTACATTTGTTGGTACACCTGAGGACCCTTCCAATAAGATGTAGCACTTACTGTTTGTTCTTTAAAGAAGAACTCATATTAGACAACACCTTAGTAGCCAAGTTTAAGTATTTATTGAGTAAGTCATGTATGCATACCACATACAAATATCAACATGAAAAAAAGTCAGTAAAAAGCATAGTATTAAATATCATGCCTTCTAGGAAACGTCGAAAAGCATACAAATATCTTTAACCCACGCATAATAACTCTTTAATTACAAATGTTTTAAAAAGCACTCTACAAAGAACTGATAATCGATAAGATGAACTGCAGCAGTAACGTATACAATCATAACACTGTTCGAATCTTAAAATTAAAAGGAATTGCATGAAGGCTCAACGTGAACAGTTGGTGTACTTTAAGATGCAGAAAAACCAGTTAAATTGGATTTAAGCAACCTAGTATTCAGATATTAGTAGGCACAGTTATAATTTACGAATTAAAATAAACTATTTCATAGTTACATTTGGATAATTGTAGATAATCTTTCTTACAACAAATCAGTTTAAGTGATTTGGCCCAATATGTTTGTTGGTCTCCGTGCATCGATTTAGTTTGAATTTCAGTGAGCTTTTGTACAAAAATCATACAACTATCCTTTGAAATTCATTCAGTTATTTATACTTTAAACATTTATCTATTAATGAAAGGGACTTAGAGATGAAATCATGAGTTGATCTAGGCTAGACCACCATTAAAAACATGAGAGCACGGGATATCACGGGACGGGTCTCGAAGTTAAGCATTTGCGCGTGAGACCTAAGGTCGTGGGTTCGATATCCCCGTGCGCGGGTCGTTGATGGGTCCCATACTAGAACGAAACGGTCGTCCCGTGCTTTCAGATTCCTAATGATGGTCTAACAATGGTCAATACGTGATTTCACCTATGAAAATATTTATTAGGTTAGGAAAAAAACAAAATTTAATCGAATGAATAAACTTCATAATGTAGATGTGAAATTACGTAATACAGAGCTCTTTCTTATTAAAACTAATAACCCTACTCGTTCTGTTCCGTATTACAGACTTGTTAACTAGATGTCTAATAATACCTACACTTTACTACGAATGTTCAAACAGTAATTTATAATAATACAAACGAATATTTCGGAATTTTTGGTTGGAAACTACATATTAATTAATCAATTACCTAGGACATCCATTTTTTTTTAAAAAGAAAGTGCTAATCTATCAAATAAGTATGATGAATCAAATTATTAACAACTTACTTTTAACAATGGAAGAAACTTTTTATTATTTTGAATGTCTTTCCTTATACCATTTAATTTATGCGGTATAAGAGTATGATTAGAATGGAGTTTTGCACGTCTTTTCGCTGCGGATAAAACTACACCAAATAATATATCAGTATTTAAACTGCGTTCATGAGCTTCATCCAAAATAATAAAACGATAACGTGATAGATTAGGATCGAGGATAGCTTCACGTAGTAGCATACCATCAGTCATATATCTTAAATGTGTAGATTGTTCACTTGATACATCTTCAAATCGTACACTATAACCAACTGGTCCAATACCAACAGGACCACGATTCATTTCATCAGCAACACGTAATGCAATACTGATAGCAGCAACACGCCTAGGCTAAGATAGCAATAATAACAACAACAAACATAATAGATGAACTATCGAAATTATACAACTAACAATAAAAGTGAATGCTTTAATTAGCTTACATAAATCACGACAAACAATGATAAGCTTTATACTAACAACTAATTTCAGAACAACATCAGAAGAAGAAGAACAATGAAAGCTCCACAACCAAAAACACCCTGGTCAGAGAATGAAACTCCAACATAATTATTCACTTGAGCTACAAATTGTCTCCACCATCACAATTAATTTCAGCTAGTAAGTCTCCTACTGCTTTCACTTTAGCAAAGCACAGTATAGATGCACTCCAGGTACAAAACTTTAATGGATAGAATTTTAATGCTAAATGTTAGGATGTGAGGCATAGAATGAATGAGTGCACATTTTCTTCGAACATATAAATACATATTGGTAATGAGGATTTTTATTTACGACACTACGGTGGATGATACTCTATAGCAGGAGTTTTTTTGAACATTGTTATCATGGGAACGTTTCAATAAAGAAATGAATACACGTCGATTATTCGCCATGATATAGCCACTGTTTATTGCCAAACTGTCTAATACATATGAATATGCTGCTTAAATGATTTTGTTTATCTCAATAAACACATGTTTTTTGGCTAGAATGTAAAAATAATGATTAAAGATTTACTGTACTGTTCAATTTTGAAACAACAGACAAATTTTCGTTATAAATAAAGTTGTCAATTTGACTAGTTCAGGTGAATCAATGATAAGTTGCTGGCTGTAACAGACAAGCATATTTTAGATTGTCCAAGCATTGATTTGTGAACAAATAATTTTAGAAACTTCTACAGTAATTACTGGAATTCAAACGGTTGGGTTTTGAACTAATGTTCTGTCAAAAAAATGATCTTGATAGAAGGTAAATAACATTTAAGGGTGTGATAGCTAAGTGAAACCATATTCAAGACTCATTTAGTGTGTATAGAGGATGTTCAACTAAATGTCTGTGGAAGAAGTTTCGTAAAATGTGATTACTCTAAGTGCTTATCAAAATGCTTACACAAAGCAACTACAGTAGTAATCATCACAAAAAAGTAATGACCATTAAACAGTAACACACCATTACCTGAGTTATTGCAATAATGCCCCCGTTGGTTAGATTCTTTTCATACAAAAACTGAGGAATCTGGGTAGTTTTACCAGACCCTGTTGACCCCACAATAACACAGTGCTCACTTTTCATAATAGTATCAATCAATACATCCTTATGTTTCCATACAGGTAATGATTGTCTAGTTTGTAACAGTTCACTTTGATCTACAGGTTTCTTTGAAACTGTTAAAGAAAAATGAAAGTTTTACTAACGACTAAATAATAATTAAAGGTAAGAAAGAACAGAATTATAATGCAATGGATATCTTAAAATTCAAAACAAAGCTAAAAATGAGCTCCACCATATAAGTACTAACTTACACTCTACATCACAGAGTTTTTGAATGACACGGCTCAAAACCGTTTGCAACGGCACAGGTACATCCATTCTTTGTTCGCTCTCAATTTCTCATAATGTTTTTTCTGTTTCTAAATTTATTCCACTAGCTTATACTTCTCGAATGATATCTTCGATCCTTAATGTTTTCGATTACTGCTAATACTTCTACTACCTCTACTACTATAGAATTTGAATTGACGACCGCATTTCTGTGCTAATATGGAATGAAAACTTGAACTGATGTACGCACGTACGAAGTTCTGTGTTTCTGCTGACTGACTAAACGTTACACAGTTAACACAAAAATGCAACAGTCAATGACTATGTTGTTTTTGTCAAAACGAGGGGAAAAGCCAATTGTTATTTGAAATAGCACCCAATGTATGAGAACAAACGAGACTACTTAATTGATCAAGTTAAATAAAAACCAATCTGAAACAATTGTTATTCTGATTAGGATTTACTGACTAGAAAAAATGAGAAAATGAAGGCAGTTATATGCTATATTTCTCTTTACGTGTTAATGACAAAGTGGTTTTTCGGATCACAATAAATAGTTGAATTTAAATGGGGGATCTTCGTTGTGAAATTAGATTTCTTCGATCAATGAATTACAAATTCTACCGACTAGGAAAACTAAGATTTCAACCAGAGAAATTTGTCATTTCTAAAACGCTTATTTATTTAAATGCCAATATTGGTACAAAAGGTGAACAAAAATATTTAAGCGCCATACAAATTATTGAATTGTTGAATGGGCTGAGACACTGCCTGGGCGCCCAAACTGAATTAGGTGGTTTTCTTAGGGGACCACGCGCCCCTGAGCCTTTAACCCAAAAGTCTAATCCAAAAGGTAGTGGAGCAACATTAGCAAATGCAGTCCCATGGTAGCCGCTGACCAACAATAGATTAATAGACCATTAGTTCAGTCAAGATCATGAAGCTCATGTGTACCAGTAGCTTAGAACTAGGGTTTTCCAACTCTACTAGATTGAACCTCCATACCCACAAACCCAGCTCAAGCCCTGGACAGACACTTGCTCTTCGGCCTCTCAATGTTGTAAACAACACTCCGCCACGAGAAGGCAGTGAGTTGAACTTCCCTACCAGTGGCTATATACACATGGTCATATGAGAGCATTCTGAGAAAGTAAACTTTCCCCACTCTCGATTGTACCAATGCATTTGGGAGCCTGGTGAATTTTCTGGGACACTAAATTGATCTAGAAGTTAAAAACGCAGCGTTATGTACAGGATGATAAGAACCACCCATTCGTAATCAATGTAGATTCGAGAAAAAAAATATACATATCAGAGATTTATTTACTGACAGTGAAACGGAATTAATTTAAGTATCCTCCACCAACCAAAGTGGTAGTAATTGCATGAGTTTCTAGTTACTGTATAATCCATTTTAAAAGTTTTCCAGTCTTAACAAATGCTAGTTTTCCATGAATGGACATTCCTAATTTTTATGGTTAGGAACTCGAAGAATTGTGAGATAGTGAGTGCCTAAGTATGAGCTTGTGTAATAGTTTGAGTTGTTTGAAGGAAATAGACATAGCCTGGCTTGTCTAAGAGAAGAGTTAGCTATCAATCAGCTACACCGTAGAACTTCGTACGCACGTTTATCAGTTGAAGTCCCCATACCACATGAGCACAGAGATGCAACTGTCAATTTAAATCACATAGTAGTAGGGGCGGTAGCAGTATTAGCGGTGATCAAAAAGATATGATTCGAATAGTATAACCCATTAAAATTGAAAAACGGAAAAAACGGTCATGAGGAATCCAGAAGATTAGGATTTGAGAGAAGACAAAGGATGGATACATCTGTACCATTGCAAACGATTTAGGGTTCCTAACCATCGACTACTATCATCTGGCGGACCCCAACCAGGTGGTGTACACTTACCAACATGAATTAATCCACTTGTCCGTTTGGATTCGTGCCATGTTTTGATTTCAATACTTCATTAATTGATCTGCGATCCTTACCTAGTACCTGTTTTCAAAGAACAGCATCGTTCAAAGATACACGGGTAATGCTTCGAAAACACCTATGATACTTTGTAATAGATTACTTAGTGATCGACTGAGATATGTCACCGGGTGTGAATAACCGAGTAAAGCCATACAACTCAGAAAGACTAGGTTAACTTGATTATTCATATTACCGTAAAATAACCTAAAAAATTTCGCCAGGAGTATTATTGCTTTCTATGTAAACAGGTGAGTCCTCAAACAAACTGACTACCACACTGAGTACACAAATACTCATATAACACAACATGTATCACTGGCGCCTATGTAGCCTGAGGTTGAGGTAAAAATTTTAGAACCCAGTGAATATTACAAGTTATTTAATTCTTTCGGTCCATACATAGTTTAAAAATTGGAGTTCATCAAAGTTTTACAGACTGAGCCGAGCAACTGGTATTTGGTGAATTTGTAACTAACTTGTTTACAGATAAGTGCAAGGGCGACAAGAGTACAGACATATAATTGAAAATCAACATACAAATGAGCTTAAAAACGTGTTAACTCCCATATTTCAGCGTCTATGAAGGTTTATCTGATAAATCATCTCGTCGTTTACGTTTAAGCTCAATACGATCACAACACAATTAAAGATGAGTAGTTATTTTGTGTTTACGTTCCTAAAGTAAAGATGTACTCACAAATTTCCTGATGAAAAAATCACTAAATATACTTATATGTATATGAATAATGTTTTAATGAACCCACATGCACAGAATTGCAAATAAACTTCGCAAATTTTATTTGAAATAAACTCAGTCTGTAAAAATTTATATGACTCCAACGTTTTATCCAGCCATCTTGTCTGATTAATAAGAATCAAACCGAAACGATCGAACATCCATTGATAGTTTTATCAATTTTCATAAATGGGACCTACGCCTAATTTTTGGCTAAACTATTCGTGAATATTGTTATAAATACGAGTTGTTTCCTTACAAATGTGTGAAATTAGGCGAAAATGCATCTAAACATCTTTTCTTTTCTCTAGCCTAAGGGAATTGGTAAGACTTTCATACTATTTTCTTTGGAATAAACCAACATTAAACAGTAAACGCTTCGGAATTAATACTGAATAGTTGCCATCTTGTACATATTTACGCCAATAACTGAGGAAGCCGTTATTCTTTGGATTCAGGCGTAGACAAGTGGAGAACTCGGATTTTTCTAACATTGAAACTTGTCAAATGTTAATTTTGGAAATTCTAAACAGCTGTTTTAATTTAAGATATAGGGTAAAATATCAACACAGAGGATATAATCTGAGCTTACTGTTCACAAATACGTAACTATGAAAAAATTTAACCTAAAGAGAACAATTTTCACAGAAATGGAAAGTTTAAATGATATTAAATCATAAGAAAAACCGTACTCTTCATTTCATGAGGGTGGCGCGCACGGACACATTTGGCGCTTGCATGAATGACCTAGAGGTAATAAAATGGCTTCAGATTCAAATCGTTCAAATGGTTGTGGACGGGAGAAACGATTTCACTTAACAGTTTTCCGTGTCTATTAGCGAAGTATTACCGGTGCCTTGGGCAGGAATTCAGGTATATTCAACCAGTAAAAGAAAAATTTTAGTTGATTACTGTGAAGTAGTGCACCGAGTCCTTAAGAATACCAGTTTCAGTTTAGAAACGACTAGAGATGAGGTATCCAATGCTGGTCCCAGCAATTTCGATCTCTCAGTAAATCCAGTTTTCTCTTGAAGACAGTGTTCCAATCATGTGTTAGGATAGCCACTTCCATTCGTTGTCGATCCAAAGGAAATAACGTAGTCAGCTGACAAGCACTTTGTCCTGGGCTTGTGAAACCTTTTTAAAGTGTGCTCATAAATTTTCTTTTTCGGAAGGCAAGAACATTTTTTTCGTGTACCTAGCTTTAGATCATCACTTGTTGCTGGCCCAAGCGAAACTGAAACCCAAGAAGCACTGGACAATGGGACGAACAGTTTCGTAAAGCTTATTACTGCCCTTCTTCGGGATGCTGGCGAACTTAACGAATTCAAGATAACCTTCAGTAAAAGTTTCCAAACCTTTCACGATCCACTCAGTGGTGAGAAAACTGCCATGGATAACAACTGCCAAGAAGTCAAGAAAACAATCACTCCATGAATTTTTTTTAGGTTCTACAAGAAGCACCGTCGCAAGGAATGCTTCTTTGTGGATACCCTGGGTCGGATTCAAGAAAGAACAAAAAAGCAGAAATCAATATCAGCCGAAGTAGGGCAGAGAAAAACAAGGCACAAGGTGAATACTCAGAAGCAGTTAAGGATATGATGAGGAGCAGCAGAGCTGACAAACAAAAACATGTTGTAGAACTAGAATATTAATAACGAGGATTTCCCACCGTGAATGGGGTTCTGAAAAGGGGAAAAGAGAGAGAGAAAAAGGCAGCTATGTGGCAAGTGTATATATGTAACAAAAGCACCACTTAACCTGTCATGTTGAAGTAGTCAATACAGTAGTAAGTCAAGATAAAATTCATAGAAGTGATGGTATAAAAAGCTACAACAAAAGAATGTATCAGACAACTGTGTGATACAGCGAAGAATCTTGCTGGAAAATACAGTAAACCAGAAAGACCAGTGAACAGAAATGAAGGCACTTCAAGCATCTATATTAAAGAACAGTTAAACAGGTGGGTAGAGCACTTCAAAATGCACTTTGAAGAAGTAGCCAAGCATCGAAGGAGCGCTCGTAGACCTCCAAATCGATGGTGACCGACAAACAGCCGAAGAGACCAACACGGCCGTCAGACAAATCAAGCGTGCAAATCGTCAGTGTAAGATCCATTTTGGAAGGCTCTGTTTGTGAAAATCCCTCAATATTTACATTTGTCATAAATCCTCATTGATTCTTTCAGTTCTGCCTTTCGGTACTCTGATCAATTCCATTTTGGGATGATGATATTTGTATTGCATCATAGTTTCTTTTTTTGCCTTTACCTAGTTTCTCTGCTTCTTTCCGAACAGCATTGCTTTGTTTAAGCTGATAGTTATGGCGACAGCCGTATTGATTTTGTTCCTCCGGCGGCTGGTGCGCTTACACGGACCGGAATTGCGCGATTTGGATTGGAAATGGGAGCACTCTTCCAGAAGTGTAAACAAGCTGTGTTATAAGAGGGACGAAATATCGCTTATTTGAATACTTGAAGGAGTAACGCTGTAATATTGTTTAGCTAATGATGTATATTTATATTTATGATTAATAATAGAACCGTTACTTATCCAGATCACTTGTTATGTATTTCAACTGAGCAAGACGCATATCTAAACTTCCTGAACAGTTATTCATAAATTCAAACCTCAGTTCTAAACAATAATAATGGATTGGAATTTTTGGATCTTACAATCGGGACTAGACAATATTCCAGATGAGACACCAAAATCAGTAGCAGTAACTGCTAAGATGTTGGACGCTCCGATCAGCAAGATTTGGTAGGAAGAAAAGATAACGAAAGAATGGAAAGAAGGACGTCTCGTAGAGATGCCAAAAGAAAGAGGTATCAGCAAGTGTGAGAACTACGGAGGCACCACTCATCTCTCAATATCCCAAAAAGTCTCCACGAGAGTGTTGTTAAACAGAATGGAAGACCTAGAGGACGCCCGACTACGAGGTCAACCGGCTAAATTCCGTAAAAATCAGTCGTGCACCAGCCAAATCGTTAGCAACGCTACGGATTACTATGGGACAGTCAATCAGTAGGAACTCACCGATATACATCAACTTCCTCGACTACGAGAAAGCATTTACTAGCTTGGACAGGATGACAACATGGCGTGTCTGAGAAGATAGTCAGTCTCAGACGAGTTCTTATGATGTAATACACTGAGAAATCATGCACGAATGGGGGCTCAAAAATTTGTTCCTAGTGAAGATTGATGTTAGGTAAGGTTACTTACTCTAGCCCTTTTTCATTCGCCTGGTGGGACATTGGATTGTGAAGACGTCAACATCTCCCCGGAAGCACTGGATACAGTGAACAGCAAGAATGAGGCTGGACAATCTTGATTTCGCAGATGATCAAACCCTTCTATCCGACATATGCCAACAAATGCAGGAGATGGTGAGTGTAGTAGCAGCTTCTGCACCAGTAGGCCTCAACATAAACAAGGGGAAAAACAAAATCCCCCAGTACTACATAAAATGCACTAACTGAATCACGCTTGACTCAGAAGCTTTAAAAAGATGTGAACTTTTATGTATAAAGTCACAGGTTAGCAAAGCCAGAAGTTCTGAGGCATACCCTCTGTTTTTATTTGGGCTTTTAAGACCTCCGCATACAGGAAACACAAATTGTGGCTTGTCGAAGAGTGGCTACACAATGGAAAAAGACAAATTCGTTGATTAATGAGAGCTGATATTGAGGCTTCTCTTCTCTCAGCGCCTTTATATATTGGTTCCTCGTTAGTTTGGACTCTATGCATGCCGTTATCACTTGTTCGTTTATGATGCTCCCAGTAGTACCTTTTAAGTCTTAGCATCCAAAGAGTACTACCACTTGTAACTTCAGGGATCCGTTTGTGGAACAAACTTGTTCGTAGCACCTAAGATGTTGCTTATTACGTTGACCCAGTGAGAGTCCAAGTCAAGTTGATGGACGGTTTTCCAGTGCAACTGCTCCATATTGTCTTTTACGGCTGACAATTCAGTTATATGAAGTTCCAAAGTTTGTCAGTAAGATGTGTCGGCCTAGGCCGATAACGACATCATAGCTTTTCTCTACGAGAGGCAGGATTTAGAGGTTGTCGATAATGAGTTCTTCCATCGTGAAAATGCAGTTCATGCGTGGTAGGGCCAGATTGTTTTACCACGGAATTGTTGAATTTAGATTTTAAACGTTCCCAATCTTTCAATGAGGTTGAAGAACCAGGTTTCAGGAGAGCAGTCAGCTTCATTGAATGTGTGGTCAGCAGAGTTGACTTTATAAAAATTGACTTCTAACGAAATTAGGATATGAGTGTATCCGAGACGAGTGAAGCGGTATAATCCCTCCAGCAGGCGGTTGTCCTACTTAATATCAGCAGAACGCTTTATGTAGCTGACTCCAACCAGACACCTTTGGATTTTAGACAACTGATCACTATACATATTCATCGAGATTGGCAAATTCCTAAGGGTATAGGATGTGCTGGGTACCTAACCGCTCCGCTCTCAAACCATCTTTACTATGGCAACGGAAAAAAGACATTCCCTATACTGCCAGCCCCTGGCTGGTGATTTGACGAGTTGCCCATTCTTCAGATACTCCTATCAGGTGGCGTTACGTATTACACGCCACTCGTTCATTTTACCAGATAAGCTTTCCGTCTACGGATATAAGCATTTGATACTTTTACGTCTAGGCGCATGAGAGTCTTCATCCTGTTTACCTGAATGAGCTTCGAAAGGATAGACTGGAAGCCTATATACACAGGGCTTCCCAAATGAATGATCCGTTTCCTTTCCACTTCAGATAACTAAAAAGTTCGAAACTTCTTGGTTGTTGGACATTATAACTTTTCCACTAACGTTGTCATTTACTTTTAAGTAAACCCCTGGAAATGCAATATTTATTTGCTTTCACTACAGTATCGCTTTTCGAGAAAAAGTTCAGAGAAGAGTTGCTGGATGTTTCTCTGACATTTTGTTAATGAAGCAGGCTGTAAACTGACCAGTGAAACGAATTGCTATGTTGAGTACGTGGACAAATGATTTGAATAGTAAAATACCCATACTCACATTCCGGAAGCTACTGTTGAAGTCGTAAGTTTCCTTTGGAATTTTTCGGATACTTTTTTGATTCCATGTGAACAAATATACAGTCTAACAATATATGAGCATGAACACCAAATATACGTTTTGAAGACGTATAACCCATTTTGGAAAGTGGAAGAATTTAAATAAAAGCTGAACAGGCGTTAATTATCTGTAGGTCAAAAACTAGTTCATCCCATCATAATATTCAGTAGCATGCTTTCGAAGGCTTCAAAACAACATATTAGGGCTAGGGGTGGAAATATTTTTTATTATGAGGACTGCGAGGCCACATAAGTTACGCGGTCTACATGACCGAATCATACTGTCTTGATTAAGTGTTCTTCCATTCACCATTTCTCATCTTCGCCATGTAATATACATTGATAGTGAATTATCTCAGTTATTGTATGTTTAGCTTGAAGGATCGTGGGATCATTGACAAATTTACACAAGCTGAATGTATGGTTATAGCTGTTTTTCGACATACTTCTGTACCGCAGGAACCTGATGGAACGCTCTAGTTATGCCGTCTTATTTTAGCACCTGTTTTGTCAGAGAAAAATCGGTAAAAGTGGAATATACTGACGGCCTTTAGTTAACTAATCAGGATCAAGATAAGGCCACCTGTTCTCCAAGTTTCTTCCCCATACAGAAGAAGTATCTTGACATTTGCGTTGAACATTCTGGCTTTGGTGTTTGTCGTCAGTCGTTTTGAGTTCTAGACGTTCTTCAGTTGTACAAACGCAGCCCTTGCTTTGACGATCTACGCCTTCACATCTGCATCAGATTTAACTTGCTCCTGAATAATGTTGCCCAGATATGTAAGGCTATTCACGTCTTTAGACGCACCTCCTTCGAGAAAGATTTGGTCGATGTGTGTTGTGTTGCATCTTGCTTTTCCCTTTGTGTATGTTGGGACCTGCTGATGCTGAGGCTGCTGCTACACTTGTACTCTACTGCGTTTGTTGTTGTGTATGTGATAGAAGAGTCAGATCCTGTACGAAGTGCAGATCGTCCATCTGCATTCCGGCTGTCCACTGTGTCCCGTTCTTTTTTCCAGGTGTTGGTGTTCCCATAATCCAGTGGATCACCAGAAGGAAGAGAAAGGGTGAGATTGAGCAACCTTGCCTGTCACCGGCCTTCACCTCCAAGGATTCTGTCAGCAGTCCTCTGTGTATGTTATTGCAGTTTAATCCATCATAAGAATTCCGTATGTTACTTCAGATCAATAAATATTTTTATTAGGAGACCGAATATACTAAAAAAGCTGACCTTATGAAAATTCTGAGTATCCTTCAAAATTGATTGGATTTTGACTGAAGTTAGAAGTTTTGGCAGTATTAATGTAGTTGTTGTTATGCAATCTGGTGGTGAAAGTATTTAGAGAAGCTAGATAATATCGTCCCTTTGTCACTCTACACCAGAACCTGAACTATGGTTCTCTTATGTTTGTTAGCAGTAGCACGACAGTGAATCATAGCCGATTTCAGTTGGTGGCTTAAAACCTAACTCAGTACCGTAATCCTACTTTTACTACTCAGTCCTGACCTTTCTGCATTATAGTTTGTCACAATTGTGGCGAAAAATCTATCTTGACTTCCCACAAGTAGTTATTTGACATGTGAGGGTTGATTATTCAGATCATAGCTATTACTCCGCTGATATTTTATTCCTTTTAGGCTGACAGGTCATCCATAGTCGTCAATATGTAGTGGCAATAGAGTCAAGTTTAGCTATGATCACCACTACACCAATTACGAGCCCGTCACAGAGAAGGGTTATTCCATAGCAAAGAGTATATTTGCTGGTGATTTCGTGGTATCCAAAGACTACCGAAATCGTGCTAGGAAAGAGATGCGAAATTACAGAGACAGTGGAGCAGAGGTGGCAGCAACACAAACAGAAAATTGCGCTTAAACAGAGTGTTATGAACGAAAACTGCAGTTAAACAGTCATTGGTACAATTGGTTATGTTTCTATTAAACCAATCTCGTTCTCTTCATAAAAGTGGATTTACTACAAGTATATTATAATTTTATCAAAAAAGTCAAGTATTGCTTAGTAAAGCGAGCATTCTACGACTGGACTCATGGAGTCCGTAGACTTTGACTTGAATTGTGTCTCAGCAAACCGTTTAAACTGCACCAATCTGATTAACATTAGCATGGTGTGTATCAGAGATTTTGCCAGACAAATAACGTGTCTTCTCAACCTTACTTATCTTCTTAGACTTCTTTAACTAATGGATATCACCTATGTGAGTGATCCGTAGATAACTGCATGAAACTACAGTTGATGATGTGACCTACTGTAAATTGAAGTCGAATCCCTAGGTTAACGCTCGACGTGAATCACCTGTAGGGTTTCAGTTACTTTCAGATGAATTTCCTGGATAAGTCCCTATACTGTCGCACACAAAGTCTTACCAGGGCTATAGACAAAACAGATGATTATAGTACGAAATCAGGAAGAGAGGTTGATAACACAATGAGCAATAAACACACACATAACGAGCAATAGCAGGAACCGGATACACAAACAATACTTCGGAGACACCTATGATCGAAAACAAGCAACCTACGAATATCTTCTGCACTTACTGGCCATGTTTCACAGCCATAAAGTAGGACGGATCAAACTACTGCGCAGGACAGAGTTGTTTAAGGAGATAAGAGAGTTATTAGGAGGTGTAGAAAGGTCTCATGTGCTTTTATGGGTGTGAGGGTGGATGTTACTTCCGCGCTGCCCACATCGTGGAAGGGTTCTGGTTGTCCGAAGGGGCATTGACCTAATGACTTACGAAGGATCTCAGCCTCCATCATGAGACGTCATAATTTTTCTAAACCAAGACCTTCCAACTCCCAGAGCAGAGTTTATATGGTCTGAATTATTATTCCTTGTTGGCGTTTTTTGCATGTTAGGTTTTTCCGAGATGGGGTCGCCAACCCTATGCCCGACCCTCCTCCCTTATCCGAGCTTGGGAGTGGCAGTAGCCCCAGAGGGTCTATGGGCAGAGTTCTAGTTACGACTGAACACACAGCAAGCATTGAAAACCTCAGTCAATCTCTTAGCCAAATACAAACGGTTTGAAACGGTCAACCCCTCCATCAAAGTTAGGATTGCAGAGTAGATTACAAACATTCAGACAATTTGGATTGTTTTGTCAGAACCACGGAGATGTAAAAGCCAAATCAACCATGTAACCAACCAAAAAGGACACAAGAATAAAGAGAATGAATGATCCCTTTACGAAACGCGGTAGTGAGAAATGAAGCCTAAACAGTTGCTGCTAGGCACAAGAGTCCTAATACAAAATTTCTAGTGGATATAAGTATGGTGCACAGTACCATTCTGCAGAATTAAATTTAAATGGATCACAAACTCCCATCGTTACACGTTAGGTTGTTAACAAATCACAGATACAATGTTTGAGCAGATTTAAACACTACATCTAGGGTTTAAGAGACAGCTCGGAAGCTGGTAAATGTCAACTTGGATGCAGTTAAACACCCATAAGGAAACGGAAGCAACATGAACTATGCGTACTGAATTCCACCACCAAACACACTTCATATAATTCTTCTCTAGCAGACTTAAGTAACAAGATACTTAGAATCGAACTCCTGGTAAGATACTAATTTATAGTTTACCCCAAAGGATGTCATTCAATTCTCAAAGCATTTTTTAGTTAGATGTAGGCAAAGTCAATTCACCACAAAATTTTAGTATAGAACTTTTCAGACTCAGTTGAACCTATTAAAGCACAAACAACCTTTGTGCCAAAGAAAATTGTTACAGATTTCCTGAATGGTAGAATTTATGCCTCTCTCAAAATAACATTCCTCGCAGTAATTTTGCGATTAGTATTCTCCAGTTGACCATTGTTCAGTAATGATCTAAAGGATAAATTATTTCATTTGACCAATTATATGGCAAATCTATCAATTCACATGAAGCTAGGTATGTAAGTTATTCAGTGTACATTTTAATGGAGATTCAAGAACATTAAAAATCGGCTTGGCGAAAATTGTTTAATGAAAAGCCCTATAATCGAACAGTGTGAACGCATGTCATTCGATCAAAACAGACTCTGCATTCTAAGTTAATCCTCTAGGCAGTTGACTGACATCTGCTTAGCACTACCGAAATCAGAAATGTGTAAAGAATAAACTCGCACAATCCCTTTCTCTACCATAATCTTTATCTGTAGTGAATTTTTCCTAGCCATCTGCTTCTCCTCTATCATTTTCCCTTCGGACATTTTTCTTTACCTCCAACTGATTAGGTTGCAAAGATTTTTAAAATTTCACCTCAAACGTAATATTCTATATTATTATGCCGAGCCTTCGCTCTTACATTATAATTCTTTGTCTCTTCATGATGAATATCCAAGCCACTAATCAAAATAACGTTTTTGTGGCTTTATTTGGATCCGTTGGTTAGACAGCATCAGCAACAACCTACTTTGGGAGAGGACAAACCAGATTCCAGAGAAAGAATAAATCAGGAAGAAGCAGTGGAGGTGGAAAGGACACAAACTGAGGAAAACACCCGATTGCGTCACAAAACAAGCCCTAGCTTGGAACCCTCAAGCTCAAAGGAAAAGAGGAAGAGTGAAAGACCACTTTAGGCCGAGAAATGGAGACAGACATGAGAAGAATAAACAAATATTGGATACTGGTCAACAGAACAAGCTACGAGTCAAACGTGGAGAAATTCGAATACTTCAGTTCTACTTTAAGTTACTGCTGATGTTCCTGTTCAGACGAACAATGAAAGCTCTACAACCAAAAAGCTCAACCAAGAGAACGAAATTCCATCACAATTATTGACCTGAGCTAGAAATTTCCGGCACCATCTTATATAACTGCCTTTGAGCAATAGTTTAATGGTTTGAAAACAAATGAAATTACTCTACTCCACAAATTTATTTGCAATTGTAAATGAATTCACTGAATTAATCTTTCTTACCTTGTCTGAATGGGCATATTCTCTTTAATTATTATTATTATTAAATACAATGGAGTCTGAAATCAGTCACGATTTATTCCATCTCTGATGAAACTTCCACGCAAGCCGATCTACTCAGTAGTTTTATCTTCTGATAGCTGTTTAATTACCAATATGTCATTTATCGAACACAGGCTTATGTAGCTGTCGATCATATACATACATTGGAATAATTTTGCAACAGTGGATAGAAGAGTACAAAGAACACTAGAGAATTTTTAGAAGCTTGGCATTCAAGTCAATCAGCAATCAATGAACACATCGATATTGACCCAATTTATCAAACAACCAGGAAAATCATAGACAAACTTAGGATAAAAAAAAACAGATCAACGAGGGATACAATCAAAATAAATATGCACACAACTACAGGTTAAATGTCAATAACAACCAATCAAGATCGAGGTCAATAGAACGAGTTACAAGTCATATGTGAAGAAATTCGAAAACTTCACTTCTACAATGAAATTTGTGCTGATGTTGTTGTTCAGACGAACAACGAAGGCTCCACCATCATAACATCCAGTTCAGAGATTAAAACTCCGTCACTACCATCCACAAATTTCCAGCGTCATCTCATATAACTATCTTTGAGTAATAGTTTATTGGTGTGAAAATAAATCAAATTATTCTACTTCACAAATAATAATGCATCTTTCTTGTTGAACCGGCTAACATAAGACAAAAGTTATGAAGCAAAATATAATTTCTATTATTTTTTTTTCGTTAACTCATTCAAATTTTACTGTATAAAAAAAAACAAACAAACGAGTCAGCTATAGTGTAATAAATCAAATTTTGAATATTATAACGAAAAAAAGACAAAACAAGAAATACAAATAAAATCAAGTTAGTGTACTACACAAAATTCATAATAAAATAAGTAAGTATATAAATAAATGAAAACAAATTTAAAATTATTACTAAATAAATAATAAGTAGCAGCAGTAGTAGTGGTAATAGAAGTGTGTACAATGGAAAACCATTGTCACATTGAACATTGAACGGAATATGTGAGTAAAACACACAGAGTGAATAAATTAGAGCAAAAATAATAAAAAAAGGTGTATACTTTAAAAATTGTAATGAATTGTGTATATGATTATTAGCAAAGTTGCTGCCATTGTAATACTGGTTTTTTTCATAGGGTATGATTTTTTTTTAAAAAAAGCCCCATTATGATTGTTTTTAACTCAGTTTGACTTTTATTTTCTTAGAAAAAAACATTATATTCTTGAATAAAATATAGTAACAATAAGTATACAAATCAAATAGAAATTGAGTAGTATATATATATTTATATTAATATTTAAATAATAAATTATCAAAATTATATAAAATGGAATAGATTGGAAACCTGAAAAACAGGGTATTGTAGTAGTTTTTCTTCAAAAGCAAAAATCTACAAGTGATCAAGCAATTAATACTACTTACTAGTAGTACTAACTAGTTAGTTACATGGAAAAGTGAATAGTTGTCGATTTGTATGAATTTTTTTCAAACTATGAATTAATCTGTATCAATGTCAAATATTGACTACTTCACCATGATTATCTCTAGTGTTTTCGTGAACATTAACATTGTCGACATCATCATCATCATCATCGTCGTCACTCGAAGTTGAACTGAACTCTTCATGTGCTTTAGTTGTGATCACTTTTCTAAGTCCAGGTTTAGATTGAAATGACGGATTATTATTATTATTATCATGATCATGATCATGATTGTGTATGATGTTTGATTGTTGTTCATCGGATAAAACATTTTCCACTTGAGTTATTTTACTTTCATTATCATCATCCTCATCATTAGAGCTGGTTTGTGATAATTCGCTGTCTGTAACCTGAATTGAAATGATTTTGAAAGATAAGAAAAAATAAACAATAGAATGAAACAAACAACGCAATCATAAATACAACAGAAAAATAGTTACACATATAAATAATATATAATTCCAGGTTTATTCATGATAAGGGCAATTTCAAAAATTGCTATTTTGCATTATAGGATTGTAAGGAATGCTGAGTTACTTTGAAATCATGAATATCCATGATTGTTAGACCACCATTAGAGAAACGCGAAAGCATTGGACGGACGTTTCTTCCTGGTATGGGACTCATCAGTAATGCACATCCGCGACTTCTGCTACTCGCATGATTCGGGCCCAGGAACTTCGGTCTTGTGCGCGGACGACCAACTTTTAGATCACTGAGCCGGCATCCAACGGGGTTAATGTCTAACTCCGATTGATCCAGTGCTTCCAGGTTTCTAATGGTAGTCTAACATTGATTGATTCATGATTTGAAAATGCCATTTTGACTGGAAAAGATAAATATCATATCTATAATATAAGTTCTTACTTATCAAGTACAGATCTTCTTACATTCAAAAATTTGAATTAAACCTCAATTGTAAAGAGATTAGTACACGAATCGAAATGGAATAAAACAGTATTCGAACCCATTAAATTCTGTAACTATTTTGTGAGTGTACTAATATAGTTAATAGTCGGTTTTTCATAACATCTATCTTGAAAGACATATCAATCGATAAGAAATCATTGGCTATTTATACGTAGGAATTCTGTTTTTTACTGACCTACTTCGATTTCAGTAGTCAGGCACTATTACATCATTTACAAAACAGTAATATGATGTTCAAAGTCGAGGACATAGACTACTGAAGTAAAACAATATGCAATCAGTAGTCGTTCCGGTGATGTTACCACTAATCAATAAATTATCACGTAAGTATCACATTCTCATAATTGAATATTCACATCGATGACCTTAACGTATCCCAATACGATTCATCCATATGTTTAATTTTATTTCTTAAGATTATACATAACAGGCAAAACAATAACTAGCCCTTCATTCTGAAACAAACTTGAACTTGATGAGGCCAGTAGTTATGGATTAAAAAACTCAGATCGTTGGTTCGTTCGTTACGACTGTTCCTTTCGTGTGGCATAGGCTGCGAAGCACGATTCTGCAACCAACTCTGTCCTAGGCTCTCTTTTCCAGTTGTTCTCAAATGATGTTCATTCTTTTCATGTCTACTCACAACTCTCAGTGAAATGCGTTTTTTGATTTTCCACGTGAGGGCTTGTTTTATCAAGCAGTTCGGAAATTTCCGATGATTCTGTCCAACCCACTCCCACCATTTTTTCTTAATTCCTTCCTCATCTAGAATCTGGTTTGTTCTCTACCACAGTACATTATTCCTGATGATATCTATCCATCAGATCCGAAGTATCTTGCGTAGACAGTTGTTCATAAATAATCAGATAGCTCCTCTTACACTTTTGAGCAAGATTTATTCATCTATATGGCTACAGAGAACATTTCAACATTATAGCTAATGTCAGTTCGTGATGAAAACTGTAATCCCAATTCCTTAATCCTCACTCCTAACCAAGAACGATGCATGGAATCTAAAGGATCTATTTGGGGTCCTGATAAACAATCTATACTCACTGAGACAAGTTTGTCAATTTTTTCCTATTAGATTTACAGACAGAGTAACTTGTAGAAGACATTAGTCGACTTATTATTTGTGCAAAATCTATCTAAACGATACGATTTTACTATTTTTTCAATCAACTATTGTTGGGGACGTTAGGTCTCCAGAACTCCCTTGGAAAAGGTCCTAATTTTGTAATTTATAGCTGAAAATATGAATTTCTACGTTTTCGCGCTAAGAAACGCTTAGTTGATCTACAGCTTATATTTTCCCAGTCGGAAATCCTTGACTATCATTCGCTGACGGATGGTTTTACTACGCTATTTTTTGGCTCACACCAAGGGTGTTTCCATCATTTTATAAATAAGCTCAATTCGTGTGCTTAACAACCTCGTATTTTCTGGGTACTTGTAGAATACACTTTCTACGTCTTATCGAGACTTCTTCCTCTAGTTAGCGGGGCCTTTGACAATCGGATTAGAATAGCCTATCGTATCACTGCATCATTTGTCTTTACTCCATTTACCGAGTAAGGTGAACTCGTAATAGCTTGAAGCAAAACAACCAACTATTTATAAAAACTGTTTTTTGATTGGCTAGAAACTAGCTGAAAATGCATCATGATTATGTTAAATTGGTCTATGTACTAGACTGTCAACAGATAAAATGAACACGATGATAACAGGAATAAAAATCTCAACATACGAAGGTGATCAAGACACAAAAAAAGAACAGAAATTTATTAAAGTAAAAATTATGAACACCAATGGGATAGAACAGGAAATAAAAAGGCCAAGGAAAAAGTAAGTTGGAGAACGCTAGTCGGCGGCTTACGTTTCACTATAGTTAGAAGGCATTGGTAAAGGAAGACAGGGATATTGCATATAGCTTTTTTCCTCTTGAATACGATTGTTAGCTCTCGCCATGTGTGTAGAAAAAATTTATAAGGTATCTGACAAATCATTTTGAATACTTTAGTTTTATCAACTCTGTATGACTAGTATCGTCGAAGTGTATGATAGACTAGAAGTGTTTATTTATTATTTTTGAAACTATGAATAGTGGTGCTTGCTAACTTGTTTAGTCGTACGACAGGCATAACTTTTTAAACAAGGATAAGTGCTACAAAACTCCGCCTAGAGCCCTTCTGAGGTTACTGCCGCCAGTCCCAAGCCCAGATAAAAGAGGAGGGTTAGGCATGGGGTTAGTGACCTTATCCCGTAGAAATCCAACTCACTAAAAAAAGCTAACCAGAAAAATAATTTGCTGGTTGATGGCCTATGATGTATTGTGGATGACAGGTGTGTGCAAGTAAAGTAAAATAAGTGCAACAAAACAAAGGTAACTTATCATTTGATTGAGCAATTGTTAACTGTATTAAAACTTTTTTCTGTTGCTCTAGTTAGTCTACTCCAAGTTCTAATGAGAAGTCGTGACCGGGTGGAGTTCAACGCTGTTCGGGTGTGAAGCAATGCTTACCGAAGACACTGTATGAGGTTGCGCAAAACCGTGGATTGACCGAAGTTAGACATTAACACCTTTAGACACTGGCTCAGTGGTCCAGAGGTTAGGCGTTTGCGTGCAAGACAGAGGCTCCTGGGTTCGAATACTCTGAGGTGCAGGAGTCGTGGATGTGCACTGCTGATGAGCGCCATACCAGGATGGAACGGCCGCCCAGTGCTCCTAGGTTTCTAATGGTGGTTTATTACTGATCGATTCATGATTTCAAAAAGTAACTCAAAAACCTCCACAACCTCATAACACTGTGTATTAGTACATAAGTAGTTACCTCTCCGTTAAAATGTAGCTTACAAAATGAATGTTTCTTACAAATGATACTTTGGTACTATTTATCCATTATGATTAAGTTATATCATAATTGTCATACCTGCTGTCATGATTGCTTTAGTTATACCCCCATTTATATACTTACTTGATCTTCGTCGACTGGGGAAGTTCGAACATCATGAATAGGTTGAGGAGGTAGTTCATGGTTAGGAAGAGTATTATGATTTGATTTCGCTTGATGATGATGACGCGTAGATCTTGTATTCAATAAATAACTATCAACAGATTCAGATGGTGTATCAAGTTCCGGTATTGGTGGATGTTGAGATTCATGATGAGCACGTCGATGTTTTTCATAGATACGTTGAGTAATAGAATTACGTTCACGTCCTGACAGAGGATGATTTGACCAATTTCCATTGCATATACTTGGTGGTCGAGCAAGTCTAGATGCAGATTCAGTTGATGCTTCAGAGATCACAGATTTTGACAAAGCTGATGATCTTGAAGATGGTGGTAAATCATGTATACCAAGAGCACTAAGACTACTAGATCCAGGTATAAACGGTGAACCATCCTTATTAGCTAATTGATGAGTTGAAAATAGATGAAGTGAGAGAGAGAGAGAGAGACATAGTAAAGACATTGATTGAATACAACAATAACAACACCAGGCATTACATAACAGTGCAGAGATATATGCAATTGAAGTGAATTGCACTTACAGATAATGATTTTAGAATCGAGTTTTTTGTAACCATGACAATAATTTCTAGTATAGCTAGCTAATCAAAAGTTCAAAGTTAACAAAATATTATTGGTAATCTGTGAATTTGTGGTCATACTCATCATCCTTTAAAAGATAAAAGCAATAGTCAAATGGATCTTTTTTCAAATAAACCTCGGAAGTGTAGTAAATAAAGAGGCACGTTTAAGTTGGATCGCCCTAAGATCTAATAAGTCAATAATCTACAAATAATCTTATCCGTAAGGTAAACTCTTTCTACGGTGCAGTAATCACAACAATACAAGTCATGGAATAAGAGCCCTATGGTTGTTGATGATATCAACTTTGAGATTATATATAAGTCCCAGAGAGAAGTTGTAGTGATCGGTGCAGTTTAATCATGTCCAGAGTGACAGTTATCACTGATAATATCAAGTGATGGTGTTAGGAGTTGATTGAAGGTAGTTGAGAAGAAATCCTGAGGCTAGGTTTTGTGATAGCACACACTCTTCCACAAGGAATACCTGCAATCTCAAGAGAACTGTAAGACTCGAACGAGCGTAATTTTGGATCACAGTTTGAGACACCTTCACTGAGCTATTCGGTCTACACAGCCAACTTTAATTAGGATTTGAGATAACACTTTAGCAAATTTCACGCAATGCGAAGTTACTTTGATCAATAGCTACACTATAACTTGCTCAATAGAATTCGATTCGTTATAAAGAATTAGACAAACAACATAACATTGGTTAAAACTTAATAATCAGTTAATTGTGAATCAGATGATGGTCAAAGTAGATTGCGAATTAACTGAAGTCGGTAATATGAACCGTTTTAGGTATAGCCAATCATTTGTCCGAAAAGAAATGTAATTACTATTGGATCTAAATGGCTTTAGCTTTAGGTGTATAAGGCACTACTGAACAATCTCATAATGGAAAAATGCTATATAATATCAGAGTACGTAGTGCAAACTTTCTACATTGAACTAACTTATTTCTAAAAATTCTGCCTAAAACATCTGGACTATAAATATATTTTTGTTTGAGGAAATCTAAAAAGTAACATTTGTCCGATTGATATCACGAACCGAGTAAGGTTAGACATCTATTGAAAACTAGGAACCAATGTACAATTTTTTCCTGTTAGCATGGGACTCTACAACAATAGCCACCCACGACATCACCGTTACGGGTCGAACTACGAAAACCTGACCCCGCACCCGGAAGCTTATCATTTAAACTATGTAACACACTCTCCACAAACCTCCATATCGGTAATCACCATATGCTGACCAATGACAGCAGCAGCTAATTCCGGAATCCTAGTGAGCGGCCGTAACCAGTGGGTTTGAAACGTGTCGCGAGTGAGACAGTTAGTCACCAAAGACAAGGGATAATGATCGCAAAGTATTGCGAACAGACTGAAGCTAGACATTGTATATCATATTGGATACCGGTTCACTGACTCGAACCTGAAGATCTTGAGTTTGATCTCCAACCGTAATGTAGTAGATACACAATGCTAAGGAGTTAGTCCTACAATAGGACTAAACAGCTGTCCAATGCTTCCTAATATCCAGTAAACGTCTAACTTAAGTAGGCTCGTATTGTCAATCACATTCAGTAATCTCCATAAAACAACTTTTATTGATAATTCTATTGTTTGTTGATGAGAGAGTAACGCGAAAACACTTTATATCCAATACACTTTCTAGTCTTTAAACTATGCTACATAATTACTTTAAAAAAGTTTAATCATATATATTCAACCATACATCACTTCATTTCTTCACATACTTGATCTATATGGTATACTTAATTCATAAGCCCATCCACATGGTATCCAACATGGTTGACGTTCTAATTTTGTAATAAGACGACTTAATTTCTCAACACTTTCTTTCATATTCTTATTCACTAATATATGTGAATATAAATGACGATAAATTGCTGACATTGACATGGAATCTTTAATAATGGAGTGTAATTCTTCATCCTAAACATGAGAAACATATATTTAAGTGTAAATAAGTAAATAAATGAAAATTTAAAATTCATAGACAAAAAGTGTATTAACGATAAGATTCTTTATTCAAGAGTGGCATTTGAAATCGTGTGAAGAATGGAAACGATGACCACCTCCTATTTTTCAGATTATTCAAGGAATTCAAGTTTTTCGCATAAAATATATGAAACAGTTAAACTCCGTAAGGTATGGTTTATTACTTGCTTACTTACGTACGCCTGTAACCCCCAGTGGAGCATAGGCCGCCGATCAGCATTCAACAACCTACTCTGTCCTTGGCTTTCCTTCCCAGTTCTGTCCAATTTTTGTTCATCCCTCGCATATATTTCTCTATTTCTGGGCGATATGTGTTCTCTGGCCTACCTCTTTTCCTTTTGTCTTGAGGGTTCCAGGAGAGGGCTTGTCTTGTTACGCAGTTGGATGCTTTGGGTAGTGTGTGTCCTATTCACTTCCACCGCTTATTCCTGATTTCCTCCTCCTCTGGAATCTGGTTGGTTCTTTCCCACAGTAGTCTGTTGCTGATGGTGTCTGGACAACGAATCCGAAGTATTTTGCGTAGACAACTGTTTATAAATACTTGTATCTTCCGGATGACGGCTTTGGAAGTTCTCCAAGTTTCCGCTCCATACAGTAGAACTGTCTTGACATTTGTATTGAAAATTCCGACTTTGGTGTTTGTCGTCAGTTGTTTTGATTTCCAGATGTTGTTCAGTTATAGAAATGCAGCCCTTGCTTTTCCGATCCACGCCTTCACAACTGCATCGGATCCACATTGATGGTCAATGATTCTGCCAAAATCGAAATGTTTTAACGTCCTCCAAGGCAACTTCATCAAGTGTGATTTGGTCGGGGCATGTTGTGTTGTATCGCAGATTCTTGCTTTTCCCTTTAAGCATGTTGAGACCTGTTGCTACACTGGTCGTCTTCTCTTGAGCGCTTTATTTCTGGTATACGTTTTTAGGATTGTTATCAATCACGTTGGAATGTAAATGCAGAGTATGTGACATGAATCTCAAAATAATGTAAAGAGCCAATCAGAAATGTTCGCGCGAAGAGGTCATGTCAAGACAATTAGAGATGTCTTAAAAAATGGATACATATCATTGGTCAAGAAGTTGGTTTACTTTTCAAAGGGAAGGAATTTACACAAACGTAAATGAGTACTGATTGAATTCGCCAAACAGATTTCATTCTCCTCTCTGTCCCCCCTCGCTAAAGTTGTCAGTGTGAAAAGTGGGGCAGGTAGATTAACGTGTATTAATTAGGTTCAAATCTCAGACATTACCCATCCAGGAAAACTTTTAGACTAGTCCCGATGACTACATAATTATTTATACATGATGAATGAACGTAACTAACATGAAAACTTAATTGAGTGAATGAAGCTTTATGTATTGGTGACTAAAATTGAGCAGTGTAAATAAATATAGATATATAAATTAATTTTAAACAAAAAGGAATGAGCTGGTTAAAATGTAGAAATCAATAAAGTTTTCAAGTAACGATTCTTTTATAGCTCAATATTTGCAGTGGTGCAGGTGCATCCACTCTTTATCCTTTCTCCAACTCTAAATCTTTTGAATTCCTCATCACTTTCGCGTTTTTCTTTATAAATTATTTCATTGAATTATACTTCTTGAATAATTTCCTCAAACCCTAATCTTCTCTATTATCGCTAATGCCCTTACTATCTCTACCAATATAGGATTTGAAGTGACAATTCCATCTCTTTGTGCTAATGTGGTATGCCAACATGAACTTATGGACGTACGTACGATGGTAAGAAAATTCATTTCCATAAAAAATCTAAGCAAAATGAATGTAACATTTACATTATATGTACAGTGATTAACTTTGAAATAGACGGAATAAAACTATGTATGACACATATAATAAGTTTGAATAATGATTTGACAATGATTAAGGGTTGACCACACGTATATATGGAAACATCTTGGATTTCACGATGTATCTGAAAAGACAGTCAAAATCAAACGGAATTCTTATGATAGACTACACTGAGAAATCATTTCAAGCCAAAGCTTCTATAAACCTAAAAATTCGTCCTCAAAAATTCATGTGGAACATTTGAAAACCTGTATTGATGTCCGTTCTATGCCCCATTCCAATTATATCCTCTGCTGTTGTTAAGTCTGCTACTAGATACGGTTAATATACAATACAACATTCAGCACCAAAACTGATAGAACCACCCCACCATCTTAGGACACAGATCAAAGGCTGGAAGAAGCCTTACTGGCCATCAAGGGACAAAAATATCGAAGGCAAATGCCATTACTGTTCGTCTTGCCTACAGGCTGCCAGAAAACCCTCCGAAATGTGAGTCACAGCAGTCACATAAGCCTGTCAAACTCTGAAAGAGACTTCGCGCTTGCTTTGCAGGTCCAGTTCAAAGAAAATTGTTTCTAGTTATTGCAGACAGTAGGCTGAAGAGACGATCAGTAACTTTGTTGTTTTGTTTCTAGGTGACAAAGACTTTAGTGATAGATAATGGCTCTCAGCTCGCTTCCGAGTTTTTTAAACAATTCTATGATATGAATGGGATGAATAAATCATTTACACTTTCCACCTTATCATCCTTAGTCTAACGGACAAGCAGGACACTTTGTGGGCACCTTCAAGAGAGCTCTGTCTAAAGGGGGGAACGAGCGGACGCCGAGTAGAGTAATCTCTAAGTTCTAAACATCCTGCAGAACTACTCCCAATCATTTTTTTTAAAGATGGGAAGTAACCAGCAGAATTCATGTTTGGAAGGAACATACGGACGACGGTGGATGGTCACAAACAAGGTGTAAATATTAACAGTTTTAATGCGAGAGGAAAAGTATTTGTCAAGGCTTACCGTGACCGAAATCGATGGGAACTAGGAAGAATTGAAAAGAGAGTGGGCAGAGTATTGTATAAAGTGCAAGGAGCTTACAGGATATGCATTAGACATATAAATCAAATTCATAAAGATAGAAGAGTAATGAACACAGTAGACGGTGGAATCTTCCTTTGAAAATATTGGATGATAACGTTAAAAATGGGGCTGATGAGTACGCGGACCGAAGATTCAAGAGGAAATGGGTTAAGAGAACCTAACCTTCACGGAAAATGTGTCGCATATGCAACATAGTACTAAGATTTCCAGGAGTAAACCATGTTCCGAAAATCTCGAAAAGAGTAGGTGGTGGGATGGCCCACAAAAGTTTCTAGAGGCTCACAAAAAGACGAAACGCTTCCACCCAATCATAGCTCGATAGAATTTCTAGACTTACTGGAGTAAAGGTTTCTTGAGGCTTCTGATTTGCGACCTACGGGATGAGGCGGTTCTACTAATTCTAATACCAAAGGTTATATTGTGTATCAACTGTTTCTAACAGGCAGACTTAACAGATATCGATGAACATACGTCTCTACGTTTATCGAAGCATTTCATATTAACTAGTTTTGAAGTCATCTAGACAGATGTCCCAAAATTCTTGATTGGATTATTCGATTACTCTTCCTTTTGTGTACAAAGGATGTGACGCAGTCGCTCATGTAATGTTTAGGCCTATGTGGAATCATGAACTTAATACATCCAATCACAACCAGTTTAGCAGAGGTTTTCTTAATAGCTGCATTTAGTCTTTGTTTCAGATCCATACTGTTTCATACACTTCTAAATGGTAGAATGATGTAAAAACTTTGTAGAAGAATTAAAGAGAGGTCTGTGTCTTGACTGACTAAAATCAATGTTTCAGTTAATAGTTTTGCATCTTCTACAAATATATCTGTAGTACAGACTCCTTGAATCCTATTGAAATGTATATAAAGCGCAAATACACCATATTCCTTAGATCAACTCCATCTTATTGTTCTATCAAGATGTGTATTACCATTATTGTGGTGAAGTTTTGTTCTATGAGCTGGATGTTTTGGTTGTGGAGCTTTCATCGTCCTTCTGAACAACATCAACTTCATGGTAACAGTGAAGATTTCGAATTTTTTCACGTATGACTCGTAGCTTGTCTTGTTAACCCTGATCTTGCTTGGTTGTTATTAACATTTACCATGTAGTTGATTGTATTCCCCTTTTGATCTGTTTCTCGATCCTATGACTGTCAATGATTTTTTTGATCGGTTGGTAAATTAGGTCAATGTCGATGTGTTTGTTGATTGCTGATTGACCTTAGTGCCAAGCTTCTAAAAATTATCTAGTGTTCTTTGTGCCACCCCTATATACACATTGTTCCAATGGAACGTATGTCCACAGTTATCCGTATGTATTTTATCAATACATACGGACAACTGTGGACCATAGCTGCTACCTTGATGTGATGGTCGGGCTTGCTTATCGTGATGATCCAACCGAGCCATATTGGCTGGAACATATGTTCCTGAAGGTCCTACCATGCCAGGCAGGTCGATTGGAGAACAGTAAGACTCAGAGTAGCAACTCAAGGTCTGAGGGCGAAGTCGTACTGTTGACTGCAGAGGGGTATGACAGAAGTAAGGTGTTTCCCTCGGACAACCAGCATCTGCAGCGATGCTGCCTTCTCACAAGGAAGGAACGGTTAGAAAAGGTCGACCCTAAAAAGGTCACACCTCACCCTACTTCACGGATTTCCGTCTCCGGCGGTAAGGGTGCCCAATCAGGGCCTTTAAGAGCGGAGCTAATACTGGAAAAACCTTTCATGAAATGGCCGTGCGTGACTGGCCTCAAGCAGTTGTTCCTTGGGCTCTGTGGTCACGCTCTCAGGTCTCTAAGACCAATGCTAATCTACCCTCAATTTCAGGTTCCTCAAGAAACGACCTTCCATAGTGTGGGCAGCCCGGAATCGACAACCGCCTTCACACCCGTAATAGCAAGCAAGACCAAATCGGTCACAAACAAATCCTTCCTTGATTGATATAAGCGAAGAGATGTCATGGTGTGTGATTGCTAATTGATAAACGAAGCTGAATAGGCCGTTCACTTTGTCCTATGTAGTGTTTTTCACAATCTGAGCAATTTATTTTGTAGATGATATTTGGTTTTTCTTCCTTTGTCATTTTGTCCTTTGGTCTACATAGGATTGATTGAAGTGATTCTGTTGGTTTATGTGCTACGCTTATTGCAAATGGTCGTCTCTGTAGTCATGCTGTAAGTTCTGACATGTCTTTTATACATCGGCAGAATGATCCGTTGTTTATTGGTTCCTGCACTTGGTTTCGCTTCTGTTGATGATTGCCGTCGACATGTTTTGATAAAGTTGCGTAGATAGTCGTTCTTTTATGAGCTGGTCATTAGATATGTTTCTTTGTTTTTCTGTGCTACTACTGCTGCTGCTGCAGCTGATACTACTACTAATACTACTATTTTGAGTATTCATCTTATGTATCATATTAACAAATGAAGTTCAATGTAATGCTTGTATGATAATGATTGACACACATAGAAATTCACAACAATAAAATGACAAAACAATCACAATCTACAGATTTAGTTAAATCAATCATCATCTTAACTTAACTTACAGTACGAATATTTGAAGTGACATTCGCTTGTAAACCATCATGTAACATGGTTTTAGCTACTTCAAACGATGGTGCAGCAACAAATACAACGCATGGATTGAATTCTGGTTGATGTAACAAATGCAATGACTGATCGATTATATAATGAAAAAAAAAGTATAAAATGAAGAGAAAACAACAAAAAAAAATTAATATAGTGATTATTTAGCAATAATTAATTATAATTAGTAATATTGATGTTAATCAGTAGAGATTGGTGAATTTGACTGAAGTACATAGGATAAACTTTTAAACTTACAATAAAAATGATTGAAAATCCAATCAATAATGATTCTACAAAGGATAAAACATTTTAAGTTGGCTATCATCTTCAATGGCTTGTAAGTAGCCGAAGAGATTGCACTTGATAGAATTAACAGACGATTGTGACATGACATACGATGATTGGATAATTGTGTGTAACATCGGTGTTTGTGGATTGGACGATTATAATGATGTTTGCAGTCAGTCAATCAGTTACAACGTAGAACTTCCTACGTAGGTACATCAGTTCAGGTCGCCATACCCATCAGCACAGAGACAGAATTGTCAGTTCAAATCACATAGTGGTAGAGATAGTAGAAGTATTAACAGTAATGGAGAAGAATAGGGTTCGAAGATATGATTCGAGAAGTATAATCCAGTGAAATAAAGTTAGAAAGAGAAAGATAGAGGATGATGAGGAATTTAGAAGGTTAGTGTTACGCCTGCACGTAAACACGTCAACTTGATATGCTTGAACTATTACGAGTTTACCTAGTCGGAAAACGAGGGTGAGGATCGAGGATCCGGCGACACGTCATGCTACTCAAATCCGATTATTCCAACCCCCATACTGAGGAAAAATAAGAAGACTTGATATGAAGTAGATCCTGTATTCTACAAGCATCCAGAAAGTACGAGATCCGAATCCAGAAGAGAATCAGGATCCCGGATGGGGTTCTAGTCCTAGTCCTGGTCATATAACGTTACAGATAATGCGTATTTATACATTTTGGTCGAATAGGAAACAGCATCGAAGTCTGTGATATTGACAGTTAGGACGACCAATAGGAAGCAACATTTGAAGTGACATTGATAGTCAGGACAACCAATAAGAAACAACATTGGAGCACGTGACATTGATATCTAGGACGACCATAAAATTGACCAGTTGGAATTAACCAATAGGAATTGACCAATAATTCTCTTTGGATATTGGATGAATATCCTAACAGTTAGAATTAGAGAGAACACAAAGAGTGGATGCACTTGAGTAACTGCAAACCATGTTCAGCCCTTTAATTCAAAGTCCTCAACCATCAGTTACGTTTGCCTCGCGGACCCCAACCAGGTAGCCTACATCTACCAACATGACTCAGTCCACTTGTCTTGACTTCATGGATTTCCGCAACGTCTTGGTTTGGCCACAATTTGTGGTTGAGCATTCGTAATACATGTCCCAACCACCTCAACAGATGAAGTTTCATTACTGAAACTACTGCTTTGCCATCATTGAGTAATACCCGTTTCTTAGCAACAATATTGCTGACTCGGTGGTTGCAAGATATATGAGCAATGCTTCAAAGATATTCGATCAGTAATATTATCCAGTTGAATTGTGATGAGGGAGTGCCAAAATTTTCTAGAAGCTTAAAAATGCCAGTAAACCTTTTTGTTCAATCAGAGTTGAATGGAATCTATACAGAAAAACATCTAGGAAATGTATAATCACATGCCGCCCTTGTGACTGAATATTTACCCATGCTGTTAGTATGGTTCCCGAAATTTCCAACAGCCCAAGGTGGTATCATAGCTCTGCAGTAAAACTTAATGAATTTTATTCTGACGGTTGTTGAATTTTGTGATAATAAAAGTCAAATAGCTAGGTCTGATTTAATATTAACTAAATGAGCAGGTGGGATATGTTGGGTGGATATTAAGCAAGAAGTACGCCTCCACACTGTGAGAAGACAGTATCGTTGCAGACGATGGTTGTCCGAGGGAAACACCTTACTGCTGTCACACACCTCTACAGTTAGTAGTACGACTTCACCCTTAGATTTTAAGTTGTCGCTGTTAGTTTTACCGTTCTCCAATCGACTCGCCTGGCATAAAGGACCTAAGGCACATGTTTCATCCAATATAGGTAGGTTGGGTCATCATGATAATCAAACCCGACCGCTACGTAAAAGTAGCAACAACGGTCGGGAAAAGGGACAGAGGTGTGTCGAACATATTTCTCACTTCTATCAATAAACACAACTCCGCCAGCAGAACCTTCGGGGCTACTGCCGGTCCCAAGCCCGGGTAAAGGAGGAGGGTTGGACATGGGGTTGGCGACCCCATTCCGTCAAAAACTAACTTGCCAAAAAAAACGCTAACCAGAAAAAATAATTCAAACCATTTTAACTCTGCCCTGGGAGTTGGAGGAAGAATTATGACGTCGCGTGATGAAAGCCGAGTTCCATCGGAATCACGGGGCTGATGCCTCTTCTGACAACCAGAGCAACCATTTTTTTAGGTACATGGAACGTTCGTACATTGTGGGAGACTGGAAGACTACTTCAAGTTGCGGCAGAAATGAAAAGATACAACCTCGAGGTGCTTGGCATCAGTGAAACACATTGGACACAAGTAGGACAACTGAGACTAGCTTCAGGGGAACTGCTGTTATACTCTGGTCATGAAGAGGAAAATGCTTCACATACACAAGGAGTTGCATTGATGCTGTCCAAACATGCACAAAAGGCACTAATAGGATGGGAATCTCATGGACCGAGGATCATTAAAGCATCCTTCAAAACAAAGAAAGAGGACATTACAATGAACGTCATCCAATGGTATGCACCTAGCAATGAATACAATGACGACGTTAAAGATCAATTCTACGAAAGGCTGCAGCCAATCGTCGATAAATGTTCACCAAAGGATTTGACGATTCTTATGGGAGACCTGAATGCCAAGGTTGGCATGGACAACACTGGATATGAAGACATCATGGGACGACATGGACTGGGAGAAAGAAACGAAAACGGTGAGAGATTTGCAAACCTATGTGCCTTCAACAAACTGGTCATCGGCGGCACAATATTCCCGCACAAACGCATACACAAAGCTACATGGATTTCACCGGACCACACTACTCAAAACCAGATTGATCATATCTGTATCAACAAAAGGTTCAGAAGGACTATGGAGGATGTGAGAACCAGGAGAGGAGCTGATATAGCTTCAGATCACCATTTGCTAATCGCCAAAATGAAACTGAAACTAAAGAAGCACTGGACAATGGGACAGACGACATCACACAAGTTTAATACGGCCTTTCTTCGGGATACTGTAAAACTCAACGAATTCAGGATAGCCCTCTCCAATAGGTTCCAGGCCTTTCAGGATCTACTCAATGTAGAGGACGCAACCTTGGAGAACAATTGGAAAGGGATCAAGGAGGCAATCACTTCAACATGTCACGAAGTTCTGGGTCACAAGAAGTACCATCACAAGGAATGGATCTCTGTTGATACTATTGCAAAAGTCGAAGAAAGGAGGAACAAGAAGTCAGCAATCAATATCAGCCGAACAAAAGCGGAGAAAGTTACCGCACAAGCTGCATACACAGAAGCAAACAGGGAAGTGAAGAAGAGCATCAGAGCTGACAAACGAAAATACGTGGAAGATCTAGCAATGACGGCGGAAAAGGCTGCAAGAGACGGAAACATGAGACAATTGTACGAAACTACAAAGAAGCTCGCTGGAAACTATCGTAAACCAGAACGACCAGTGAAAAGTAAGGAAGGCAAAGTAGTCAGCAACACTGAAGAACAGCGAAATAGGTGGGTGGAGCACTTTAAGGAACTATTGAATCGACCAGCTCCACTGAACACACCCAACATCGAAGCAGCATCCACGGACCTCCCAATTAATATTGGCGATCCTACGATTGAGGAGATCAGCATGGTCATCAGACAAATCAAGAGCGGCAAAGCAGCAGGACAAGACAACATTCCAGCAGAGGCAATGAAAGCAGATGTAGAAGCAACTGCGAAAATATTTCACATCCTCTTCAAGAAGATTTGGAATGAGGAACAAGTACCATCAGATTGGAAAGAAGGATACCTCATCAAAATACCAAAGAAAGGCGACCTGAGCAAGTGTGAGAACTACAGAGGCATCACTCTTCTTTCAATACCAGGCAAAGTCTTCAACAGGGTATTGTTAAACAGAATGAAGGACTTCGTAGACGCCCAACTTCGAGATCAACAGGCCGGATTTCGTAAGGATCGATCGTGTACTGACCAAATTGCTACATTACGGATCATTGTGGAACAATCAATTGAATGGAACTCACCACTCTACATCAACTTCATCGACTACGAGAAAGCATTCGATAGCGTGGATAGGAAAACACTGTGGAGGCTTCTTCGACACTACGGGGTGCCTGAGAAAATAGTTAACATCATACGGAATTCTTATGATGGATTCAACTGCAAAATCGTGCACGGAGGACAGCTAACCGACTCTTTCGAGGTGAAGACCGGTGTCAGGCAAGGTTGCTTACTCTCACCCTTTCGCTTTCTCCTGGTCATCGACTGGATTATGAAGACGTCAACATCTGGAGGGAAGCACGGTATCAACTGGACAGTTAGGACGCAGCTGGACGATCTGGACTTCGCAGATGACTTGGCTCTTCTATCGCACACTCAACAACAAATGCAAGAGAAGACGACCAGTGTAGCAGCAGCCTCTGCAGCAGTAGGTCTCAACATACATAAAGGAAAAAGCAAAATTCTCCGGTGCAACACAACATGCACCAATCAAATCACTCTTGATGGGGATGCCTTGGAGGACGTTAACACCTTTACATATCTGGGCAGCATCATCGACAACCAAGGTGGATCCGATGCAGATGTGAGGGTGCGGATTGGCAAAGCAAGGGTTGCATTTCTACAGTTGAAAAATATCTGGAACTCCAAACAACTTTCAAACAAAACCTAAATCAGGATTTTCAATACAAATGTCAAGACAGTCCTACTGTATGGAGCGGAAACATGGAGAACTACGAAAGCCATCATCCAGAAGATACAAGTGTTTATTAACAGCTGTCTACGCAAAATACATCGGATTTGTTGGCCAGACACCATCAGCAACAACGAACTGTGGGAGAGAACAAACCAGATTTCAGTGGAGGAGGAAATCAGGAAGAAGCGGTGGAAGTGGATAGGACACACACTACGAAAAGCACCTAACTGCGTCACGAGACAAGCCCTCACATGGAACCCTCAAGGCAGAAGGAAAAGAGGAAGGCCAAAGAATACATTACGCCGAGAAATAGAGAAAGATATGAGAGGAATGAACAAACATTGGACAGAACTGGAGAGAGAAGCTCAGGACAGAGTTGGTTGGAGAAAACTGGTGGGCGGCCTATGCTCCATTTGGGGTAACAGGCGTAAGTAAGTAAGTAAGTATCAATAAACACCCTAATGAATGCACAGCCTTTTGATCAGATAATGGTGTTAGTTGGGAATATGCAACACATATCCCCATCACTTCAGTTCATGAAGATTTACTACCTCATCAATTGATTTGTTATCCTTACCTAGTACGTTAATCCTAATCCAGACATTACTACAATCTCACTGGTATCAAAATACACAAGCGATGCCTCGAAAACATTTTTACAATAGAATACTAGCAACCTACAAATGGCAACTTGAACTGATGTATATATTCGCTATTCTTAATTACTATGTAATCAACTTTCTTGATGAAAGATCATCATAACCACTCAACGATCGATCATATCACCATACATTCTCTAAGATAATTTTAATATAACAGAATGAGATTATTGTTATGCTCGTCAATTGATATGCTTGAAACTATTACGAGTTCACCTTCGTCGGTAAACGAGAGCGAGACAAATGATCCAGTGACACGATAGGCTACTCTAATCCGAGCGTCCCAATGCCCTGCTAATGGTACCAAAAAGTTTTGGTATGGCGTAGGAAGTGTATTCTACAAGCAACCAGAAAATATGAGGTTTTGTACAGAAGAAGAAGATGAGCATAAAACCTCACAGACAATGCATATTTATACAGTTACGTCGACCGTGAATACTAACCAATAGGAAACAACATTTAAAAGTTTGTGAACTTGATACTTTGGAACGACCTTAAATATTGACCAATAGGAATTGACCAATAGAATTAGACTCACAAAATAATTTCTTTAGGATATTTGATGAATATCCTAACAATAATAAACATCTCATAAGCTTACTTGAGGTTGACAATCTAATACAGCTGTTCGTCCGCTAGCTATAATTTTACGTAATTCCGAAAAACGTATACCATAATAATGTCCATTAATTTTACCCCATTCAACATAAGCACCAGATTTTACATCAGTTTCCATTTGATCTTTTGTTAAAACTTTAAATAAATTCGTCGGTAATGATGAATCGGTTGTATCTACATTGAAAATTGAATGAAAACACAAGCAGCAACAACAAATAAACGATCAATTACTGATTACAATAAAGAGATAACTTTTATTGATTTGTGTATTATACAAAAGGATAAGTCTGTTAAATAAACGCAAGATCTGAATTCCTAGAATAACCTCAGACTAGATCAACACTGCAACTTGAAGATAAGAGGAAAGACGTAAAGTACGGGAACACTTTGTTCCAAGGTTGGTTTATTCACAGATAAACGAAAGTTACCCATAACCTTGTGCTTCTAGAAGGTGCGGAAACCATACTGACTATGATAGCGATATGGCGATACATCCAATCACAGTCGTAGCATGTGATTCTACATTTCCCTGAAGTTTCTGCGTAGGTTCTATTCAATGCTGATTGGATGAAACGTTTTCTGGAGTTTCTGGGCCTTTAGAGAGTTTTACAAGGGATATTTCGGGGCTCCTTCCTAACACAAAGTAAATTTACCATTGGTTCATTACTGAATAGTGAAATAACGAAATAGTTAATCAGTAGTTCACAGTCGTGATTAATGAGGTCACTAATTTAAATAATTAGACATCGCATATAATATACTACGGCGTTAACTCGTTGGACGAATTTGATAGACATATTTAGAACGTCCTTGACTATGATGACTTGAATTTGAACTACATGGGTAGTGTCAGCAGACTATAATAGAAACATGAAAGCCGAAAATTCCAGATACAATCCTTGGAAGACAGTTTTAAAAGTGTAATGTCAAACAGTCTTAAATTGGGACAAAACAGCTCATGGCTATTTCTAAAAGATTGATCGTCAACTTATTCCAATCGGCAATTAAAATCTGGTTTTAATTACACCATCGGTGCGAGGTGACAAAGGAACGAAAGGGTTGGTCGTGGAGATAAAAGAGTTATTAGAAAGTGTAGGAAGGATTTGACGGTGACTCATCTGGTCTCGTGTGCTTTTACAGGTATGAGGGCGGTTGTAACTTCCCGGCTGCTCACACCATGGAAGGCTACTTCTTACAGGACCTGAAAAGAAAATCGGTTAGTGTTGGTCTGAGCGACCTACGAGCATGAGCACAGAGCTCACGGGAAAACTGTTTGAGGCCGGTCACGCACGACCTTTTCGTCAGAAGTTTTTAAAGTGTTAGCTATGCTCTTGTTTAAAAGCCCTTACCGCCGGAGACGGAAATCCATAAGGCAAGGTGAGGAGTGACATTTTTAGGGTCAACCATTTCTAACCCCTTCTTTCCTTGTGAGAAGCCAGTATGACTGCACATTCTGGTTATCCGAGGGAAACACCTTATGGCTGTCACACCTCTCTACAGTCAGTCAGCAGTACGACTTCGCCCTCAGACCTTGAGTTGCTACTCTGAGTCTTGCTGTTCTCCAATCGACCCGCCTGGCATGGTAGAACATAAAGGACATATGTTCCAGCCAATATGGCTCGGTTGGGTCATCACGCTAGGCAAGCCCGACCAGCACATCAAGGTAGCAGCTACGGTCGGGACCATACGCTTACACGTTTTATAAATAAGAACAAGATTGTGTAATTGGAGTTAAATAAAGAAATGAAATCTATTAGCATACTATAGGTGAAACGTGTGTATGTGTGTATCTATATATGCCATTGTTATACATACCTGTCATAGGATAAGCAAACCGTTTTGGTTCAGAATTTGCAAGAAGTACTTTTAAATTACGACGACCAACACCATTTGGACCAATCAATAAAAGACAAGGTACTTTAGACTGTGGCCATGGTACAACTTCTTCATAACTCCATATATCTGATCGTAAACGTAGCCCTTTATTATATGGTAGAGTATATAATCAAAAATACAAACATAAAAAACAACCATAAGTAATTAAGGAATGTATATTATATATATATATATATATATATATATATATATATATATATATATAATTTGTCATTTTGACTCAATCATACATTATACTATGTATGTGAGAAATTTCTCAAGCATCCGAAGTGACTCTCCATCAGTTTCTTATAGGTAAAACGATGTGTTATATGACTTAATATCTTTTTTTAAAATCACATATGCTGAATAGTTGAAATCGATTCCTCTTTAATGGCTCAAGATTCGAGCCCGATGTAGATGAATGGTCAATTATGCAAATGAAACAAATCCTCCATTTTATTTCTGTATGCTCTTAAGTGAACACATGTTTGTGCAACGACAATAATCGGAAGACTAATGAAGGGGGTTTATTTTAGATGAATTCATTCTATTCACTTGTGTATGCAGAAAGGTATAAGAATGTGAAGCGTAAATGCGAAGTGAAACAAGCAGAGAAGGTGAGTGGATCAACTCAATGTGATAGGAAATGACAATTTATAGTGGGAGAAAAATAAGTTGGACATGTAATCAACAAATTAAGGACTTTGAGATGGTGGAGAAAATTTGTAGCTCAGGTGGTTGTAACAAAATATTCAGCTCAGAGAACGAAACACCACCACAATGAACACACTACACCGACAAAATACAGCCAAGATTATAAGAGAACAGCTAACATCGTCAAACGGCGATGTGTGAATAATGATTCAAGAGTAGATAAACTGGTTTGTTCAAAAGCTAAAAGAGACCATTTTGGGTTCGACATATTGGTACACGCTACACCTCTTTCTGTATCGAACGTTTTTCCAGTCATAAATAGAGTTATACAAGTATGTTGGGTGCTGAAGATTTTTTGGATTTTATAATTCATATAAATGATGTTTACAAGTGCTTCATTATAGGATACAACTTGTATGTTTTGTTCTAATTTCTATTATGAAAATTTTTAATATTTTAGTAATGAATAGATTGTAACATGGGTTGGACAAATCATAACTGAAGATCAACCGGCTGGTAGCGAGTGATTTGTGTTCAATTTCTAATTTTTTTTAATGGACACTTATGTTTCAACTAGCACGATACTCTTATTTCCCAAAACTAACCAGTTTTAGTGTATTGATCCGCAATGTCACGGAAAGTATTGTGATGGATGCTAATCACAAAGTAGTTTATAAGTAGTATGAAGCGTGGTGTTGTTTACATGTTGCTACCAGAGAGAGAGAGAGAGAGGAGTGTCTGGAGATCGAAATGTATGGCACCAGTGAGAGTATATTGAAGATAGTCAATATATAATCTTTTTGCACTACAAATGTACGTTTGAAGTTTATGTATACAACCTTTTTTTGTAAATGAACTATATCTTCTTCAAATATACACATATTCCATATGATTGTAACTTCTTTGTATGTTACACAACTACTTCCAAGTAAGCTACCATTCATTTGACGTAAAAAGAGAACAATAGAATATTAAAATTTATAAAACAGTTAGCAAATAGTTTGAGTGTTGGTAATATTTACAGAGAATTCAAATATTGACAATACATTTTACATAGGTATAATAAGAGTCAATAGTTTTAATTCGTATATTCCAACATTCATAATGACTGTAACTCCATTGTTGAGAATAAAGAAAGTTGAAGAAATAATTCTGACAAATATAGACAGCTTTTAATTTTCTTTCATCTCATTTACATCTCTCTTCTTAGTTACTTCAAAATCATGAATCGATCAACGTTAGATCACCATTAGAAACCTGGAAGCACTCGAGGGCCGTTTCCTACTGGTAGGGGACTCATCAGAAGTGCGCAACCAGGACCACCACTGCTCAAAGGATTCAAACCCGGTACTTGAGGTGTTGCACACGAACATTTGACCTCTGGATCACCGAACCGGCATTAAGTAGCGGTGATGTCCAATTTCGATTATTCTTCAGTCTCGCGAAACTTCATCTGCTGTCTTCGGTAAGCACTACTTCACACTCGAATAAGATTGAACTCCACTGGTTACAACATCTCACTAGGACTCGGAAGAACTTCCTCACTGGGCTAGTCACTAGTGAGTACATGATAATTTTGGATGCCGGCTCGGTGGTCTAGAGGTTAAGCATACGTATGCAAGACTGAAGGACTCGATCTAGAATCCTGTGAATAGCGAAAGCCATGGATCTGCGCCGCTGATGAGTCACATATCAGGACAAAACGGCCGTTCAGTGCTTCCATGTTTCATTGATCGATTTATGATTTCAAAGAATCTCTTCTTAGTATTAAAAAAACGTGTAAGTAGGTGAGAACACAAAAAGTCTGACTTGCCTGACGCATCAGCAGCTCTGAAAAATGTTTTCACTTTTTTCCACGATTTACGACCAGTATTTGCTAAAAAAAATGCAGTTAGAAAAGATTTAGTATAGAAAGCCAATCAGATGTGGTTGAACGAGGTCATTCAGAAATATCTTAAAGGATCGATACATATCATTAGTCAGGAAATGGAAGGAATGTATATATATAAACGTTATTCAGTAACCGAATAAACTTTCTCTTACACTCTTGTCTTCTCGCTCAAGTAGTCAGTTTGAGGGGTTAGTGTGTATCACTTTCAGATCTCAGACAACGCACAACAAAATAATACTAAGATTTGGAAATTCAAGGTAACTCAGTGAACCAAGCAGGCGTATAAATATATCCGGGAATACAAATCACACTGTTTGGATGCGAGACTTACAGTAATGCCAACCGAAGTAGATGATTGCAGCAAGGTTCGAGAAAGTTATCGCGCATTGACATCTTAAAACTTTTTATACTTTGTGCCATGCTCTCTGTTATCAGTTTAAACAACGCAAATGTTAACATAATTAATTAATTAATGTTTTTCTGTATGAAATGCGCTGGTACTGTAATGAGAAAGTGAAACCAACTTGGGGCAGCTATAAAACAAAATATTACATAATATATTAGCCACATATAAAAGTTAACTAGGTTGTTTCATACTTATCTTTCTAATTGATTCTAAACTGAAATATGTCAGTCAGTCAGTAACAACGTATAACTTCGTACGTAAGTACATCAGTTCCAGATGCCCTACCACATTAGCACAGAGACGCAACTGTCAGTTCAAATCCCATAATACTAGAGGTATTAGAAGTACAGGCAGCAACGGAGAAGATTAGGAATCGAAGAAATTATTCAGGAAGTATAATTCAGTGAAATAAATTTAAAAAGAGAAAGATTAAGGTCATAAGGTATCCGGAAGATAAGAAATTGAAAGGACGGATGGATGCACCTGTGCCATTTAGTTCAAAGTCTCCAATCATCAGTTACCATGGTCTCGCGGAACTCAAACGGGTAGTCTACACTTACCATAATGACTCAATCCACTTGTCAATGACTTCATGGATTTGTGCTGTTTTAGTTTGGCCGCCCTTAACTTTCTTCCAGTCTACCCCTAAACCACAAAACATAGCTCATCGAGGCAGTCGATAGTTGGGCATATATAACAACATCAAATATGTATGTATGTAATTGTAGATAAACAAACTAACATGCATATCGAATTTCTCATGTAAATTCAATCGTCAAACTATGTCTTAAAACTGTAGAATTGACAAAAAATAACTGTAATAATATCACAATTAACTAACTGTCCAGAATGTAGGACATTTTAGTAAAACATTTATGCTTTACTTGTTATCTAGAGAAGTACCATGACACTTAGACAAAGAATATTGTTATTAATACTAAGCTACTTAGTGTGACTAAATAAATTGATAAAATCATAAAGAATAGAATAGAACAAAACATAATGAACAGTGTAAATAGACAATAAACATAGAAAAAACAACTCTACCCAACAACCTGTATCACACTAAACATTTGGTCTGTGATTACAAAATACACAACTCTTTATATATGTATATGTATATATGGATTAATCTAACGTTAAAATAAAGCAGTCACCTAATTCCTTGATTTTGATTGGTTTGATAAAAAAAAATAACTGGTCCACTAAAAGAATCATTCAGATCAATATGAATCCAGATTATTGATCAGATGAAACTATACTCTATCGGTTAACAGTATAAAATATCCATTTCTAATTTAGCCAAGTTTGTCTAGTAATGATTTCGCATTTATGCTGCTATACGGTCAGAATCATTTTTCCTACTGGACAATTATGCAAACATTTTGCAGCAATGTCATTTCATGTTAATTACAATATATATAGAGTTGTATTTGTTTGCTAAATGATAAAAAGGCCGGATGTTCAATTTTTAATATTTGTTGAACTAGGAGAAAGTGACCATGTTTTCAATGTAAACTTATTCGGTGAAAGATGGCGACCATTGGGATTTTGTACATAATCCCAAAACGCAGTGACGAATAGTATGTAGCTGTTTAAAAGCTATCTGATTGCTGTCAATACTTGGTTACTACAGTGTTTAATATTGATTATTTTACAAACAGACTGAAGAATATGAAATTGTGATCATTTAACAGTCTTTGACGATCGTCATTAGAGCATAATTACATCACTGATTCATTTTCACATTGCGATTGCTTGCTGAGGATTCTATATTGTATCGAATAAAGCCATTAATAATAATGATATCATTGTTATTACCATTTTTATATCAGTCGCTTTAGTCAGTCAAGATTGAGTATATAAGTGGGTATTTTCATTTAAGTGGTAAGTGAATACACATTATACACCTACACATTTCTTGTTACAATTATCATTTATGAATAAATAACGCCTTCGTAACTAATAAATGACAAATAAGTACAGTAAAATATGTATTAGTCAACAAACAGACTACTATGTGAAGCAATCAGTTATATATATATATATATATATATATATATATATATATATATATATATATATATAAATCCGACTGAACGGGACGGTACCGACTCTGAAAGATATGGAAACTCAACGTTGCCTCTTCGTCGTATGTGCATAAGCTCCCACTAACTGCAGTTTTACATAAACCTCTCTAAACTTCTTCAAAAAATTAAGCTCTCTGATATAGTAATAATGGCTGGTGACTTTCATTCTCAAGTAGGTAGACTAAGTGAAGAGGAAAGACACCTGAGTGGATCTTATGGTTTCGCGGCTCAAAGAACAGATAATGGCGAACGTCTGCTGCAGATATGCTCATATAATCGCCTATTTCTAGCGAATGCTAACTTTAAGCATAACGAAAAATATCTTTTGATCTGGCGAGCCCCAAAGCCGACCTAACAATCGAACCAACTAGATTACATCAGCCACCGATGGAGGGGTTCGATAGAGGACTATCGCTCGTTCTGGGGCACATGTCTAGATTCAGATATATAAATACAAATATTTGAAGCAACAAGTTTGGAAATGATGAACATACGTTGAAGTTTTTCTTGATTAAAAGCTTGACGACGTTCTTCCAATGTTTGTGATGGTATTAAACGAGCCTTCGAATTAGGTTCTTTCAATGAACGTACCTTTGTAAAAAAAAAAATCAACAGATAAAAGTTAAACAAACGTTATATCCGTGAATACATACATGTCACAAGTGAATTCGTTTTACTATTCTCGTTGAAATTAACAAACTATGACGTATGGGATCATGAAATGTTTGACAATTGTTCTGTGTCATATTAAAACGAGCAAGAGATGGATAGTAGCCATTAAGGTCATAATGAAGAGGGTCTTTAGTTATGAGTAAAGTTAACCTCTTTATAGATAGTTTAAACCGCTTGTTGATGAAGTCAAAGTACACATGGTTACACTCAATCAAGACTCAATAGTGTTCAAATTATTGGACATGAAGCCTAAAATCGATAAACGTTTAAAATTATTCAAATTGACATCTAGTATTTTAATGAAGTTTCCAAGTTTAATATGTCATTGCTTATCAAAATACAACAGAGGCAGTAACAATCAATATTTCCAGAACAAAAGTATGGATACAATATTTTTTGATTTGTTTCGCTTTCATAAACATTGACCTACCTGATGAAGATTCGATTGAAAACAATATTATTCATATCGTTTACCAGGGATCCGTAAATTTTATTAGTTATGCGTGAAGACCTACTTTTCATCTGACCAATAAACACACATACACGTGCACAAACACAATCCGAACAAACTATAAAGTACTCACTAGTGACTAGATTCTTGAGGAAATTCTCTGAGTTCTAGTAAGAAGAAGTGACTGGTGGAGTTTATCCCTTTCGGGTGTAGGCAGTAACTACTGGTGGCAAATGGGTGAGGTCGCACAGAATCTCTAGATTGATCAGAGCTAGACACCGTTCGATGCCGGTCTAGTAGCACAGAGGTTAGGCGTTCTCGAGGAAGACCGAAGGTTCTGGGTTCGAATCCTGCGAGGTGCAGAAGTCGTGGATGTGCACTACTGATGAGTCCTTTACTAGGACGAGACGGTCATTCAGTGCTTCTAGGTTTCTAATGGTGGTCTAACAATAATTGATTGATGATTCCATTGTATAATGACAATAAGACGAGGATGGTGGCTAGCAGTGTGCTGTAGGATGTGCGTTTCATCCTACTCTTAGGAACCACCAGCTGGATGTACATGAATCCTAGAGTTGGTGTTCACTTCGGGACTCGAACCTAGTACCGTTCACCTTCAAACAATAAATACAAGTATAATGACGATATTTACATGGTTTTTTCGTGAAAACAATAATAATTATTATTATTTTTATAGCTATTATCATACTTCAATTTAAAAGATATACATTGCATTGTAATTGAAGCATGACACTAGAAATATGTGTACAATACATAAATGAATAATTCTTGAAAATTTCCATTAATCTCTATAAATCAAATAAATTCAATTTTTTTCATAAATAATAAACCATCCTGCTTGCGCTACGGCGTGCTATATTATCCACACATGAAATGCTGATGACTAATCAGGTATATATTTTAAGCATCACAGTACATCACACATACACATACGCACACACACACATGAACATAGAGAGAGACTGACTGGCAAAATATCGATTATTTTCTAAAAAAAGCATCATCATCATAATCATGACATAGAAGACAACATGCTATGCTATAGTGTTGAATGTGATATGCAGTAATGCAACAATTCATCATTAAATCATGTGACTAAAAAATAAAATAGCTAGTTAATTAGTGATTTTCGGTAGCAAAGGTAGTATACGATAATAATAATCACTTAATTGATTCACATAAATGTTGATTTAAAAAATAATTATTCTCTTTCCATAATCAATGTCACCAGAACATTGGTGTGAATAATGAAACCTCTGTAGTGTCAGTGTGTATGTGTGTGTGTAGGTGCTCTGTACACTGTAAAGAGAGAGAGAGAGAGAGAGAGAAAGATAGTGACGAGGCTGTTAAACACATGAGACGAATATTACATGAATAGAAGTTCTGTTTCAGGTAGAAGCCTACATTTGAATTTTTTTCCTTGTTATTCTTGTTCTATCAATAGATGTGTATATACATGTTGTTTGTTTTTTGTATAGATCAATGAGCACCAATAGATTATTGCAAATAAAAACAGATTAATTCGGGTAGGAGAAATATAACAATCATAATATTTATAAGAATTATGAAAATAAAATTGATTGTTTGTGTTTTGTTAGAACAATAAAAAAGCCTCATAATAAAGACAGATATATTGATAACTGGACAACAATGATTACTGAATTGTAAGGCATAATGGTAATGATACATTTTAGTTTCTATCATTATATATGTATTCTAATGTATCAGGCATAATAATAATAATAATAATAATAATAATAATAGTCAGTCAGCTACAACATAGAAATTCGTACGTATGTACATCAGCTTCATACCACATTAGCACACAGAGGATGCATTGTCAATTCAAATTCCATAATGGTGGAGATAGTAGAAGTATTATCGATCATCAAAAAAATTAGGGATAAGAGATATCATTCGAGAGGCATATCCTAGTGAAATCAACATGAAGAGACGAAAAACCGTCATGAGAAATTCAGAAGATTAGAATTTGAGAGAAGACAAGGAATAGATGCACCGGCGCCACTGGAAACGATTTTGAGTCATGTCGTTCAAAGTCTCTAACCATCGGTTACTATTGTCTCGAAGGCCCCAACTCGGTAATCGACACCTACCAACATGGCTCAGTCCAGTTGTCAGTGATTTCATGGATTTCTGCCATGTTTTGATCTGGCCACCCCTAGCTTTCTCCCAGCCTACCCTTTTATCAGGCATCATAGCTCGCCGAGGCATTATATTTAACACCATAGGTTAGAAAAAAAAATATTTTTAACACATATATATGTATATCCACAATATTGCGTGACCTCGCCCATTGTCTTTGGTGAATACTACTTCACAACACCCGACAGGGATGAACTCCACTAGCCACAACTTCTTACTAGAACTGCGAGAATTTCCACACGAATCTAGTCACCAGCAACCACATGATGATTAGCATTATACAGTTGTGGAGATTGTTGAGTTTCATTGAAATCACGAATCAATCAATGCTGATAAGTTCCAGATTAGGACGAAACGGCCGTCCTGTACTTCCAGGTTTCTAATAGTGGTCTAAGATTCATCGATTCATGCAACCCAACACTCTCCCCAACCACAATAATGGAGATTATTTTTGCCTAGGAAGATAATGAAAGCTTTGTTATGTATGATTCAATAGTTCTTCTCAGCACACATGCAACACGTCAAAAAATTCTGACATCTATATTCTCTCCACTAGAAAAAATAAACACATTTTATTAAAAAACTGTGTATGAATTTATTTTTAATGACAATGACAACAAATCATATCACATTCATGAATAATTATTACAAACAATAATTTTAACAGATATATATAGATACATGTGAATGACAACACTACGCTACAATTATTCATTTTTCAAATATTGATGTTCAAAAATCAATCCATAAACAAACAAACAAAAAATAACAACACTTGGTTGTTCAATTTTCAATATTACGACAACTTCATAATAACATTTAAGAAAAAAAAATTAGTACAACTGTACAACATTTTTACATTTATATTATTTTGAAATTTTCATCACTAATAATTATTTACCTTTCACCTTTTCACTCTACAATTTAAAACATCAATTTATTCAAGACATAAGGTAAAGTAGGCAAAAAAAACAATGAACGATGTAGATAATGAAAATACAAATGACCTTGTCCAAGTTCAACAACTATGCCAATTCAAAGGATGAATGATTTTTATCAGATATAATATTGATTTAAGTTACATATTTTTAAACTGTTCAATCGGATGTTAGGTAGTTGTTGGTATTCGTCAAGTAAAGTATACTTGTAATCAATCGTTAAGTAACTGTGATATAAATCTGTCAAATTTACACCGACACAAGTAAGTTTCAGACAATATCAATAAACTACTTGGGAAGTGATTAATTTTCTGTAAAAATGAATTTTTATCACTGAGTAGTTTTATCAATATCATGTTCTTTGTGTTAACCGAATTCTATTGATTACACTGTCATGTGATCCTGGTGGAGTTTCGTTCTGTATGAGCAGGATGTTTTGGTTGTGGAGCTTCCATTGTTCTTCTACAGAAACTTCAGATAGAATCTGTCTATGTATTTGAAGTTCGTGCTGATGATGTTGCTCAGATAAACAATGAAAGATTCACAATCAAAATATGCAGCTCAGAAAACGAAGATCCATCACAATCATCCACCTGAGGTACAAATTTTCTCCACCATTTCATGTAGTCACAAGTTAAAATGACGCACTCTTACTGGCGTTAAAAACTTAATGTGCTAAAAAGCTTAGCTCTTGTCAACTACTTTAAACAATATGATATGAAAATATAAAACAAGTGTTATGGATTTTTAATTGGACCAGTTAGACACATTGTAACTTGACAGGTAGAATTCTATTGCATTTAAACCATGAATGAATAATTGCTAGAACACCATTAGAAACCTGGAAGCATTAGAAGACCGTTCCGTTCTGGTACAGAATCCATGGGACTCCTGCTACTCTCAAGATTCGAACCCAAGACCTTCGGACTTGCGCGCGAAAGCTTATCTCCTGGACCAGTGATTCGGCATTTAGCAATGTTGATGTCTAACTCCGGTCAATCTAAGAATTTTTTCCAACTTCATAGACTGTCTTCTGTAGTAACTGCCCACTTCAAAATCAAAAAGTGTACTCGCTAGTGACTAGCTTCGTGAAGAAATTCTCCGAGTTCTAGTCAGAAGTCGTGACCGGTGAAGTTCAACCCTTGTGGGTGTGAAGCAGTGGCCAAGGAAGACAATAAGCGAGATTACACAATATGGTGGATTGATTGAATTTACACATGAACATCGTTGGTCTAGAGGTTAAGTGGTCGTGTGGGAGGCTGAAGGTTCTGGATTCGAATCCTACGAGTAGCAGGAGTCGTGAGTGCGCACTACTGATGTGTCCCATACCAGGACGAAGTGGCTGTCCAGTGCTTTCAGGTTTCGAATGGTGGTCTAACAGCGATATTCATTGATGGTCTCAATGTGTAGAAACAACAACAATCTCCATAGTACTATTATGCAGAATTCTATTGACCAATACAAAATAATTGGTTATAACTTATATACGAGAGACAGAGAGAAATTTAATCGTACTTCAATAACCCGAGATCAGGAATGAAATCATCAAAACTTGTAATAATAAAAGTTTTGATAGGGAAATAAAACTCCCGATTCTTTTTTCATCATAGAATGAAAAAAAAACAATCACGTAGAATTTTGTAAATTTTTATATTATTTTCCTGATAAGCCAAAATATGAACAAATGAATAACTATTTGTCTGAAAATTATTTATGTAAGGCGGCAGTAACATCCAACTACCAAATATTAAATATGATCAGTTATTTTTAAAAAAAATAACAGAAACATTCACTGTGGTTTTAGTTTCGCTCATACACACACACACACATACCTGCCACCAATTAGGATCTTGATCATTGACCAATTCTAAAACATCACCAGATTTAAAAGATAAACCAACATCACCAGTCGGGAGAAGACTGTCTTTTGTTGCGTCATAATCAAATAAGCATCGAATATAACGCTAAAATTGAACAAAAAAAGAGGGATAAAATAGTGAGGTAAATAGATAGATAGATAGATGGATAGATGGGTAGACAGAGAGTGATATGGGGAAAAATCAATGGAGATAAACCACCGCGAAAGAGACATTCATTGTTAAGTCTGATTCAATCAACAATAATATGAGAAGAAATGATGAATAAGCAAAGAGAGAGAGAGAGAGAGTAGTAAAAAGCAGACTTTCATAGTGTGACACCTTGAGGCAGGAATACCATAATGTCGTCATTGAAAGAGACGGTGAAATAAAACCAAACTATACGAATCTATGATGAATTGATAAAAACCAAATACATTATTTTAATTTATTTTATAAAAAACTCTATTTTTTTAATCTTGAAATTTTCATTTTTTGTGGTGAAAATTTTTAATTTAATAATTACTCTGGATTGAACTTTCTGGCTAGGTCCACGGAAAAGAGAGGAAGGCCCAGGAACACATTAAATCAAGAAATGGAGACAGACATGAGAAGAATGAACAAAAGTTAGGCAGAAATGGGAAAGGAAAGCCCAGGACAGAGTAGGATGGAGAATGTTGGTCGGTGGCCTATGCTCCAACGGAGGTTACAGGCGTAATTAAAAGTCAGTAAGTAACTAATCTGGAAATGATAACTGATCTCAACGTGATATTATGACAGAATAGATTTGTAAGGATTTAAATTTCTCGATTTTCAATATTAAAAGAACTGAAATTAGAATATTTGAATGATGAAAGGGTTGTCACAGAATTTACATTTGTTTGTGAGTTTTTAAAAAATTAAGGTTCGATAGTCCTACTTGGCACAATGTCCGGACATTAAAAGCTCCAACATGTAGTTTAGAGCGTAGTTGAAGAAAAGGAATAACGTTTCATATGCTCGAATGGCTTGCGTTAGTGGCGCCAGGCGATAAAGGGATGTGTGGACGGTTAGTCCTGGAGACAAGACAGTTATAAGGAGGTATAGGAAGGATTTGATTGTGACCGATTTGGCCCGTATGGTGTTACGGGTATGAGGGCGGATGTCACTTCCCGGCTGCCCAAGCAGCTGGAAGATGTTTCTTGAGGAACCTGAAAAGGAAAATAGATGAGCGTTGGTCTTAGCAACTTGAAAGCATGACCGCGGAGCTCAAGGGACAGCTGCCTCAGGTCAGTCACGAACCATCTTTTACGGGAAGTTTTTAAAGTGTTAGCTCCGCTCTTCAAATGGCCTAGCCGCCGGAGACGGAAATCCGTGAGGTAAGGTGAGGTGTCAAACTTTCAGGGTCGACCTTTTCTAACCTCTTCCTTCCTTATGAGAAGGCAGCATCGCTGCAGATGCTGAGTGTCCGAGGGAAACACCTTACTGCTGTCATATTCAGCAGTACAACTTCACCCTGAGACGTTAAGCTGCTGCTTTTAGTCTTACCGTTCTCCAACCAACCTGCCTAGCACGGTAGGATCTGGAGGAACATATGTTTCTTCGGCTAACGATGGAACCCAGGAGATTTACTTTGTCCTTTCCAGTAATCCAGGATTTATGTTCACATTCGAATTTGATACCTTTCGTTTGAAAACAGCTTAGACCACCATTAGAAACCTGGAAGTACTGGACGGCCGTTTCATCCTGCTATGGGACTCATCAACAATGCGCACTGACGACTCCTATCACTAGCAGGATTCGGAACCAGGACCTTTGGTCTCGCGCGTGAACCATATACTGATCGAAGTTAGACATTAAAGCCGTGATCCAGAGGTTAGGCATTCGTGTGCAGGACTGTAGGTCCTGGGTTCGGATCCTGTGAGTAGCAGAAGTCGTGGAGGCGCACTGCAGGACGGAACATCCGTCGAGTGCTTCCAGGTTTTCAATGGTGGTCTAACATTGATCGATCAAGGATTTAAATATATTATAATGTATCAAATAGACAGAATATTTTTAAGGATCATTAGGATTCTCGCTTTATCATAATACAACTCAAAAATCTATGCATAAGTTTACGCAATTAAAGTTGAGTAATAACACGCTTATGTAAGATACAATGATATCAACTATTTGAATAAATGTAAGTTTTACATTTGATATAATAAATTATATTAAAGCACATATTGCCACAGTCATAAATAGACTACAAAATGTCAAATGTACTACAACAAGATTCTATTAGGGGTATATATTAATTATTCCATTTCAAATTGACATTTTAATACAGTTTTTTTCAATTGTTGTTACAGAAATTGTCAAGGATGAATTCTATAGGTTTATGAAAGTTTTGGCTATTGATAAATTCAATTTACCTTCTTTTATGTAGCGAAACAATTTGTTGTAACATGAAAATTGTCTCCGATAATCTTTAAGCTATTTATGACCTTTATTGAATTGACATTTTCATTAAGAAAAAAATAGAACTGGAAAAGTGCATATAGGTGATTAGATTTTTCGAAATGTAAATTAGTACGAATACATTACATTTTTTTTTCCAGGTCAACTTCATTTTCTCATTGTTATAGTAAATGAGTTGAAATGCACTACACCATTAGCGCATCGCTAAAATTTTTTTTTTCATTTAAAAAAGCTTACGGTATTACAGTTCAGTATCGTCAACCACTAAGAAGTCAGTCAGTTACAGCGTAGAACTTCGTACGTACGTACGTACATCAGTTCAGGTTGTCATAACATATTAGCACAGAGATGCGATTGTTAGTTCAAATCCCATAGTGGTAGAGATAGTAGAAGTATTAATGGTAATGGAGAAGATTAGGTATCGAAGACATTACTCAAGAAGTTGAATTCAGTGAGAATGGATACATCTGCGCCATTGCTAACGATTTTGAGCTGCTATTCAAGGTACCTAACTATCGACTGGTATCGTCTCATTAAGAAAACTTCATTAACATGTGACTGTTAAAGATATCCAGCTCTTTCTCTCTCTCTCTCTCTCCCGCTCGAAAAATTCACAAATACAAGAATAAAAACAAAACGATTTCCATTCAGTGCCTCGATGATACACCATAAGTTCACTGGTATTCAAATAAATTAATAATCTGTTTTTCCTTCTATGCTAATTTGCAAAATCGATTGACATAAATCCATGTAACCAGAGACAGAGAGAGAGAGAGAGAAGTGATTTACAATGCAAATGAATAAGAGAATAAATTCTAGAAAATGTAATGTAACTTAATTTATAAACGATCTAAGTGTTAATATGAAAGTATAAAAATGTAATTCAGAATTCATTTGGTTCAACTATGGTTAACAATCTAAATCATATTGTATATCAGAGCCAATAGTAGAAACAGTATAGTGAAGGTGCATGCCGTTATGAAAGTAAAATGTGATTGGTCACTGAGTGTGAACAACACAGGTACTTAGCCTATTTGACTATGAAATTTGTGATTTCCTATCCTTTTGTCGACTTCTAAGATGAACTTACTGAGTACAGATTGCTTGTAATTGTGTGGAATAAAGTACTGTCAATCGCTTACTTACTTATGCCTGTTACCCATCAATAGAGCATAGGCCACCAACCAACATTCTACAACCTACTCTGTCCCAGGCATTTCTTTCCAGTTCTACTCAATTGCTGATGATTCTTTTCATGACTGCTTCCAATTCTTGGCGTAGTGTGTTTCTTGGTCTACCTCCTTTCCGTAGACCCTGGGGATTCCAAGTGAGGGCTTGCTTCATGTTGCGATTGGGGGCTTTACCCAGCGCTTTTTCATAATTTCTTCCCCAACCAGAATCTGAATTGTTCTGTGCCACAGTAGGCTGCTGCTGATGATGTCTAGTCAACGGACCCTCAGTATGCCGCGTAGACAACTGTCAGTAAACATCTGTATCTTGCGGACGATAGCATTCGTAGTTCTGTAAGTTTCTACCCCATACACTAGGACTGTCTTGATATTTGTATTGAACATTCTGACTTTGGTATTGGTTGATAGGTATTTTAATTTCCAGAGTCTGACGCTTACACTGACTCTCTATTTTAGTCATGAGTCGGGTATCTAGTTTAACGTGATCTTGTCTCTACATAGTATACAAGTTCAAGTATCCAATCCAATGGCAGTATAAAATTCGATCAGCCAGATCAGTCTCATTATCGGTATTATAGTAGTAGTACACCATGGATAATGAACCCGTTATAATAACATCGTTGTTATATCATATAGTATGTTGATGTATTTTATTATAAATACTGGTGGACTAGATACAAATTAATACGACAAGTAAAAAACCTGTTGGATTCTTTTCACACTATAGAGGATGCAAATTCTGGGAAAAAGTTAGAGGCTAACTGAAACTGAAGGTAATAACATTATGTTGTAACACCCTTTGCAATCATATGAAAGAAAGCGACAGCACTTAGAAATACTTTACATGAGAAAAAATGTAATTTGTAAGCAAAGAAAAAGTCATTATATCTATTAGAAAAAAATCAATTCAAGCTTTCATAATTGACATACTTTATTCTTTGAGTTGGAATTGGAACATTGAATCCCGGAACGTAGTATGCCTTCTTTAGGTGCTTGTACTAATAACTTACAATCGATTAAACTAGAAGTTTGTTGAATTTGAGAAAATACTTGTTCCAATGTATGTACACGTAAACCATTGATTTCTAAGAGAATATCACCAGGGAATAAACAACCTGAAAAGAAAAAAAACGATACAATATGAAGAGTTACTTTAAATTTATGAAATGTACAAGCACTGGACGACTGTTTCCTCCAGGTGTAGGAATCATCAACATTGTGCATACACGATTTCTGTTACTCGTAGGATTCGAAACCAGGACCTTCTACGTTGCGCGCGGACGCTTAAGCTCTGAACCACTGTTAATATTTCACTTCGATCAATCTATGGTCTTGCGCAACTTCATCCACTGTCTTCGGTGAGCACTGCTTTATAAACGAACAGGGTTGAACTTCACCAGTCATGACTTCGCACTAAAACTCAGACTAACTTCATCAAGGAGCTAATTTTTATCACAGGGTTGTGAAGATTGTTGAGTTACTGTAAAATCAAGGATCGATCAAGTTTAGACGATCGTTCAATGCTTTCATGTTCCTAATGTTAGTTCAACATTGATCCATTCATGTTTTTAAAGTAATTCAACAATCTCCACAACCCTGTAATGAAAATTATCATGTGCTCACTAGTGACTAGCTCCACGAGGAAGTTTCACCGAGTTTTAGTGAAAAGTTGTGACCAGTAGAGTTCAAATATGTTCGGGTGTTAAGCAGTGCTCAACTCAGAGAGTGGATGAGACTGTGCAAGAGACCAGTGGTCTAGAGGTTAAGCATTCGTTAGCAAAATCGAAAGTTCTGGGTTCGAACCCAGGTCATCAGCCATAGATTACATGTGTCAGTCAGTTGGAGGAAACTCATCAATTTCAATCATCGATTATTATTCTTTACTCTAAATCACAACCTCATTTATATGTCATGAGAAAAATACATAAACTAACAAGGTATAACTTGTTCTCTACCTACTTTATCCATTGTCCATATCAAAACCGACAATAATGTTCTCTGATAGAAAATACACACACATACATACATACATACACACAAACAATTGATCGATTTTAGAAAGTATATATTTTTTTAAAAATCAATTATTCACGTGAAAAAGTAAAAACAAAACCAATAATAAAGCTGATAATAAATTGAATTATTGAACAAATCAATTTGTCTATATTTACAGAGAATGAAAATAAATATTTTAATTATTAGAAAAAAGACAAACAAACGAAACGAAACGAAAACATGTAAGAAAAAAAACACACTTTTGACTTTAGCGAATCAACCAATCAATAAATAAATAAGCCAAGTGAATACAAATCATGTGTACGTAAATCAAATTAAAAAAATTCAAAATGTTATTGTAGTGTATAATTTTTCTCACATAAAAATGATTCAGATTGAATTGGATGAAGAGGGAGAAAAACACACACACACACACCAAACAGATGCATAGTTCAAGTTGAAAACACTTAAGGCGACTTTAATGAATTTTGTTTTTTTTTAAAAAAAATTAAAAAAATAGACGAATTTGTGAGATGGTGGAGAAAACTTGTAGCTCAGGTGGATGGATGATTGTGGTGATGTTACGTTCTCTGAGCTAGGATACAATCAAAACAAATGTGCGAACAACGACAGGTTTAAAGTCAAGATCGAGGTTAGCAGAACAAGCTACAGGTCAAACGTAGAGAAATTCGAATGCTTCACTTCTATCTGAAGTTTGTGCTGATGATGTTGTTCAGAAGAATAATGAAAGCTCCACAACCAAAACAACCAGCTCAGAGAACGAAACACCACCACAATCATAGACGAATTTGTGTTTGATAATTTAGGGAAAAAAAAACTTGTCACATTCGAAAATATAGTGTGTATTAGGATAAAACAAATCGTTGAAAGAATATGCATGACACTTGTTATTATTTACTTAAGCCCTGTTATAATTCTCTCTTTTATTACATACAACCCAGCTATTCCTAATGCTTAGTATTCTCGGACACCGCCGATTCACTTGAGACGTTCTCCCAAATCAGAACACGGTTGAACAGGAAATAGAGATTATATTCTAAAAACAAGGTTAGAAGGAACACAGAAGTTCCAAAGGAAATAAGACACTAAGTATATAGATAGTTTTCTGAAATGAGAAGATTCTAGAATGTTCCTTCAGTATCGGCTAGCACTGATTGGATACGAAAAAGCCAATCAGCGGGTAACGACGCAATCTTAGGTTTTTGAAAGCGTTATCCATTCGCAACTTCAAACAATTTTATTTCAACGTAAGATATTGAGGGTCCATTGGCTAGACAACATCAGTAACAACCGACTGGAGTTAGATAGAATACACAAGATAGGCCCTCACATGGAATCCTTAAGAACAAATAACACAATACACCGAAAACCGGAAGCAGACATAAAAAGAATGAACAGCAACTGGACAGAACTGAAAAGGAAGGTCCAGGACAGAATAGATTCGAGAATGGCTGGTCAGCGGTCTATGCTCGATTAAGAGTAACAAGAGGAACTAAGTAAGTAATCCTATTTCTTGAAAACGGTTGATTATCATTTTTAAATTTGTCCTAATTATCCGCAGGTAATATGAAAATGTATTATTTTTTCCATACTGTACCGTACCTACTACAACTTTTTCACATTTCTAATGATACCTATTTCAAGTTTATGTAAAATGTTTGAAAAAATAAACGTGTGAAGAAGAAGAGATGGCAATTTAAATTATATCTTGGTACGAAAAAGATCAATATCATTTGTAAATTACATCACTTTGCTGATATTTTTTTGTTAGTCAAAACATAAAGCAATGCGAAATACTACACATGTTTTAACTGTGATCAGAAATACAAAAAGTACAAACTGGAACAGTGGATTGAAATAAAGTTACAAGTAGTTGAATTTTAATTAGTAAAATGATCGAATTGAACACTTTATTCCCATTTTATTTAATATGAGATATGAAATGATCATTTCTGAGTCGATTTTCTTCCATATAACTTATAATGTTGAGAATGTACATATGAACTTCATAAATGAATTTTTTAAAAGTCATTATGATTTAATGAGCAATCGATTTCTATCACCGATAAGTTTTTTTTGGAATCAGTCAGTTAGAAACAACCTAGAACTTCATATGTACATGCATCAGTTCACGTCTGCAAACTATATGAGCACAGAGATGCAATTATCAATTCAAATCCCATAGTAGTAGAGGTTGTGAAAATATGAGCAGTAATCGGAAATAGTAGGGTTTGTTCAAGGAGTACAATCTAGTGAAATAAGTTTGAGCAGACAAAAAATGAGGGTCATGAGGAATACAGATTAGAATTTGAGAGAACAGAAAGAATGAATGAGCCTACTCTATTGCAGACGATTTTGAGTAATGTCATTCAGGGTCTCTAATCATCGGCTACTATCGTTTCGCAGACTCGAACCAGGTAGTCTGCACCTACAAACATGACTCAGTCCAGTTGTATTCACAACTTCATGGATTTGTGCCATGTTTTCGTTTGGCCACACCCAGCTTTCTTCCAACCTACTCCTACACCACAAAACATAGTTCATTGTAGCACTCGGTGGTTGGTTGTGCATTCGTAACACATGTCCCAACCCCGTCAACTGATGCAGTCTCACTACTTCATCTAATGATTTGCCATCCTTACCTAGTACCCATTTCCTAACGACAGCATTACTTACTCAACAGTCTCAGCGTATACGAACAATGGTTCTGAAACACCTATGATCGAAAACCAGTGACCTACGAATATCCTCTACTCTTATTGGCTGTTTCACACCCATAAAAGTAGGATGGAACGAATTACTGAGCAGTACACCAGAAGCTTTGACTAGCAAACGAATATCTGACCTATGCCAGTCGAGCCTTCTGCATCCGTGCTGAAATTTCGTCCGTCACCAGGCCATCAGCACTGATGAGACTGTCAAAATAAGTGAAGCGGTCTACACGCTTAACTGCTCCACTCACTGCCTATCAGTCAAAACCGAAGATCCTATGTTTGGGTCTCCAGTGATAAGCTCGTAGATGTGTGCACTAATGCAAAGTCCTATTACTAGAACGAAATAAATATCCAGTGCTCTCAAGATTGTTAATGATTGTTTAAATTAGGTCTGTGTTAATTATATGAATAATCATAGAATTCATTAATATAAACAAATCTTTATTAACACAGAATGATATATTTCTCATGAAATACTCTCGCTTTATATATATATATATATATATATATATATATATATATATATATATGACATAACACTGAGACATTGTTAAAAAAAAACAGAATATGAACAAATAGTAAAACAAAAGTGACCAATAAAACATATTAAAGATTCTGTCAAAACTTGTACTGAGAAAAAATAAAAATAGAAACAAACTTATTTATTTTACATAATTTATGGTTGTTATGTCTGGGTAAAATGAAAACACCTAGGCAGATAAATAGATAAATATATAAAGTATACATATGTATACATACAGGTATATATATATATATATATATATATATATATATATATATATATATATAAACAGATTTACATTGTACTTCAAAATAATCGATTACTGTTTATGATTAATTGGTCAAACGATAAATTAGTCGCTTTTTATTTTAAAAAAATCGAGTGAAAAATAAAACAAACAACGAAGGAGGTGGTGGACATAATTGGATGCAGTGTGTTATTATTAAATAAAGAATGAACACATTTTTACTTTTCTACTTGTAAAGTAAAGCGTAAACAATGAACAAAACAAAAAGAACCTCCCCCCTCCAAAAGAAAAGAATCACACACTAACTAATTTAGTCGTGCAATAAAATGAAAACATTTTTTTTTAAAAAAAATTACAAGACAGATGATTGAATGAGAAATATCAACTATTGGAATTGCTTTAGATTGGATATGAAAGAAATAAGCTGTTTGGTTTAGGTCCTCAAATGTTGCATTTGTTGATATTCTACGTCGTTGAAATTATGAATGTCAGTTATATGATATTAATTTTCCCAGTTTTTTTTTCAAAAAAAGGGAAAATATTCTGTCAAAGGAATCCTAGTGATCAGTGGAGTTTGAGTTGGTTAGGTGTAGTAGGTAGTTACCTATATCTAAG